TGGCTGTTGGATACGACAAGGCACTGTGGTACTAGGGGATGTCTGTTATGCCTATGATGTCATAGTTCCACCCTGTTGATCAACTGCCAGTATTGATACGACCGTGTAGGGTGTTGCGTCTCTTGTACATCAGTTCACTTCGGAGTACGCAGCTACTACTAGATAGATACAGACTATCAGCTTCGAGAAATCTCTGCTGCTCCAGTGTACACCGTCGGCATTAGTAGGAACCTGCGAAGTACTAGTGGGTACCTATAATAGGCGCAACTAGAAATTTCGATGTTTAGAACAGTATAGTACTCCGCAGTATATATCTACCGGTACCTACTACATTCTGGAGCTACTTGGGGGGGGGGGCACTGGGAATCAAGGATCATCTACTGGTCACCAGCATTCTGGTTCGTATTATACACGATATACGAGCCCATCGTTAACCCTTCACCAAAACCAACCAAGGCACTCGATTGTACACCGTAAGGTGGGGAGAGAGTCTCTCGTTCGAATGGTGTGCTCACTTATTATTCAGCAACGTTGGTGATCGTAGCAAGGAGTTCCCGGGTGCGAGATCCTGAGCGAAAAGGAAACCGCGATGGAAGGCTTGGAAGCCTGTCAAGAGTGGGCCACCGTTTGGGAGAAGCCCCACGAAGCAGCGGCCTCGGCCCAATCACAGCTACTGCCCGAGACTTCCCCCATGATTGAGGTTGGAAGCTGCCTAGCCTAGCAGGTGCTATCTATCTCCTATCTGGTACTAGGCACCATGGATGATGGAGTCAGTACTAGATGGGTGGGCATCCTTAGCGAGTATCTAAGTAGTAAGTACTCATCCTAGCACAACGATGCCTCGAAGAATTCCACCCTTGGCAGACCGCTCAGGAAGAAAATGGCCAATCACAGTATGGACTCGTGGAGTACCGGCCGAGCAGAAGTCACTGCCTTCCTTACCTTACTACTCTACTGTGTAGTACTCCTGGGCGTGTCTGATAATAATCGTTTCGGCCAATGATACCGAAGTCAAGTCGGCACGTGTGGACGCTGAGCATCCCTTCCCTGCCTAAAGAATGCACGCTTGGCAGTAGTGTATTTAGCATCCCCTGCACTCCGTACTTCGGAGTCCTTGGATGATGGAGTATCTAGTACCAGTCCGGTAATCAGCATGCCTCTTGTTGCAGTTCGTCGTCTCCCGGGATACGTTAAGCTAAGGTAAGTAAATAGGGCAGGCGACCTAATACTAAGCCGTGTTGCTACGCGCCTACTACAACCTACAACACTTAGATACAAGATAATGGGACGGAGTGGCGCCGACGTGTTGGGCCCCTTGCCACGAATAGGAGCAAGCATACATGACCATGTATTTATTTATTTATTTTATTTATTTTATTATTATTTCCAATATCGGAAGAAATTCATTTCGACTCCGTAATGCGTCAAAATACGGTTGGATGATGCCCGTGGGCGGGGGTGCAGTATTTTGGCGCCTATCTTGGTGCTCCTGACCTTATCCATTCCTTCGGTTGATACATAGATAGTTTCCGTCGTCATATGTTCTGCCCCTAGGATCGTCAAGATAATCAGCACCAGTCCACCTGGTCGGATCCCGCATTTTAATTTGGGCTGGGATGATGGTCTGATCCCTAGGTCAACAGGAAATCCAGGAAAATAGGAGCGGTCAAAGTCACCGATGCACGCGAGATGGCGATAACCTAAAGCAAAGCATGGGTCATTTCCTCATTTCCCCTCTTCGGATCGACATTATCAGCATCTGCTGGTTGGGAGGGGGACAGGATCTCAATACAGCCTACCAGGACCGCCTATTGTCCATGCATGCAGGCAGGCAGGCATGCAGACAGACAGGATCCTGCCATGATTTCGATATCCAGTGTGCAGTACGGAGTAGATAATCCTACCTACCGGCTTACTTCGCCAGGCAGTCAGACGCTATGCGACGGCAAGCTCTCTTATCAAGAAAATCCCCCCCGCGGCTGTCCGCGGTGCCTACTGTAGGTACTATCTCGATAGAGTCGCAGGTCTCAACCGCACAAATCTCCCTTGCGCATTAGCAGAATCGAGGAGAGGTTCATGCCCAAGCTGTGCTCTACATTTATGATGAAAGAAATTCCGCCACAGCCGCGATATCAATTTAGCGCACGGATCGACCGGAGCGAGATCGGAACCTGATATCGTGGTATTCCCAGATCATTGCATGCTTGACTTCCACCCGCGTTCACCTGTAGGAATCGATGCTCTGCTGTGTAGCACATGGTCATTTGCATGTCCAGCGACGCCATAATTGGACGAAGAAACCTCCTTGTCCCAGCAAGGCATAATCAATGCACAGCCCTGTAGATAGATAAACTTGACGTTGATAGCAAATAAAATTTACCTCATCGGACCATACCCTGCTGTACTCGGGAAGGGATCGAAGGTGTCTTCTCTGGGTAAGTTGCTTATTGTGAGTGGTTTTGAGATCGGATCTAGTCAGACTTTATGACCGGAAGAGCACAGCTATACCAAGGGCAGATGCATATTTCATGTCTCGGGGTTGGATGACCAGGGTGATAAACGCCGTTGCATACCTAACCAAGGATGGTAAACCCCCCCATGAACATAGACCGGTCAGTCTGTATCCAAGGAATTAATACCTGACCAATGAGAATAATTATTGTGGCAGTGAAGAGACATGTTTGAGACCCAAAAAATGGGGTCACCGGCATCCTTCACGACTATCGCAAAGGGAGGCCAAGGACAGGTAGCAGAAATAGGCGTTGCGCGATATGAATACGGCGATGAGATGATAGCCGCAGAATCGCCAACTCAGCAGAAAGGCTCAGCAATGTGCGGGGTTAAAGACGCCCCGCAGCTTACTACTAGTATTCACGGTTGCCTTCATCTGGTTGACGATGCGCATTCCCCCTAGGTTCGTACGAGTAATCGGTGGCATTTCCATCGCATTTCCCCACCAAAACGCCGCTGTCTGCAGTCCTGTAAGGGAGATGCGCATTGACTGCCTGCCCCCCAACAATCAACCTGACGCGACAAGCACCCCATACCTTCGCAAGTACGGAGTACTATCTGTCTTGTTAGTAGGTGGTACATAGTGCCTGCAGTCCGGTTTGCTAGTGCCGAATAATTTGTTGGAAAATCGAGCGGCTGGAGTTGGACCCAAGTAGATACAACCAAGATCCACGGTGTCATAGGGCCGGGGCGAAAAAGCAATGAACTACTCCGCAGAAAGAAGACTTATACCGCGTCCAATTATGACTGGGATGCTTGATAACCCTTTTTCGTCGCTCTCGTCATAACCTGTTCATGTTGTTACCCAATATCTGAACCACAGCCACTGGGGGCATCTGATGTCCAATGGAAAGGAGAGAGACTCTTTGACCGCTTCTCCACTACCTTCCCAATAACCCGGTACCACCGCCTATCTTGGGTATCTAAGGAATGTCCGACATGTCGCAGACAAAGGCTTTAGTACAGGAGTGCCTAGGACAAACAACAGGCCAGCATTGCTCGTGGCACGCAGCCCTAATGACTTTAGTTGGGGCTGTTATTAGGTAGGCATCTATAATACCCAGATCACGGAGCCGAAGCAGAAAACAGCTGTCAGGCTTTTGGATAGCACAGCAGTACGGAGTACTACTGCTGAAATGTCGTGATCGAAGATCTCGTTTCTTACTACTTACCTTAGGTACCGCTTTGGACTGCCCCGGTTAATTTGCCGCTGGTACTTCTTCGTATTGGCATTGGTTCCCACTTTCCGGCCCCTTCCCTTCCCCTTCCCCTTCCCCTTTCCGCACCGCCCCGCGAAACCCCCCTGCCACTGCCACTGCCTCAGCCTCAGCCAGCTGCCTCCCGATTCCCGATTCCCAACGCGTGTAAGATTACCACGGCCGCAGTACTAGCCGGTTTTCTCCCCCGCGTTCAGACCAAGGACAGGGCTACCCTAAGGACAGTAGTTAACTAGTCAGTACTGACTTACTAAGTGGGATGACTCAATCGCAAATCTCCATCTCGAATAGGTATTTTTAATTTACCGATAACTTATTGCACCCTCTTACGCTGGCCATCATTGCACCAACGATGAACCTAGAAAAATTAGAAAAAAATGAAGTGAACCACCTGAAGCTCCACAATAATGTCAAGTAGGGATAAAGCGGCACCAACCGTCATCTCGCCCACCAACCTATGGCTATCCTCCTTTTCTCCGGCTCCTTTTCTTCCCCTTTCCATGTCCCATGAGGCATCGAACGAGAATACATGATTGCATACCGGGGGAAATTAAAGGAAACCATCACGGAACGGGTACAAGACATCAGAAAAGAAAAAAAAAAAAAGAGAGCAGAATGATAATTTAAGTTTCAGGCGGTCTGCACATCCCCAGCCCGAGTGTCAGGTGACAAGCCCCGAACACCCTCGTCGCCTCGTACATACATGCTACTAGTGGCCTGGGGGGGGGATTGCGTGCAGGCTCTAGTCTGGTTGCAACATCCGGTTTTAGAGACTATTGGGAAGGACAGGGATCACGGTTACTGCAGTAGTGAGTGGTAGGCTGTTGGGTCATCATCGCCTGGCATCGGAAATTCAAAAATCGGAAAACAAAGGGGAATGAATAATCCCCCCAGGGCTAAGAGAACGGGAATCCAAGATCCACATATCTCCCCCAGGAGGACCGCCGTGTCGGTGCCTCGACGGCAATCTGTAACATCAACAATAATGACGATGACGATGGACACGGTAATAGTGCTTGTAGATCGACGGTCAGGCATGCTTTGGATTCTTCTGAGCAGCGATGGTCGGTGGATAACTCCGTACTCCGTACCGCGTCCCCGTCTGATATAGGTACCACTTCCTTACTAGATACTATGCAGCGGATTGCGGATTGTCCGTGGGGAATTAGAATACCCTTTTTTCTCTTGCTACGGAGTACTCCGTGACTACTGACCTACCTAGATCACAATAATAATAATCGAATGTATCCACCTTCCTCCATAGCAACTGATGTTCGTTCTTCCCGTTATTCGCCCTCCCCTTTTCTGCCTTGCCTGTGCGACGACCTAATGATTCTCCCCCCGCCCCCCAAAAGGTGAAACAGCATACACAGGTACCTATCAGTCCGTCTACCCGCGCGATTGACAGTGATACCACCGTCAAGGGATGATCATCCAATAGATCGGGCGTACGGGGTAAACTGGCAGTGATCTCCTGGCAAATGGTGGAGCTCAAAGCAGTAGGTCTTGCATTTGAGGACCAGAGATAGATAATTCGTAACAGAATGCAGCAACGTACATCGGGTAGGGACCTCAGATGCAGCAGGCAGGGAAACAGAAAGGAAAAGCACAGAGGAAAATGGTATTCTTCTCCCTGAATATGCCAAGTCCATCTTGGCACTATCGATAGGGAGCCATAGGGAAAGTCCGGAAAGACACCGGCTGGGTATTGTCGTCGCTAGTGTACCCCCGTAGTATGAAAGGAGGAGCCTCATAGGATCTTATGATCATGAGTAGTCTCATATCATAATTACCTTCTTGGACGGGCGGGCGGCTGTTGTGATGTTTCGCGAACAACTCACGTTCAGCGAGCGGAGGACGGGTTCCAACCTTGAAAGAGGTGCCCAGCAATGACGGCCCAGTTTGATTAGACTTAGCATACCTGAACTAAGTGCGCTCCGTAAAGGTTATCCCTTTCCCGGCGGCTACCCAGTAGTATATAGGACTTGCGACTTCTCCCTTTGAACTGACTGCATTGCTGTGCCCATCATTTAAGTTGGACTCTGGTGTTGTCTGCGAAAACCGCAAAAGCAACCGGGGGTGGACAGACATCAAGCGAACGCCTCTGCTATCATCACTGCCATCCACTGCCATCATCATTACCTTTATTGTCTTATATCATCATTACCTGGCTGGTTTCGGTCGGTACCAGACGGATCGGACCTGCGTTTTTTTCAGTCCTGCTGAGACATTGGCACTGGGGCTAGTCGGCGGGACCTCCTGGTCTCAAGGCAAAAGAACTTACACCTAGTTGGCCGGTGGAAACGGTCTGAGTCGTGTTACCGTACTTTACGCGTCAGGTACAGCCGGAAACGCAGGACTTTCCAAGTTCCGAGTTGACAATACGGCCGAGACGGGCAATACAGCGGTACGGAGTACGTCAGTAAGTATCCACTCCAGCTTTCTTTCAATTGAAACATCCATCGGTTTCTTCGAAAGCGACTTCCAAAATCCTTCCCTCCGAACTTCTCCTTGTCTGTACGACTCCGCATTCGCGTGGATGGGAAATCCATAAAAAGGGCGAAGACCGAATTTCCTCCACCACCTCATTGACCCTCTTGACTTCCAGAATCGTCGCCTTCCCCCGACTTCCGCAAGTGGAGATTCAAATCCCCCTCCAACCAGGCGAAACGAAGGACAACGCTGGCACTGTTTCCTCCGTCGCATGATCTCCTCTCTTACTCACATCCTGGCGCCTTTCGCTGCAGGTCCTCTACTACTCTCCACGTAACCGTGCAGCAAACTGGAAAAGCTACACATCGGACCACACTAGAGAACCGCAGCCCTCGCGATTACTTTTGTCGGTCCAATCTCCGATTGCTCACACTATCACCCTTCCCCTTTGGACCACCTGCATCACTGTGTTGGCAGGCAATCCTGCATTCGCGGTTCCGATCCTCGTCGCCGATTCTCCATTCTTTCGCAGCCTTCCCTAGTCTCCTGGAGTGACGCCAGACGCCAATCGACGCGAAGCCGATTTCCCTGCTCAATCCCAACTCGGGCGTCCCGTGAAAGCTACCTACCGACCTACCTACCTACCTCCCACCTACCACCTACCACCTATCATCACCTACCGACCTACCTGCGGAGGGGCTCTGCTGACAGCTAAGCACATGCGCCGCGCACACGGCTTTTGACTTGCATAATTTCGCTCACAATTTTCTACTTTCAATACCGATTCCCGACTCGCCCTGGAGGGTTCCTCGTTCCTCCTGCCGCCCACTGGAAAAGAACCTCGCCCGCCTGCACCAGCCACAGCCAATTGGTTGGGCTCCGCACGTCCTCTCATTCCTGCTGCAGACAGACAGCTTTCCCCGCGTACTAGACGATCGGCGAATCGAGGAGGGGTAAAATAGGGACCCGAGACAAGAAATACCGGGCAAATTAAAAGAGACCAGGAAACGTGACGAAAATCGGTTCCGAAAAGAGACAAAGCCTGGGAGCCAAGTCATCGGTCGTTCTTGATCAATTGAATTGACAACAGGGTTCCAGGACCCTTCCCACCCACCCCCCCCCCCGCGGAGCCTTTGTTACACAAAGCCAGTGTCTGTTTCAATTGTTATCAGGAACCCGAATCCCGTACCCTACCCTCGCGAGCGCTCTCCGGCAGGGCTCTCCGCATTGCATCAGAGGCAGGCCAAGATGCAGATATCAAAGACAGAGCAATCCCGCTAAGGAAGTGGCTTTTGCATCACTCAGCCAGACCCGTTCCCTTTTTTGGCTCGTATTGCATTTTCGCTATAGGTCGCCATATCAGGACCAACACGACCGCCTAGTTACTGCACGTCGTTGTTCATTCGTCCCCTGAAGAGTCCAGGTGACTCAAGCATTGGCGCGGTTCACGGCAGGTCTACAATCTCACGTTTTGCAGCTGGGTGCTACGTCTGGCAGGTATCCGCAATGGCTTACGCCGCTGCTTCGTCGCCTTCGACCGTGAACGGCGACTCTCAAGCAAGTTTAAAACTTACTGGCTCTCTCCCCAAACCCCCAAAACTACATAATGTCATCACTTCTGTTCCGCCCGCCCCTACTCCCTCTTCCGCACCGGTCTATGCCTCTTCATATACGACTACACCAAACTCACTACGCCCTACCTATAACTTCTCAAATGCTTCCAGCCCCTCAGGCACCCCTCTACAATCAGCCACTGACTCACTTCGTGGTCGAATACCATCTTTTCCTCTGATACCTCCCGCCTCTCTTGAGCTTGGAGAGTCAATCATGGCTGTTCCTGGGAGTGCTAGCGCCTCCGGCTCGGGCGACGCGGTCGGTCAGGTTCCAAACAAAGGTCCAGGTCTAATGCGCAGAATATCTCGGGGAGCCGCTAATAAGCTCACTCGGAGACGGCAGTCCGCTTCGCATAATGACAAACGGGACCGCAGCTCTGGTCCCGTGACCATTACCATGCGCCGACGGAGTGATAGCAAAACTGGACAAACTAGTTTCGAGAGCGCACTGGAGTCCAGTAACGAAGAAGATAGCAACGACGCCCTGGAATCTCTGGGAGTCTGGTGTGGCTCAGAAGCCTCCAGCTTGCAGAATGAAAGCTTCATGGCTACGTCTCGCAATTCGGGTGCTGTGGCACCCAAGGTCGATTCGGCGATACAACGCGGCACGATACTCACGAAGGTTACAAAGAAGCGACGGAAGCAAGTGCGATTTTTCCTTGACCTTGATGCTGGCAAAGTCTACTGGGATGTTTCGAACCCGACAAAGCGTTTCTATATCGATGACATCAAGGAGATCCGCGTGGGGGCCGATGCAAGAAATTACCGCGAAGAGCACCAGGTTCCACAGGATGCCGAAAGTCGATGGTTTACTATCGTTATTGCGGACGCCGAACGATCGAAGGGACGAGCCGTGAAGACACTACACTTGATCGCGCCCAACGACTATATTCTCGAACTCTGGACCACAACTCTTGAACACATCTCCCGCTACAGAATTGGTCTCATGGCTGGCCTGGCTGGCTCCGGTCAGAGCGACGCGGTTTTGAAAGCCCACTGGCAGCGCGAGATGACCAGATTATATCCAAAGGGTCTGAAACCCGGTGAACTCGAGAGCTTAGATTTCGGAGCAGTTGAGAGCGTTTGTCGCAGTTTGCACATCAACTGTTCGAAGAACATGCTCCGTGCTCAATTTTCGAAGGCGGACAACAACAGCAAGGGCAAGCTATACTTTTCTGAATTCAGTGACTTTGTCGGTCGCTTGAAGGAGAGAAAGGATGTGAAGGCTATCTTCAAGGATAGTGCTCTGGACCCCGAGGGCCTTACTGTCGAGGAATTTCTGGCTTTCCTCCGCGACGTGCAACAGGAAGATGTCGAATCCGACCGAAGCTACTGGGTCTCCATCTTTGACAAATTTGTACGGAAGTCCAAACCGCGCGCACCGAGTCTCCCGGAGCATTCTGATATCGCAGTTCCCCGCATGGGACTTGATGCTTTCACATCTTTCCTATCTTCTTCTTGGAACGGTGTATATGCGTCTCGCGCCCCTCAGTCCAGATTCGACCGCCCTCTGAACGAGTATTTCATTTCCAGCTCGCACAACACATACCTCTTGGGACGCCAGGTAGCTGGTGCCTCCAGCACGGAGGCATACATAAGCGCCTTGTTCCAAGGGTGTCGCTGTGTAGAGATTGACTGCTGGGATGGAGCGGATGGCCGCCCTATTGTCTCTCACGGAAGGACCATGACTACTAGTGTTTTGTTTGCTGATTGCATCACTGTCATCAACCGATATGCATTCATCAGCACGGACTTTCCTCTCATTCTGTCACTCGAGGTCCATTGCAACCCCGAGCAACAACTAGCAATGGTGAAAATCATGAAGGAGACATTCAAAGACCAACTGGTCTTGGAGCCTTTGCTTACAAACACGTTCGTCCTTCCCTCGCCGGAGGAGCTGAAGGGCCGCATCCTTGTCAAAGTCAAGACATGTGATGAGACTCAAGGCGACATGCGACAAGAATCCACGAGCTCCTTGATCAGTGCGGGTCGTAAACGCAGTTCGAGTTCTCCTTTCATGCGCCCAGCAGTTCCTGAATACCCAATGATTTCAAATCTCCCTTCTCTTGCCGGGCCGTCCACGGCTGGCCCGGATGGTATCGATGCATTTATATCGCAAGACCGACGGTCTTTTACAACAACTAGCATTAGCAGTGCTACAGAAGACAGTGATGGTGCTTTGACATCCATGAGACGCGAACGGAAACGGCGCCAGAAGAGCAAAATCACGAAACCTTTGTCAGACTTGGGCGTGTATACCCGCGGTTACAAGTGGCATAGCTTCTCGTCCCCGGAAAGTCAGCGGTACAACCACGTGTACTCATTTGCTGAACGTTCTTTCGAGAGCATCTGCCGCGATGCTGATGGCAAGGCCTTATTCGAGAAGCATAACCGCAAGTATCTGACGAGAGTTTACCCATCCGGCTTTCGCCTACGGTCATCCAACTTCGATCCTCTTAAATTTTGGAGGCGCGGGGTGCAGATGGCTGCCCTGAACTGGCAGACCTATGACGTAGGAATGCAAATGAACCAGGCAATGTTTGCGGCTGGAACTGACCGCACCGGCTACGTGCTCAAGCCCCATTCCCTTCGTGCAGTTGATCCTCTGGATGAGGATAGGAAGAAAGGTCTGGAGCGAAAGTTAATTCGATTCTCGGTTGATGTCATTTCAGCTCAGCAACTGCCTCGCCCTCGCACCCTTGGGCCCGATGATAATATCAACCCGTATGTGGAAATCGAGATGTTCAGCGCGGATGATCGAGGTCAGAGCTTCGTCCTTGGTGAAGGGGGCATGAACGCTTCTGCGCGGAACGGCATGTCAGGAATCGGCTATCCGCATCGCCGGCGCACGAAAATCGAGCAGAGCAATGGATACAGCCCCATCTTCAACGATCGCTTCAAGTTGTCATTAGAGACTAAGTACCCGGACTTGGTATTTGTCCGTTGGACGGTCTGGAGCTCCTCGGATGGCCGCAGTGCAGGAAACAACAACAGTGTTCAGTTGGCCACATTTACAGCCAAACTCACCAGCCTTTCTCAGGGTTATCGTTACCTGCCTCTCCATGATACAGGTGGCGATCAATATCTATTCTCGACCCTGTTCTGCAAGATCGCAAAGGAGGAGCCTGTTTCAGTTCAACGACTAGATGCCGACGAGCTCCGTGCAGAGCGAATGGGTATCCTTCGACAAATCGGTCAAACTGTTTTCAAGCGGTCGTCATCCACCGAACGCGACAGGGACGCTGGCTCAGACAAAGGAAACGAGACACCCCTCAGTCTGGAAGACAATACGTCTCCCACTTCTCCGATTTTGACACCAACCGTTTCCGCTGCGTCCACGTTGTCATTGCCTCCTTAGGCTCCATCAAAAGCGGTGCTGACTTTCGTTGCGATGATCGCGCAGCAGGCGCTGCGCTCCTCGCGGCCTCGTCGCCCCCAACGTCTCATTTCGCCATTACATTGATATTTGTTTTAACCCGTGTGCAAGTAAAGAAGCGGTGTTCTGTCAGCTTTGGTTGTATTTGTTTGCATTCATTATCCTTTCCCGATGTCTTTTTGGAGCCTAAGGCGCATTATGGTCGCGAATGTAGCCACTGGAGGGCTCGAAGACAAGCATGATCTCGCATATCTGGGTTTACGTTTTGTTATCTATCAGGGGCGATGCATGGCTGATTTCCGACTCTCGAGAGGGCGGGCTCATGGTGTTATCTTTCTTTCATGTTTGTGTTCTGGCTCCTGTGTGTGAGGGGGTACTGGAGTACCTCTATTTATCAGCGATACCCTCTGATTTTTGCTTTTGCTGTCTTGTTTTTCTGCGTTGCATGGTTGTGTGGTTATCGTTGCGAACGAATTTTCCATTACCTGACTGTCTTATCTATCTCACCTCATAACTTCGCATCCGGCTCGGGCTTTTCCTTTCCTTTCGGTTTTCTTTGGGTTCAAAGTGGCATTCGAGATCTCACTTGTCATTGCATCGGGGTCGCATTCAGGGGAGTCACCGAGGAAGCGGTTGCATCATAGGGCATCACTGGTGGGGGATTGTGCATTATGGTCTAGGCCTTGGTCAGCGGGGGATGGTGCCTCGGGCAGAGAACTATCATCATCATCATCATCATCATCTTCTTCTTCTTCTTCTTCTTCTTCTTCATCGCCATTATCATCATCATCTGTTTATTGATCATGTCCACTGTCCTGAAGGACCCTAGAGGTATACTGTCAGGACGTGTCTGTTCGTATATGGTTTACGTTTGTGTTAATATCAATCTGCGGCTGGAACGCTATGTTGATTCCGGATACTCTGCAATTTCCTCTTTACAATGCTCCTGAGCCATCTCGAGTACAAAAGCCCACACAATTAAGTTGAACATGCTCCTTCGTACTGTGTAGAGCCAGGCCGGGCTCGGCTAACCTACCCCGACCCGGGCCACCTGCCGCCCACCGCCCCCCGTAAAGGCAACGTGACGACTTCCGCCCTCCGCGGATCACGACTGCAGCATCTCAGCGACCAGTACGGAGTATACCCCCCCCAAACACGCATTCTTCATTCCCTCACTTCGACCCTGTCTTTTTCCACATCCCAATCCATCTACAATGGACCCTTTCTCAGCGGAGGGTGGTAAGTCAACCCAATTGGGCCAACCCCCCGCCATTCCCACGCCAACAGCTAGCTGACACAGCTTGCCCCCCATAGAGTTGATCAACATCCACAATGCCTTCCACCAAGGCCAATACCAGTCCGTGATCGATTTCGACACCTCGGCCCTCTCCCCCGAGAACCACGTCCCCGCCCGTGTCCTGCAGCTCCGCGCCCAGGTCGCTCTCGGCCAGACCGACGAAGTGCTGGCCGATGTCGAAGGCGAGGAGGAGACCCCCGATTTCGCGGCCGTGAAGGCCCTCGCGCAGCAGACGACCGGAGACGAAGAATCCGCCTTGAAGCTGGTGCAGGATCTTGCGGAGAACTATCCCGATAACGGCACCGTCCAGATTCTGGGTGGTGCGGTGCTTCAGGCTCAAGGCCACAGCGAGGATGCGCTGGCGTTGTTGACCAAGCACCAGGGGAACTTGGAGGCGTGAGTTTTATACACCGCAATGCTCTGCCTTTTTTTTTGCTGGCGCTCAGTGCCAGAGGGTACTGCTGCATTGTTGACGGGTTGAGCTGACTGGTACTTTTCCATTGGTCTAGTGTCGCCCTGATCGTTCAGATCCATCTCCAGCAAAACCGCTCCGATCTTGCCCTGAAGGAAGTCCAGGCTGCTAAGCGCTGGGCCCAGGATTCTCTTCTGGTTAACCTGGCTGAGTCGTGGGTTGGCATGCGTGTCGTACGTTTCCTCTCCCTCTCCCGTCCCTCGTATTGCGATTCTGGATAGGCTTGTTTGGGTCCGTCTAGCTAACTTTCTCGGTCTCGTCTCCAGGGCGGCGAAAAGTACCAAGCGGCCTTCTACGTCTACGAAGAGCTGGCCTCGGCCCCCAGCACCTCCGCTCCCCTGTCAATTGTCGGCCAAGCCGTGGCAGAACTCCACCTGGGCCGGCTGCCTGAGGCCGAGGCCGCGTTGACGGCGGCGCTGGAGCAACATCCCGACGAGGCCGAATTGATTGCCAATGCCGTGGTGTTGAATGTTCTGGCTGGCAAGCCCTCGGAAGAGCTGGAGCAGTACGTTACCTCCCATCCCCTCTCCCTCCTTATACCCTCCCGGGTCTCTCTTTCGAACTATGACCTACACCCATTTGCCCCCAACAATACAGCTATCCGCTAACAACACACCCCTCATCATCAGACGCCTCGAACAGATCCAACCCTCGCATATCCTCCTCTCCGACATTCAAGAAAAGAGCGCACTGTTCGACACTGCCGCGGCGAAGTACGCCCCGAGAGTGTCTACTTGATTTAGGATATCCGCTGTTGTTACTTTATTTGTTTTTCCCCCCAGCTCGCTCGCACGTTTATTGAAGACTACTACCTATTTATTTACCTTTTTTCCTCTCTGGTTTTTTTTTTTTTTCCCTTAATTCTGTCCCGCCTTGGCGCACGCAACTGTTGCTTCTCGATGATGATTTGATATGACGGCGTAGATATCTATGTATCGGTTAGGTATTATCCAGCGAATGCCTTGCTCTTTCTTCATATCTAGTAACATATTTATATACGCATTCGCATGCACCTAGTTGTGTCCAATGTACTGACGACTGGAAGGAAGCTGGATTGGGGTTCTTGTTCTCCATGCTCGACACTTCTGTCTTGATGGTATCGCGGTTTTGTGAGGTTTCATTTGGGGGGGGGGGGGGAAGGTCCAGTTGTTACCATATTCTGGGAGTAGACGCCATTATTCAGTTTGGTGTCGAACCAGAATATCACCCCCGATAATCCGATTTTTATTCATTACTTAATATACGCAGGCTAGATACCTAGGATATATAACTCCCACCCACCCAAGTGCCGCCACCCATCCCTTCAAATAAGCCATATCATTCCTTCCCAGTACTCTGTACTTGAATCACAGTTTCGCACCCAACCAATTGACAATCGCCTCACCCTGCTGAGTGTCATGGCCCACCAGATCTGCCGCGTAGATCGCCGACGCATGCGTCTCGCCCGCTCCCACGACGTACACCAGATTAGGGAGGACGTTCTATAGTGCCAAAGCGGCATATCATGTTAGTCACACCATGCCGGTGAAAGGCACAGCAAGAACAAGAACAATAACAACAACAACACAGCAACACAAAACAGGGAGGGGGCGGCATACCTTGTTCTTCTCCACAAACTCCCCAATTGTCGACAGCAAGACCTCATTCCCCCCAGCAACAATGAGAACCTGCTCTGTCTTGGCATCCCCCCACCACTCCGCGGGAGCTGTCGCCGGTTCACTCCAGGCATCCCCGCCCTTGTTCCCAAGATAATATGTGGACCATTTATCCAGAGCCTCGACGCAGATCATGTCCTTATATGTGTTTTCGTGCATGGAAGGGCCGTCCGTCCTGTAACTCAGCCAGGGCGCATGGCCGAATACCCCGGCTAGGGGCTGGGAGAGCTGCAGAGGCTCGATGTCGGGATGGGGATGGGAGAGATGGAGGAGGACCGCAAGGGCGAGATTTGCGCCTGCGGAGTCGCCGCCTAGGACGACGTTGGCGGGGGAGCGGTCCGTCTCGGTGAGGATATAGCGGAGGGCTTCGACGGATTGCCGGAGCTGGACGGGGTAAGCGGCGTGGGGGGTGAGCGTGTAGCTGAGAAAGAAGAAGGCGATGTTGTTGTCTAGGCGTTTGACGACATGTCTGACGAAGCGGAAGTGCTCGGGGTAGGCGTTTAGGAAGAAGCCGCCGCCTGGGTGGGTGGGTGGGGATGGTTAATGGGGAATCGGATGCTCGTGGAGAGGAGATGAGGGATGTGCGACTCACCATGGTAGTAGACGACGACGGTTTTGGCGTTCTTGTCGCCTATCCAGTGGCCTTGGGCACCGTGCTTGAGGGGGACGGTGTCCGGTGGGAGACCCTGTGCGGCCATGAACTGCCGGTATGCTTCGTCGGTGGGGAGGTCCTTGGTCCTGGGATCGTGGTCAGTCTGGGTTGCTGCGTTACACTGTCACCCCATCACGGTTGAAGGGACGTACTGCAACTGCCTTGGGGTATACGTGACACACGTCCTTCGCACCGCCGCGCAGGCCACATGGACTGAGTACTGTTTGGCACCACTCTGGCCCCGGAAGATGCCTGTGACGGCGGTCCTCAATACTGTCGCGAGAACTGCGAGGCGATTCAGAGCCTCCCGCATCTTCTCCCAGAGGGAGAGAGGCTGGTCCCAGGACGACATTGTGCGAAAGAGAGCCTCTACCAGTACCAGACGGACTACAAGAGGGAGGGATTGCGAGAGAGGAAGCAGAAGGCAGAAGAGAGGGGGGATCGAGAATGGGAGCGAGAGGCTTGGGATGTGCTCTAGGGGCCCGACAAAAGCAGGCTGGCACCGCCGCTCTCCCTGCATGAATCTAGCACACCGATCCAAACCATTGTTCCAGGGTGCATCGCCAGCGGTCAGCGAGGATCGGCCCGAATCGAGATGCAATGATGATCGCGCGCTCCGGGCGGCCATCCGACCACGGCTCGCGCTGCTTCCCCGCCGCGGAGAACATACCGAGGTTCAAGCCCTGTACGTGTACCCCTGTCACTCGATGGAAAAGAATATGTGGGGCCCCTATCCATTACTGATGGCTATCACTTTGATATACAGCCTAGTTTCCGTTCACCATATCTTCCTTCCCTGTCAGGTCGCAGAATGCCTTGTATGTTGTGAATGCCTCCTCCCCCGTGCCCGTACTCTCGATGATACACTCGGCATTGGCGCCCACAAAGAACACATACCCCTCCTTTACCTCCTCCGTCTTGTGGCCGATCGAAATCTTCCCCGTGCCTCCGGTACAAATCAGGATGCTGGGACCGACTAGGCCGTCGAATGTCGCCTTGGCGCCGGTCCTCCACAGATCCGTCTTTACCACGCTGAATTCTTCGATTGGGGGGTCGTAGAGCAAGCTGGATGAGGCACTCGAATAGGCGGACGCATTGAGCACAACGTATGGATAGTCGGTCGGCTCCAGCTTCTGTTCCTCGATCGGGGCGTAGGAATACGTCAGCATTTCGGCCAACGTATCCACATCCTTGAACTTCGGGGTGAATCCCGCCCGCACAACATTGTCGGACGAGGCCATGCACTCGATGATATCGCCCGAGATGTACGCATGGATATCGTCGGCCTTCAAGAACATGGCTTCCCCGGGGGCAAGTTTGACAAAGTTGAGGAGGAAGAATACAAATAGACCGATGTCGTTGGGAAACTGTCCGTTCAGACGGATCGTCAGGGCGGCCAGTTCGCCAGGGTTGCTCGGGTTCGTCTCGGGGGTGCTGGCAGACGTTGCAAAGGTGTCAGGAGAATCCTGAGCGGCCGCAATAAGCTGCTGGGCGGCGGCCTCAATGCTCTCTGGAGACGACTTCATCAATGTTGTAAATAGGGTGCGCAAAGCATCCTTGTTCTTTGCGGTCACAGTGGGATCTTCGGAGCTTTCAGAGCCCTTGACAGTGTTCTCAAACTCAGTAGCAGTTTCGTTGCCCACTAGCTCACGGAGAGGTGTGACTGCGTTGAGAAAGTGGACGATTTCACCCAACGGCCGGAAGCCACACAGTCCTTCGAACGGGGTGATCGCGATAGCCATCTCGGGTTTGTGGTTGTCATCTGCATGGAGACAGTCAGATCAATTCGTTCACTGTAGCAAGCTCATCGGATGAGGGCGTTCTCTTACCAGGGTAGTTTCGAGAGTCCCTGGCATGGAGCTTCTCGGCAAGCTTCTTGTTCGGGTGGGCTTGGATACTGAGGGCCTTCTGAATCGACAGGACCTTGAAGAGAAAAGGAAGTTTCCCGCCATATCGCTCACTGACTTCCGTAGACATCAAAGCCTGGTTATCTTGGACGAGATCAAGTAGGGTTCGCTGGGTCTCGACATCTTTGGAGGGAAGGGAGGGATGCGTGCCCATCCACAACTATACGTCATCGGGTTAGCCCACGGCGACCGTGTAAACACTGGAACTTGGGCAACCAACCTCGGCGTAGGGTTTCTCTGCCTCTATCGAGAAGTCGGAGGCCGCCGTGGTGGCGGCATACTTTGCAGCAGCCGAGTCCTGGCCAACCTTGCCTAGAGCAGCTTTCAGCATCGGCCGTCCGTGGGTCTAGTTATTCAGGATGCGGGGAACGCCTACCCCAGTCATAGCTGTTGACACCTAAACAATGCGAAAGCCAACCATTAGACACGATACAGTCGTTGGGATGGGTAAACAGAGAGGATACTTACCACACTGAAGCCGAAGTAATGGGACCTGCATTATGGGGGGTGGAGGGTGGAGGGAGCGAGGTCGAGGGTTCGAAAGAAGCTGTGGTGAATGGAGGAGGGAGGGGTTCTGGGGAAGTAGCGTAGCGAATTGGCAGCAGAGAGCCGGTCGGGTCTGTCTGTCAGGTCAGGGCAAGTGCTCCTCTTCTCAGTGGGGTTTGCTGGGCCTATTCACTCGAAAGCCGTGACTGCTTTTCCAACGAAACCAAAAGATGCAAAGATGCGGGAAAAAGAAACACGATGCTCAGTTCTCCTTCTCTGTCTCTCTGTCTCTCTCTCCATAATATTTGTGAGCCCCTCCATCCGCCAACTGCCCTGGATTTCTCCATTCCCGATTGGGTATTCCGCATCCGTTACGTGACCGCGATGGAGTCCGCCAATCAGGGAGTCTCCTGGAGCGCAAAGCGCGTCCCGACTAGCCGCGAAGGGAAAGCCAGCCGCCTCCCGACGCCGACGCAGCAGAACAATGACGGCCTCGGCCCCGGCGTGCCTGGAGCTCCTCCACCTTCAACTCCAGACCGTCCGCTCTCTACCCCTTCTTCTCGAGCTACTACTCCTGCCCCTGGACTCCGTCCCCATACCCTCAGGCAAGGCGCTGCCCGTGGTACGCGAAGCTCCGCCCAGAAGGAATTCGTCTCCGCTTTTGCCTGGGAGGCCCTGGACATCGAGAAGTTCAAGACCAGCACCGCTGAATCCCCGCCCGAATCCAGCCAAAGCCGGAAAGAGAAAGAGAGCACCCCTTCCACTGCAACTGCTACCTCGGATCAAAGTCCCTCATCCTCATCCGACAAGATGTCCCGCAACCGGCCCAGGGGCCCTCCAGTCCCAAGGGACAACGGTCTGGCCGCCAATGAGGAGACTGACATGTGGAACAAGATCCTCCAAGACCTTCGCAAGGCAAAGGAGAAGAATGACAAGCAAAAGGCCCTGGCCGAGCAAATATCCGCTCTGAACGAGAAGATTGGGCGAGACGGTGGAAGTAAGTCATACCTTTTTTTTTTATCAGTTAAGCTCCTTCGAATGGCGCATACGTGAGGCGGGAGGGGAGTATAGCCCTCTGCCAGGTGGACGTTTACGTGTCTTGTCTCCCCCCAATCTGTCATTCTGTGTCCCGGTACTTTTTTATTTGCCTTATAAACCATTCCGCTATTTCTACGCGTCTACGGTCATGGAATCAGTTGGACGTCAAGATAATGTTCTGAAATACGTTTTGCAAAACGCGCTTAAACCCCCACGCTTTGATCTTGGTGTTTTATGCGTCATCAATGTGTCAAAAGTCCAATATTGACCAACGAAACAGAGCCATCCCTCAGCGAGCATAATCAGCTGGATAGTCTTTATCGACAGATGCTGAAGCTCTGTGAGGACGAGAGAGCCATCCTTCAAGATGAGCCCAGCGATGTGATCAAAAATCTGGGTCTATTGACCGCACTCCGGCAGGCTTCAGAAGCCGAGGCGCCGCCGAATCGCGCTGCTGATCGTGCCGCTGCACTCTCCAAGTCGCGGAAGAAGCGAAACGACCTAGACGGGTCAGCCACGGACTCCCCGGGGCCGTCCGGCAGCGCTCTATCGGATAAGGTCGGCCGCATCAAAGGCAGTGCTCAGCGCAGTACAAGCGTTTCTAGCACGCAGTTTCGTGATGGACGTGACATCCGCGATAGTGGTGTCTATGTCAAAATCGAAGAAGGGTCCGAAAGCACCAAGGGGACAATCGCCGAGCGCAGCGGACATCTGGTGATGGGGGCCGAAGTCGTCTTCAAGCATAACAAGAATAAGCAAGGGGTCGAAGGCGAGGGCATCCAGTGTATTATCAAGGGCATCACCGGGGACGGACTCAAGAAACGGTAGGCATGCCGCCCCAGCATCTTCCCGCAGAATCATTGACCGACGTACCTTTCAAGGTATGATGTTCAGGACCCGGAGCCAAACGAAAATGGTGAACAGGGAGCTGTCTACAAAACCACGGCAGCGTCGTTGATCCCGATTCCACGAATTGGGACCACGCTGCCCTCGTTTTCCCTGGGGAAACAGGTCTTGGCGAGGTATCCGGATACAACCACCTTCTACCGCGCGGAAGTGATGGGGTCCAAGAAGGATGCCTACCGCCTCAAATTCGAGGGCGAAGAGGACGACAAGGAGATGGAAGTTGATCGGCGCTTCGTCCTTGACATACCCGGCAAGTGATGCAGGCCTGGGAACGTGGAGACTACACCACCATAAGAGATCACCCAAAGAGACGACTACGACAGGAGAGCTGGCCAGGAAAGAAAGGCGAAAGGTAGAAAATTGCCTAGTCACGAGGTCCGCATCACGATCCATCCTACTATTGATACCCATATGAACTGGATTTTTTTTTCGATTCTGGAGAGCAGGGAGGGGGAGCTTAGTCTGGAGTCAAGGTTGTTTTTGATTTGCAAGGGATATTGTATTGCCGAGTGGGATGCTGGTGGGGTGTTCTAGGATATTACTGATTTGTACTACTATTGTGCTATCGTGTGGAGGATTGACTAGGATGACAGTAGAGATCTCATGATCCGATCTGGTTTATTTTTTTTTTCCACAGCATTTATCTAGATAGCGTATGGTGCAATAGCTAGCATCCATCGCCATGGTCATGGAAGCTGCTAGATGCAGGGTAGACAGGGCCTGGCCCGGAACGTTTTCCGTAAGACTTACATAACGGGCGAGCAGCCTGAGTCAGCAACCCCCCCCCGCCGCCGAACCCGCCGCCTTGCCTTCCCGAGGGTCCGAACCACATGCAGCAGCGCCGAGATAGCAGCCGGATGACTGGGCCATGGCCGGCCACTACGAACCTCCTGCTCCGTCCTACTCTATGGTGATTCTGTCTTCTTTGACCCCGTTGCATCCATCCGTGGCCATGCTCCTCCTCTCGTCGCGACTTCCCTGCTGAGCTTCTCGTCTGATATGCGCCCGACTTGTATCTAAACCCCGCTATACATAATACTTTCCCTTGTCCTTGAATTCTCGACTTTTCCCTGAACGTCTGTGCATCGCCCGCCATCTCCCGCCATGTCGTCGAACCTACCATCCCACGCCTCCCCCTCCTTCACCGCGCAGGCCTCCTCCTCCCACCCTGTGGATGAGATTTCCCTTGGGGCAGATCAAACAGCGCCCCTGCCATTGAACACCCGGGTGGACGATCTTCGTGGCGATGCCGCCACCCAGTCCGACAGTGTAGATAGCGACCGGGGCGACGTGACCCCCGCCGTACCTGCGTCGTTGCTATCGCCATCCTTTACCCCGCCAGCTACCCCAGGAGGCACCTTCAACACGGCAAATCTACTCCAGCAAACCCAAGAGTCCACACATACGAAGCCTCCCAAACTCCTTGCCTGTCTCCCGAACGTCGAATGCATCGTCCGCGCCCGCATCCCCACCACCAACGGTGCCGAGATGTTCCTCCACCTCTACCTCAACGACCTAGATAATAAAGAACACCTGGCTATTGTTTTTGGGAACACGATCCGAAGTCGCAGTCTGGACAAGGTTCGCCCAGGGGAGACGGAAATGGATCGGATGATTCGTGGAGCTTACGTGGGCACACTGCACCCCGGTCGCGTGAGTAGTTGGTACGACAGCGCGAATGCTGAGGGAACAACCGGGGCGCAGAGTAGCAGCGGTACTACCGACGACGGTCCCGTATCGCAACAGTCGACATTGACGCGGAGTTCGCCGAGTCAAGCGCCACTGGTGAGGATACACTCCGAGTGCTATACTGGAGAGACCGCCTGGTCTGCGCGCTGCGATTGCGGTGAACAACTCGACGAGGCAGCGAGACTGATGTCTTTCCCCATGGAGACCCTGGCGGAAATTGCATCCCAGCAGGCGGTGTCTGTTCCCTCCAATGCATCGGGTGGCGTCATCGTCTACCTACGCCAAGAAGGTCGCGGGATTGGCCTGGGAGAAAAGCTAAAGGCTTACAACTTGCAAGATCTTGGGTCAGACACCGTGGAAGCCAACTTGCTCCTGCGACACCCGGCCGACGCTAGAAGTTACGGTTTGGCTACCGCGATGTTGGTCGATCTTGGCCTGGGCGAGGACTCCAATCCCCATGGAATCAGACTGCTCACCAACAACCCAGACAAGGTTCGGGCCATTGAAGGACCGGGTCGGGAGGTAGTGGTCAAAGAGCGAGTGCCAATGATACCAATAGCATGGAGGTCGGGCGGAAAGAAGGGCATCAACAGTTCGGAAATTGAGGGTTATCTGAGGACAAAAGTAAGTCTTGCTTACCCCCATCCCCTGGACAGGCCGCGTTGTTTTTTTTCTTTTTTTTTTTTCTTTTACCAAGTTACGGCTGGTTTCTCTTCAGCTAGCTGCCTTTGGTACTTCTGTCATGGACATGGTTGCTAACTGCCGGACTTGAATCAGATCGCCAAAATGGGACACATGATTGAGTGAATTAGATCGCCTCCCCCCTTTTTCTGTTACACTTGATTTCTTTTGCACTTGTCATTATAGCCGTTTATCTGCCCGGTATACTATGTATGAATGGCCTCGCGCGCCGGGGCCGGGTACCTAGTAATGTACAGCACTGCCGCGTCATGACGCTATCCTACCTTCCCGCTCATGGAATAGCGAGGTTTCTTTTTTTTTTTCTCCTTCCCCCTTTCCTGTACTTGTGTTCTCGGGGGGTTGGAAACCGGAGTGAAAAGGCATTGAGACTCGTGTACATCATCAATTGCCCGGTTGGTCGTTGGGCATCCATCCATGGGGTGGGAAAATAAAAGGGTCGCAGGGATTCGGTGTAAGGGCAGGTTAACTTCATTATCCGAGTTGCGCCACAGATAGACCAATGAGACGATTCATGAGCCGTCGTCTAGTGTGCAGAATCCCGAGACAATCGAATCCTTCCAGCAGGATGGACATTGGACGGAGTGATGGGAGGGGCCCTGGCTAAGTGGCTATGGATCCAGAACCTTGGCGAGGGCCTTTTTGCCTTTTCGCTCCCTTCGCACGCTCAAACATTGAGCAGCGCCACTATAGAAGTTGCGACTAGCAGGAACTTGTCCAGTCAGGCGTGGGATGAGGGGGAGAAGGAGATCGACCCGAGGGCTATAGTCTGGTTCAGAGTGGTTCTGCCAGCTCCTTCCGTCAGGAATGGGCAAAACGTGCTGCCGATTATTGACTTTGGGGCAACTCCACCGCAGCCAACCAGTCACCAATTTGCCCGTATTACGGAGTGTAAGTACGGAGTTGTAGTGGTATCTACAGTATTATATTTTCGCTCTCCTGCCGCCTCCTCCTCCGCCTCCTCCTCCTCTCCACCCCTCAAATGACTTCCCCGTCTCTCGTCTCCTCCGCTTTTCTTACCGTCACCTCCTTGTCCTTGCTTTGATTGCCCTTCCTGATGCCATCAGTCTGATCCATCCCTTGGGGAAATAACCCTCCGAATTGATTGCGCTTATCGGCCGTGTTGAACTTGCATGGCCGCTACGGCACGGGCTCCTTAGTCCGCAACACCTAGGCCATGGCCGCCCACTTTCCTCGAACCGACCTGGCTCCTTCAGCCGCCCTCGAGTCGGAGTCATCGGCGTCCTCGACCTCCTCGGCCTTCTCACTCACCCATGGGCCTTGCATTGCCTCCACAACCGCGGCGGCTGGGCCGGAATCTATGAAAGTGGAAGATTCCCCCACACCCTCCGCATTGACCTCCGCGGAGGCAGAAACCCCCGTCCCTGACAACAATGGGGCACCGGTGACTGCCGCGGGTCGGAAGCGCAAACTGAACAGCACCTCAGCACGCGGTGTCGCCAACTTGACCCCCGATCAACTGGCCAAGAAGCGAGCCAACGACCGTCAGGCCCAACGGGCCATCCGCGAGAGGACCAAGGCTCATATCGACTCGCTGGAACAGCGAGTCCGCGACTTGTCATCACAGAAGCCATTCTTGGATCTACAGGCAGCCTTGAAGCAGAATGAAGCTATTCGGGCGGAAAATACGGAAATCCGACAGGGCTTGAAGGCGGTAATGGATATTATCCAGCCTCTTATTGGAAAGCAAGACAAGCCGAGTATGTCCCATCAGCCCCCTACGAAGACGTTGTCCGAGAGATGGTTGAGTTAATGGCATTCATTGCCCAGACCCCATCGCACCCATACCCTCCGCGAAAAGTACCCAGATCCCTCCCATATCGATAGTGTCGCCAGTTTTGGAGAGCAACCGTTTCTCGGCCCACTTTCAGAAACCGGCCGCGGCCGAGCGCCCACCCCTTGAATCGACTACGGGCGTCGAGCCTCCTTCCTTCACGCAATCGACATTCACGTCCGGCGCTTCACGACCCGAAATTACAACGGCCGGTCCCGCTTCTTTTCGTATCGCATTTGACTACCAGCGACACAATCTCGCCCACGGCTTAGACTTTGGTGGAACGGATGAGCGAATGGGCTTCAACTTTCTACTCGATGCGTCCCAGCAGGTCCCCAAAGTAGAAGGGTTTCGGCGGTCATCAGAGACGCCTCGGCCGCCTTTGAGCAATCCGCCATATCCATCTCCGGTTCATACTGCCGCGACGGAACAATCACTTCCGGCCTTCTTAACTCCGATCCGCAATATTGCTCCGACATGCACTTTGGATGCCATTCTGTTGGATTTCCTCCATCACCGACAGAGCGACGCGGCAAAGGGAGTGCCCAAGCAGAAGTTGGTTGGGCCCTCGTATCCCAGTGTCTCTTCCTTGCTCAACCCAGAGAAGAGCGTCTACTCACACCCTCTCTCGAAAGTGTTCACGGACATCCTACGCACGTTTCCCGATATCTCAACCCTACCAGAACAGATAGCTGTTCTGTTCCTCATGTTCCTTCTCATGCGGTGGCAGATATACCCGACGTCTGAAAACTACGACCGGTTACCGGAGTGGTTGACACCTCGCCCGTCACAGCTCCTTACCCCCCATCCGGTCTGGATCGACTACTTGCCTTGGCCGCGGATGCGGGACCGTCTGGTAATGTCATATCATGAATACCCGTTCGAAAATTGGTTCATTCCGTTCACACGAACCGTGTCAGTCAATTGGCCGTATGAGGCGACCGACTGCCTGCTGTCTACCGGGGATGGCGACGAGCTCATCATCAATCCTGTCTTCGAGAGACATTTCCGCAACATCAGTAACTGGTCGTTGGGGCCTGCATTCGCAGAAGCTTACCCTTCGCTGGTGGAAACCACGACGATCAAACCCTGACACTAACTGGAACGAATTCCTGGAGAAAGATGACGTTGATTATGTGGGACATTTCACCTACTTTGATGGTTTGACAAAAATCATGAATCTAATCTCGGCTGTATCTTCTTCTTTGATCTTCCATTCACCTATTTCTATGCTCGATTTCCCAGAGGTCCACGTCCACTCTGGCGGATCTTCTGAAGCAAAATAACATATCCAGATTCGGGATAGATGCCGACCAAGGCCTGCAGTGATTGATTACTCAAATTCTGATGGCCTGGGTCTTGCTGGGGACCTTATTTGCGAGGTTCCTTGCAATTCGACTTACAAGGCTGTCTCTCTAGTCATCCGTCCGTACACTGGGTTGATAGACTTGTTCTACTTAGAATTCCCATCTAAGATGCGGGCGATGATCGCACTGAGTCCCTGCGTGTTCGCCGGGTTCTAGCCGGCTCCTAGTAGCCGCCAGCTGATTGATGCACCACCCCCCAGGGCGGGCATCTTCCGGTCAGGTCCGACTTGAATGGCGGACAAGGCAGTGGTCTCCTAAGGGGCCCTATCGGAGATATATAACGATGACTTCTGGCAGGGACGTAGTACCGTGACGGACCGGATCGTTCTCTTTACGAGGAGGGATGTTTGTGTGCATGGCCTTACCAATGTCCCATAAATCTTGGCATAAAAGTGTGACTATAGACACCTATTCTGTCTACAAAGTACTACAAACAAAACATGCACCCAAAAATATCAATTAAGCATTCCCCTTTCTACTCCTCTCATTCCAGAACTCCAGACCAGCCTTTTGCCGGAGAACCCCGTACATGGAACTGCTATCCAGGCATTCGCCCGCGTACTCTCTCGCAGCCTCCATGTTGTCCAAGGAGACCTTCAGTCCGGGCAATTCGACCTTGTGGTCGCGGGCCATTGTGAATGCATGCTTTGCGTCTTTAATAGCCAGGGAGACCCCAAACCCAGGACGCGAGTCCAATGGAGGCGCATAGGCGCCCGTCGTTAATCTGTATGCGTCAGTCTCGGACTCGAAATCTCTATAGCATGGAATACCCACCTTTTCGAATATCCCCCTGCCACAGGCCCGAAGGCTTCCCCGATGAGCTCCTCCATCGGACCCGTCCCTAGCCCTGTCCTCTCCGCAAACACCTGCGCTTCACCCACCGCTTCCATCATGTTGACCGTGACGATATTCCTGACAGCCAGATTAGCCCCAACCCCGAGCCAGGAAGATAGAGAAATATATAAATCAAAGTCAGACTCACCCCGCAATCTTCAAAAGCGACGCCCGGGTCGCATCCTCCCCACAATCAATCACCTTGCGCCCCATGACGTCCTGAATCAAGGGCTTCACCACCTCCCTCGCCCTCCCCGGCCCCCCAATCGCAAACACCAGCTTCCCATCCACGGCAATCGGGTTCCCGCCGAACACCGGAGCAGCCAGGAAATCGGCTTCTTGCTCCTGTAGCTTCGCGGCCGTCGTCCGTACCGTTTCCGGGTGCACGGTCGAACAGTCGACGAAGATCTTATTCTGGAGAGAGTGACCTGAGCTGAGTGCTGAAGAGATTAGTTGCTGGAGAACGGCGTCGTTGGAGACCTGATTTTGGGTTAGCGATCTAGGCATACTGCTGCTAGGGGGGAAGTAGACGGGATGAGGACGGAGGGCTAGAGAACTGGAGAGCTGGATACAATACTACACATACCATGGTAAAGATAATCCCGCACTGCGCGACGACATTAGGGAAGCTCGATTCGGGCGTCCCGCCCAGGGCCTTAAGGGCGTCTCCGCGCGCCATGGTTCGGTTGTTGTAGATGAGTGATTGGGTTGCTTTGCGGACGAGCTGCTTTTGCAGATTGCTGGCCATGGCTAGGCCCATGGAGCCGAGGCCGTACTGTGATTTTTTGGGTGGGATTAGTTATTGCTTCTTTCGGTGTCTTGATGCTTGGGTTGGGTTAAGGGATCAAGGTACGCACCCAGCCGATTCGAGGCATTGTGTCTGGTTTTCTGGCTGGCTGTCTGTCGATCTGTTTAATTGATTGGGGTTGGAAGGGAGGAGGGTTTAGTTGAGGGATTATGTATCAGCTGTAGGGATCAGAAGAATAGCTTGAGGTTGTAGTAGTTTGGTGGGTGATGTTGATAGATAAATGACGATAGTACCGCATCTACCGGGCGGGCCCGATGTCGGGGTCCCGGGGAGATGCGATGAATGATCTCCTCCATGCCTGACTCGTTCTTCTTGGAAAACCCCGTGGCTACGATTGACCAGGGTTGATAATGTTGCCCTGGGTACTGTAGGCTATTCTATTCACCAGTTAAGTCAATGCAGTTTCTGTGCAGGGACACGGCTCTCTCGTGTCTGGAAGTAAGATGCAAAGTGTAGTGATGGTATTGGCTACTTTTCCAATCCAACATGGCCATCAGGTGTCAAGGCTTCAAGGCTACGAGGCTCCCAGGCTACAAGGCACTAGGGTGTCAAGGCATAAAGGTGTCCAGGTGTCAAGGCTCTAAGGCGTCAAGGCGTTGACGCGCCAGGCACCAACCACACCGCCTCAGGCCGGGACACTCGTCACTGGCGGCGGTAGCGTGGGTGGAGGAGGTGCTCCGGCCAGACTACTCCTCCTGTTGCTGCTATCCTCCACTCCATTCCTCCCCCCCCCCCGTTCAGCCTTCCGCTTTCTGGACGTCATCTTCATGCTCCTTTGCTTTAGTCACTCTGGAATTGATTAATCACTCGGCTCCTCTTGATCTACTCTCGCCATCATGGCTGACATGCCCATTGGTATGTTTATGCACGATCCCCCTCCTACCCAGCGCTCCCTGTCGGTGCCTGTACCTCCCTCCCTCCCGTACCTCGCCCCAGCTAACCAACAACCCCCCATAGTGCTCGACGGAGGAACCGGTTTCCTCAAGGTCGGATATGCTGCGCAGGTCTGTCGCTCACTTTATCCCAATTAAATCGAACCACTTGCTAATGTGCCTTCTCCTCGATACAGAACTTCCCCGAGCACCAGTTCCCCTCGATAGTGGGGCGGCCCATATTGCGAACGGAGGAGCAGGCTGGCGACATTGTCGTCAAGGATATCATGTGCGGAGATGAAGCTGCTGCCGCCAGATCCATGCTTCAGATCACCTACCCCGTATGTCTCTCTCGTGCCTCTGTTCTTCCGGTCCTTCCTTCCCCTCTCCCCGCCCCCGATGTCCGGCAGGCGCCCGTGTTAATTGTTGGGCCCCGTGGCTATAGATGGAGAACGGTATAGTCAAGAGATGGGACGACATGCAACACCTATGGAACTACACTTTTTACGAGAAGATGAAGATCGATCCGACCGGCCGCAAGATCCTCCTGACCGAACCCCCCATGAACCCCCTGAAGAACCGGGAGCAGATGGCCGAAGTGATGCTGGAAGGCTACAACTTTGGTGGTGTATACGTCGCTATTCAAGCTGTGCTTGCACTATACGCCCAGGGTAAGTCGGAGGTTCCCTACCACTTATCCGGAACCACAGCGCTAATCGCCGCCTTGTTCCAAACCCCCAGGTCTCAGCAGTGGTGTGGTCGTTGACTCCGGTGACGGTGTCACCCACGTCATCCCCGTCTACGAATCCACAGTCCTCAACCACCACATCCGCCGACTCGATGTCGCCGGTCGCGATGTCACTCGGAACCTCATCGCTCTCCTGCTCCGTCGCGGTTATGCCTTGAACCGTACCGCCGATTTCGAGACCGTGCGCCAGATTAAGGAGAAGCTCTGCTACGTGTCCTACGATCTCGAGCTGGACAAGAAGCTCTCGGAGGACACCACAGTTCTGGTCGAGTCCTACACTCTCCCTGACGGTCGCGTCATCCGTGTGGGAAGCGAGCGCTTCGAGGCCCCCGAGTGTCTCTTCCAGCCGCACTTGGTCGACGTCGACCAGCCCGGTATCGCTGAGTTGCTCTTCAACACGATCCAGGGTGCCGATGTCGACGTCCGCTCTAGTCTGTACAAGGCCATTGTGCTCAGTGGAGGAAGCAGCATGTACCCCGGTCTGCCTTCGCGGTTGGAGAAGGAGCTCAAGCAGCTGTGGCTCACCCGCGTGCTGCAAGGAAACCCGGAGAGACTGAACGTACGCAATTCTCTTCTCCCTACCGACATAACTGATTCCGCTGGCTAACCCCATCGCAGAAATTCAAGGTGCGCATCGAAGACCCGCCGCGACGGAGACACATGGTCTTCCTGGGAGGTGCCGTCCTCGCCAACCTGGTATGCTTCTCCTTCCTCTTCCCCTTCCCCTAAACCTTTTTCTATTACCTCCCTAAAACCACCCTCATCCATCCAATTCACCCACTAACCCATCCCCCAGATCGCCGACAAGGAGGACATGTGGGTATCCAAGCAAGAGTGGCAGGAGCAGGGAGCACGTGCCCTGGCCAAACTCGGCCCTAGATAGTAACCTTACCTACCCTATATTCGATTCGTGTATACCACTCGACCTTCCATGCCACACCCATCAGCCACCTCCTATGTGAACTCATTGCCATTTGCGAATTGCGAATTGCGAATTGGAAGCTCATCATCCCTGTCCGCATCCCCCCCCCCCCCCCCCCTAACAGCCTTGCTCTTCTTTTCTCTCACCGGAAGGCTTCCTTCTGTCAATATACGTACATACATACATACTTCCATCTAAAAACATGGTTCCCTTGTTTCTCTGGGGAGATCAGCTGCGCTGTGCTGCGTTGCCACCATTTTTTTAACGCCATTTACTCATTTACTCGTGTAGGAAGTTAGTCAGTGTATATACAGGGGTTGAACTACTCGTATGATTGTACTATGGAGTATGAAAGTAGTAAGTTGTCTGATATATAAAAGACAATTCAAAAGGACTTTTTTTCTTCGTTCCTAGTTTAGTAGCTAAACCAGCAGATCCGTTCTATCCTCAAGTCTATCCTATGTATGTGTGTATGTCTAATCGAACCCACCAGGTACTCCCAAAAATGCGCATCCGAGTCTGGTACAAGCACCCAAACCCAGACAAAAGAAAGAAAAGAAAGAAGATCAACTTCCTGTACAGAAGGATGTATAACTGGATGAAGATGTCACTGACTGGTTCTTGGTCCATGTGATCTCCATGACCCAACAAAGAATAAATGGAAGGAGGGAAGATCAACAACAGGTGGGAAGGGAAGGGGAGCGTATATATATATATATATATATATCTCTCTCTCTCATATATATTGAATGGTGCGGTCTGGAGTGATATTTATTCATCGCTTTCAGACTCGGTTTGTTCATTGGCCATGTTCTTTTTCCGTTCTTCGTTCATCTCCCGATAACTGCTCCAGCTGAGGAGGAAGAAGGCGACGATGATGAGGACGCCGCCGATGATGGCAGCGGCGGAGAGGGACTGACCGGTTCGGAACCAGTCGACGATGGCGACGAGGAAAATGGTGAGTAGCGCAGCTACGGAGGACAGGACGGGCGAGGTGAGAGAGATCAGGACAAGGAAAGAGCCGGAGAAAGCTGGTTTGTAGCAGTGAGCATGTGATACGCGGGGTCAAGGCAGGGCAGGTGGACTTACTAGCGTTGGCTAGGACGGAGATCATGAGCATCCACGCGGCTTCGCCGGTGGGCCAGCGAAACGTCTCCAAGCCGGTCAGGTGAAGAATGGGCAGTGGGATCCAGAGAACGAGAAGAGTGAAACACCCGATCAGAGTGCCAAAGGTGTTGGCGAAGATCATGCTCCGACCAGGACTGGTGCCCTCCGGGGGACACGCAAATCGCTTATAAAGCACCTCGTACAGGCCATACAGTACACTGCCAACGCCGATGATGACATTGCCCACCAGTCTGTTTTCAGCCTCGTCGTGCGGTTTGCCGACCGTGCCATCTGCGGTCTTCTTGTTCTCGTCGCGATCGCCATACGCGACTACCAGGACCCCCACAATCGCTACCACGACCGCAAACACTTTATCAAACCGGAGTTTATCTTTGAGGAGAGGGATGGAGAATGCGTAGGCGAAGAAGGCGGAGCAGTTGTAGATCGCCGTCAAGTCACTGGCGGTGGTCATGTTGACCGCAACATACCAGGAACCTCCAGCGATGGTGAGCGCGCTGGTGACAAACGCCGTTGTTCGGAGCATGTAGGGGACTGGAGATTGGTGGGAATCACGGGAAGTGACGTGTAGGTCCTGGGTTTCCACCATCTTTGCCGTCGATCGAAGAAGATAGACATGTCGCCGCCAAAACGCCGCCCATGAGAGTTTTCGTTTTTGTACGCGAAGGATAAGGAGTTGAATAGGCCAAAGAAGAGCCCAGGAGCCGTGGGTAAGATATCTATATGTCAAGACCAAGTTAGAAGTCTGAACCGCGCGCAAGGTACCAGAGCTAGGCCACTTGTAAAGGATAGCACTTACAGCATGCAATACGGCTTGTCCCACTTCAACTCATGTTGGATATATACCGCGGTTTCGGTCTGAACGACAAAGCTCGCCAGACTCAAGAGCAGGAAACCCGATGCGATCAGGTATTTTCGCCGAGTCTGCTGCTCCGCATTGCGCTCCGGGCTCGTGCCCCTGATTGTGGGACGCCGTGAATGGTGCAGCATGGGCCTGCCTTCTGCATCGCCATGGCCCGGGCTGGCGTTGGACAGCCGTCTGTGTTCATCTTTGAGCAACGGGTGGTGTGCCCGCGCATCAGCGGAGCGGTGCATGGATGGGCGATTCATCTCATCGTCTGAATCGTGAGAGTCGAGAACCAGCTCGGGGTCGCTAGCCTCTCGCGGACCCGGGAATTGTGTACTATGCGAAGCCACCTTGTCTCAATCGTCGGTCCACACCCTTCCAGCGGGAGATAGATAATCCAGTGTCGGAGAAAAAGAGTACAAAGAAGGTGTGACCGTTGTCCAAACCCGTGCGCCCGACAAATAGGGGGCCTAGCGATAACGAGTGGAGGAAGTTCGGGGAAGGCTGCTCTACCGGGGTGGGGGGGGGAGACGCAGCCTTTGACGGACGGGGAAAAGGGCGGCAGGAGAGTCGAGATAAAGGAGGGACAGTTCATGCAGCGATGACGCGAGAGAGGTCAGGAGGAGGAAGAGTGGTCAGTTGCCCTCGAGACGGAGGCGGATGAGAGGGTCGTGAGGCCCATAGAAAGGCGGCTCCGGAGGAAGAGCGCCGCTGCGGCCACGTTTGCCAAGCACGAAGCGACGAGCGGATTGCGCGTACGTCACGACTCAGACAGTAAGGCGTCCAACAAGAAAATGAGGATAGGGGCAGTGGCTAGAATACCTGCAAGGGAGAGACGAGGACAAAGTGCGAAGGAAGAGACTGATACTTTAATGAGGGCCAGATGGAAGGAACCATGGCAGTTGGAGGTTATGTTGCAGTCGCCCGTAGGATTTCCCCGTTCAGGGACCGGCGGACCCGCGGCACGGCCCCTGATTGGCAGCTGCGTGTCCCGATCGGGAAAGGGCAAGTGGGCTGCACGTGATGCCGTGGGGTTCCCGGGCACCTTCCGCATTGGTACACGCCGCTACTTCTTTGCTACCGCAATGCTTATTCTTATTTATAGTATCTTCATCCTCATCCTCATCCTCATTCTGACCGGGTTCTTTCATAACTATGACACAATCGCCCCCCAAGTGAGCCGGAACTGACATCCTTCCTAATCAATGTGCGAACCGGAAATCCATTCTTCGGTTCCCCTCGTCCTTCGTGGTTGCAACATAATCTACCCTTTGATCCTCCGTCATCGCGTTCCACTTGCAGTCCCGCTGGCGATTCCGCAGCATGTAATATGCCTTGGTCGCCAGGTAGAGGACAATGTTGGTGCTGATAAGAGCCAGGAGTACTCGGTTTCCTACGACATAGCGTGGTGCATCCCCTATGTGCAAAAATGACATGTCTAGTCAGTCAAGGTCTATCTATCTACCTTACCCTAGTGACGATTCCAGCAGAGGGTCCACACTTACAATCCTGGTATACGTTGGAAGCTATGATGGCAGACAGCTGCACAGCCATATTGTACATTGCAGCGGCAATAGCCCGAGTTCGCACGCTGTTCGAGTTGCGGGACACCCACCCGGCTTGAAGTGCATGGGCTACCCGTGCTCACGTTAGCGCTCAGACTTCGGAGAAAGCTAGTCTGCCCATATAGTTCGTTGACTTACTATTTGGGAAGCCCTGGAGTAACGTGAGGACTGTCCACACGACCCATTTGTTTGTCCGACTCAGATCCCCCGCATTCATGTAGATCATAAGTGGCAGGCACCAAAGCTGAGCTAGAACCCCCATTAATGCCAGAGAGCCAAACATTTCCCCTGCATAGGTGATGAGGATCCTTGTCACAATCTGGAGAACCTGGTGGTCTGTTAGCAACAACGACAAATATATGAACGTCATCTGATGGAACCCCGTACATTGGATGGGATGGCTAGCAAAACAGTATTGAAGGTGTTAAAACCAAAATCCTTCATCTGCAATGTAAAGTACTGTGAAATCGTGGCTGCTCATGGCATTAGCTGAATACATACGAGCAGATATTTGAAACTGGGTATACTGACTCCATGGTGTCAAAAACATCACACCTATAATGTACAGCGGCCATAAATCATAGTCCTTGATGCTCATCCACAATAGCTTGGCTGTGAGTGGCTGACGGTTGTGCATGGAGCCCTTGCTCGGGTCCTCCCGTATGATACGGTTGACCATGATGGTTTCTTCCCTGTTTGTGACCTTGTTTAGTTTCCGATTCCTCCGATTTACTCTGACATTAACATACCTAGCCGTGAACCAGCCCTTCTTTCCTCGGGCCCAGTGGGCCGTTTGTGTTGGCGAGGGGGGCAAAAGAACAAACGAGAGAAGACCGAGCGTTAGAGTCATGAGTCCCTGCTAAAATTGAGCAACATTGTCCCGAGGCACTCGATGGAGCAACACACCTCAATTAAGAAAAGCCACCGCCAGCCGGCTTCACCAGCACGGCCGCCTATATGCAAAATCCCGAAGGCAAGAAACCCTGCCAGAATGTCTGCCAAAGAAGACGCTGCATACCAGTATCCAAGACGTATAGATAGCTCATGGTGTTTGTAGAAGTAGGAAAGATATAAAATAACCTTAATAATGTCAGAGCACTGTATGGGAAAAAAGCAACGTTCATAGAGCCACTCACTGCGGGGGTAAACCCTCCAGACATGATCCCTATCAATGCTCGACAGACCAGGAAGGACTCTCGATTAGTGAGCCAGAACTGGCAGCCAGCAACAATCGACCACGAGACCATTTGTATGGGGAGCCATCTGTCCGCGCCAATCTTCTTGCAGATTATCTGCGTGGGAATCTCACTTAAGAGATAGCATAGTCGATAGAGTGTGTTCCCTAAGTTGTAGTCTGGTTCCAGAAATTGAACGGTTAGCCATAGCACCTTGCTCGTAATGGTATATACACTGACCGTCTCGGTTTAGATGAAGGTCGGTAAGAAAATTGTCCGCATTTGCTTGTTCTAGGAACGTTAATAGATCAATCTCAGTCAATAAAACTTAGTGAACTCACGGATGTTTGATTTGTCAAGCTCCAGGGCTGTTATCATCACACAGGCCCATAAAACAATTCGTGTATCCAGTTTTCTGACAATTTTCTAGGGCGTGTTAGGGAAATACTCGCTAGCGTTCAGAGATTGTTCATAAACGTACATTTTCTTCGGCCCAGGTCCATCTTGCAGCCGGATCGAAGCGATGGATGCCCTCCCAGTCTGGTCGGGGTTTATATTCTTCAGCAAGCTCTGGATCATCGTATACTGATGGCTGTGTTGCGATGGCGTTGGGGTCGCAGGCTTTGGATCGCCGGAACCAAGAGCGGCGGCTGTCGGATGAAGTACTAACTGCTGTATCATCCGCACAAGCCCCAGCAGGGTGTTGCGTAACTATGACAGTCTTCTTCTCGATATCCGATACTGTTAAAGGATTTGACCCCTGACTGGAGTCATTCCTTTTTGGAACTGAACGAGCAATGACAAGGGACATATTGAAGAAGTCAATGGCCTCAACATTATCTTTTGTTCGTGTCCCAGGCCAACGTCTTTATATCTCTCTGCCACGCATTCAAATCTCGGACATCCTTGACTTGAGTAACAGGTAAGGAGATGTGATAAAGCCGCCATCATGGCTTGGTGCCCACTCGCTCTAGTCCCTCTGGACTAGCCACACCACTGCCAACCCAGGATCTAGATCAAAGCGATATGCAACCCTCCAAATGACTATAATTCAAACATGTCGGATTGCTGGATATCCGGAGCCCCCTTGATACAGCATCCAGACGACAGTCTATACTGCATATGAAAGACACCGGGGTCCGGCTGCGTTCTGTTCTTGATGCATGGTGGCAAGGTGGCATTGCAGCGTACACCTGGATCTTTGCGCGCAGTCTGTCGACTGAGAAATAAAATCCGAAGAATGGAGCAATACACCTTCTGGAATTCCTTGAAATCGGAAGAAAATGGGATTTTCTGTGCATCCATTATCCTCCGTCGCGTCACGTCCGGAGATGCCTTGTCAATCAGCTCAGCGCCGTTTGCTCGTCTGGTGGTACAATGAAGGGATATGCGCACTTGCAAGGAGAAATCGGAGATAAGCCTTTTAGAGTTTAAAGGAGGTTCCAGGCGCATGCTCACCGAATGTGGTACAGTGGTTGTCAGGCGCCTACCCCGGATTAGTCTCGGACAATGGCCTAAGTGAAGTGTCATGCAAGGGTGCAGTATACAAGTATACAGCTAAAGCCCATTGTTGATGCTGCATCATGCGAGGATCTTCCTCAGGCAGCTGATGGGCCGCGCCAGTCAAGCTTCGAATTATAATAACGCATTGTCGTTATTGATTACATGCGACGCGAATCGCACCAACAGAAGGCATCGCAAGGCACCTGGATCAGTGGATTAGGAAAGAAGATACGGTCCGAGTTGAGGAAATATCGCCGTGGTACTACCCACGCTTGGATGCGAACATCTATGGATAGGCTAGGCGAAAGTATAGTCTGATGCTCAGGTGCCACTGACTGAGTCAGATAAGATCGATCCCTGTACATCTGGTGGTTCATATCAATCCTCGCAGATGTCAATTACTTCAGGGCGGGTATGTACTGTTAGTGGCGACGCACCGATCGACAAGGGGAGGAAAAAGCAAAAGGAGTCAGTAGAGGGGAAAGAGGGGAAACATATGCTCCCGGTGTGAGATGGAAAGGACCTACAACTTCTCTCTCACATGTGCGGCATAATCGGCCTGCATGTTGCTCCGCAGAGGATTCCGATCTAGACCCACCGTTGGATGGCCTTTCGATTTAATCCAGGCTGGCAGACTCAATGTTTCCCCAGCCCACCCCCTGCTCCTTCCATTCGGCGCGGAAATGGCGGCAGGAGACGAGGCTCCACGTTGCTACTGCAAAAGTCTTTCGGATGTTGTCAAGGTATATGTTCAATTCCATGTTTCATGTCTATCCCACTTCTTGTCGATGTTGCTCTCCTACTCTAGTACGCCCCCAAAATCCCGTAACACACCTAGGCTTTGGACTTGGGCTTGAACAGAACCTCCTTGGTGTCGTATGCATACTGCAGATCAAGGTGCCAGTAATTAGACGCGGTTGGCTTTGCAACCAACCACGCCTTGTCCAGAGCCTCCACCACCTCCTCGGGTAGCGGACCTTTCTGGATATCCTTGAGGTTGTTTTCCAGCTGAGCAAAGCTGCTCACACCTACAACAATCCCATCCCGGCCATTGTCCTTCATATTCAAGGCAGAGTGATGGCGGATCCAACGGAACGCGGTTTCCGGCAATGTCAATCCATGTTTCTCCGCAACAGGTTCCACAATCCGCAGAGCGTCAAAAGTCGCATCCTTAAAGTAACGCTTGCGGTACAGAGATCCGGATGTAGACTTGTCACTGTACCTGCCCTCCGCCGGTACATCTTGGGTCTTATATTTACCGGAAAGAATCCCACCCGCAAGGGGGTTGTAAACCACAATGTCAATGCCGTAGCGCTTGCAGGCGTGGACTAGTTCGGTTTCGATGTTGCGAGCTATACACACGAACGTCAGCAGACCATTCTAAACCCCAGTGAGCAGCCGCATCAGCATCCGAGACCACTTACTGATGGCATTGTACATAGCCTGGTATATCGTGGGCCGGACCCAGCCTCGCTCGTTGCAGAGAGTCACTATTTCCGCAACCTCAAACGCAGTGTAATTACTCAACCCGAGCTGTACGAACTTGCCCTCCTTGTGCAGTTCATTGGCAGCCTCCAGGGTTTCCGCAAAGGGGACTGATCTATCGGGAGCATGGAGATAGAAAATGTCGACCTGGTCTGACCCGAGTTGCTTCAAGGACAGTTCGAGGTTCTCGCGGAGGACGTTAGGCTTATGCCCGCCGGGGGTCTTCGGGTACCACTTCGTGGCCAGAGTCAGGCCCCGTTCCTTCCATCCTGCTTGAGCAGTGAAGGCTTCTTGCTCACCCCCGTTGTAGATTCTCGCCGTGTCGACCTCGTTGAACCCCTGTTGCTGGAAATGATCCAAACATGCGTTGAAGTCGTCCAGCGAGGTGATTCGAGCACCCTGGGATTCATTGGGTCCAAAGGTCATCAACCCAAGGATGACCCGGGGCGTGGGGTTCTGCGCGATAAGAGGCATGTCTACGGGGGGGTCGGGATTCCCGTTAACTTATGGGTAATCAAGGCACGAGCCGGGAGCCGGGAGCTTACCTTGACGGTTGAAGTAGGTAGGTGGATGGGTGGGTTGAACCAGGGGACGGGGAATGTCTAGACAGACGACGAAACAAGATTGACTAAATAGTCGGATAACTTAGCGCTGCTTAATAACGGCGAGGCTTGAGTCAATTGCCGCCGAAGAAGAAGAGGGAAGAAGAATGGAACAGGGAAGCTGGAGGGGTTCCGATGCTCCGATAAGCCCGGGCGGCCTCCTGGTTGAGTGACGGCTTCCCCGCACTGTCGCAATCGTCATCCATGGCACCTGCCATCAACCCATCGCTGGCTGAGGCCTGGATGACGATCGCGGGGAAACTTCCCCGGTTCTGCGACAACATATATAGCGGCAGGGGGTTCTGGTGCTGGCCGGTTGACTGTCACCAACTAACCACACTTTTGCCGGTGTTGGGTGGGAGAACCGACTAAACCAGCCCCGCCTTGACTCACTTCACCCTCCTCTTGGTTCCTGGTTCATGCGATTCCCCCCTCCTTCATTTCACCGCGAGATTCTCAAGATGGACAAACCGATCCAAAAAAGCAGGACCATCCTGGTCATCAATCCCAACACATCCACGCACATGACCAATGCGTTGATCCCCATTCTGGACAATCTCGGTCATGGAGGCATTAAATTCGACTATTTCACAGCCCCGGCATCGGAGAGCGTCAAGCTCCCAGACGGCTGTGTCATCCACGGGGTGCCCAGCATCGACTCGGGGGAGGATTCGGTCCGATCAGCTTTCTACTGCATGCCCTTCTTGGAGCCACTGGTGACTGAATATGACGGCTTCATCGTGGCGTGCTTCTCGGCCCATCCCCTGGTTGGAATGCTGAAAGAGAAGGTCAGATCCATCGAGGATGAAAAGGTGGAGAGTGTTCCCTCGGATATGAAGGTCCAGAAGAAGTACGTGACCGGCATTTTCGAAGCGGCAGTCCTAGCTGCACTGGGCGTCATCGGTTCGTTTCACACCACAAAGGGCCCGGGCTTTCAGAAGGCCCAGTCTCGGGATACCTTTGGCATCATCTCGACCGGCAAGGCCTGGGAGGCCGAGCTCACCCAAGCCGTCGCGGACATGCTCGGTGCCTCGGGGAATCAAACGAGCCGCTTTGCTGGCGTGGAGACAACCGGGCTGACAGCTGAGGAATTGCACACCACCCCTCCGGCAGAAGTGAAGAAAAGACTGGTCGAAGCAACAGAGCGGCTGATCAGGGCATCGCCAAACCCTGTCGGGGCGATTTGCCTGGGTTGTGCTGGGATGGTGGGCATGGAAGATGCAGTGAGGGAGGGGTGTGTCCGAGTGTATGGCCGGCCGCGAGGCAATCAAGTCAGGATTGTGGATGGAGTCATTGCTGGGGCTGGGATGCTTGCTACGGCTTGCAAAGCTGGGTTTTAGAGCATTCTGGCTGCTGGTACTTTTAGGGGTACGATTCCGGGTTGGCAAGCATACCTTGGAGTTACTCCTAACCAAAAGACATTGCAGTACGATAAAAGAGCTGGAAACCCTCTATTGTCCTCAAGAGAGTCTATTATGTGTCCTCCTATGTATCTTCCTTTGGCAATTCGTCAGCTCGGTATCCCCCAGACTGCTTACTGCTTTCACTTCCCAGTCACAGAGTGCTGGTGAAGGGGGAAAGGAAAGAAGGGGACCTAATGTATTATAAATTAATTCTGTAACTTTGCAATCCCATTTAATTTTTCACAAAACATTCCCTTTGGGGTCATTCAATGAGTCTGTCCTGTGTTGACATGTTGATTGCGGCCAAAGTGAAGATGGGGGGGATGTTGGCCTCAGGCCGCCACTAGCCTAATCGACTCATGAATTTCCCCGCGGAACGCGCTACGCGTGGGCTATAATCACCCACCATCACTTGCGGTGGTCAAGCAACAAGATGCCCAGGTATGTGCCACCATCTTTGGCACCTCTGTGATCTGCCTACGGTCATGCAATCTGGTTCACCAAGGATAACACCCGGAGCAGGGAAATAATAACGATCCAAGCCGGCCAGTGCGGTAACAATGGTATTGATCCTCCATTCCAGCTACACAGCCAGCAACTTCGGGTTGGCACCTCTGATCGCTTTGGGCTCTGCTGACTGTTTCTCCTTATAGTCGGCGCACAGTTCTGGCAGCAGCTCTGCATGGAGCATGGGATAAGCCAGGATGGAAACCTGGAGGATTTTGCGACCGAAGGCGGCGATCGCAAGGACGTCTTCTTCTACCAGGTACGTCCAGCTCTGTTATGACGTGTTGCTTTACAAAACGAAAAGACTAACAGAGTTCTCATCCAGAGTGATGATACTCGTTACATTCCCCGAGCGATTCTGCTGGACTTAGAACCCAGGGTACGACCCCTTTGGCGAAGGACCGCGCGAACGGTGAGCTGAGAAATTTCCGAATAGGTCCTCAATGCCATCCAATCAGGCCCCTACCGAAACATCTACAATCCGGAGAACTTCTTCATCGGACAACAGGGTATTGGTGCCGGGAACAACTGGGGTGCGGGCTATTCGGCGGGAGAGGTCGTGCAAGAGGAGATCTTCGACATGATCGATCGAGAAGCGGATGGCAGTGACTCCTTGGAGGTATGATCCGGTGCAAACACGACGCACGTCGGTTGGGAGTGATACTCGGGACTGATATATTCTCGCAGGGGTTTATGTTCCTGCACTCGATAGCAGGAGGAACGGGCTCTGGTCTGGGTAGTTATATTCTGGAACGCATGAACGACCGGTTTCCGAAGAAACTGATTCAGACCTACTCCGTCTTCCCTGATACCCAGTCCGCGGACGTCGTGGTCAACCCATACAACAGTCTGCTTACGATGAGAAGGTTGACCCAGAATGCTGACTCTGTTGTAAGGCGCTGTTGCCCTTTTGAGATGATTTTCGAATGAGCTAAGAAATCTGTCTAGGTGGTCTTGGATAACGGTGCCCTCTCGCGGATTGTGGCGGACAGACTTCATGTGCAGGAGCCTTCATTCCAGCAAACAAACCAACTTGTCAGTATCCATCCGCTTACAAGCCAAGCCCTCAGGCGTTAACCGGTCCTAGGTGTCCACTGTTATGTCTGCTTCTACAACCACCCTCCGGTACCCCGGTTACATGCACAACGATCTCGTCGGAATCATCGCATCCCTTATCCCCACGCCGCGCAGCCACTTCCTGATCACATCCTATACCCCGTTTACCGGTGACAACATTGAGCAGGCCAAGACGGTGCGAAAGACCACTGTGCTGGATGTTATGCGTCGTCTCCTGCAGCCCAAAAACCGCATGGTCTCCATCAACCCCACGAAATCCAGCTGCTACATCAGCATCCTCAACATCATCCAGGGCGAGGCGGACCCGACGGACGTCCACAAGTCTCTTCTCCGCATCCGCGAGCGACGCCTCGCGTCCTTCATCCCGTGGGGCCCGGCCAGCATCCAAGTGGCACTGACGAAGAAGTCACCCTACATGCAGAACACCCACCGCGTGAGCGGCCTAATGCTGGCCAACCACACCTCCGTCGCGACGCTCTTCAAGCGAATCGTCCAGCAGTACGACCGTCTGCGGAAGCGCAACGCCTTCCTGGAGCAATACAAGAAGGAGAGTCCCTTCTCCGACGGACTGGGCGAGTTCGACGAGGCCAGAGCCGTGGTGATGGATCTGGTTGGGGAGTACGAGGCAGCCGAGAAGGAAGACTACCTGGACCCAGACGCCGGGAAGGATGTCCAGATGACCATGTGAGAAGAGTGTTTGAAGCTCATTCATTCATTCATTCATCGACCAGCTTCTCTTTCTTATTAATTATCGTTTTCGTGATGACTTCAAAGGGGTAACCGGTGTATTCCGAGTGGCAAGGGCGTTTTTTTCAAACAGAATACCTATTCTTTTCAAATGATATGATTTGGCGTTGTCTTGAACATGGAATGAACAAGCTGGCTGTTCCGGACCTGCTGTTCTCCCTACGAACGAACACCCTTTGATTAAGGTCTCTTAAATTCAGCAACCATATTATCATCAGCCTACCGGCGCACGCCGCTGCAGAACCCTCCTCGATTGGTTTTCCTTCTGGGCCAACCTTTCGACCGAAGGGAAACTGATAAGACGGTCGAGAGATGCATCCCATCCCATCACACACTTAACTGTGGATAGTAAACTCAGGCATATATCTATGAGTGATATAGTAGCATGTCGCTTATCCTTCAGTATTCTCCTCCCCGACAGAATTCCCATCAATAATGACGACAATTTAATCCCAACAACATTCAAGCCCTATGAAAACCAAACCAATGTCAGATCTTACACATCCACGCTGGCATCACCGGATATCCACACTCCTCATCGCAGTACCGGCAACTTACTTCTGCCAATTTCGCTATTGATTGCTTCATGACGAGAAATCTTTGTAGAAAGTGATGCATAATATCATGCCGGTCTTTCATTTGGGGACAGGGAGGGAAGGGGGGGGGGGGGGGGGGGGCGTACAACCAACCCTTCAGGAAATGACTACGATCTCTTATAGTAACAATGCACCCTTACAAACTTCCTTACCCAGACTACTAATACTGCAAATCCCAATATCCAATATTCTTCATTTCAAGTCCCTGCGTAGATATAGATATCTCTTCACATTCCATCTTCTCACCAAAACTCTCCCATCCCCTTCCCCTTCCTACCCACCTACCCATAGCCTGCCTATCCCATCTATCCATTCATCTATCTACAGCCAAAAAAAAAAAAAACTTACATTCTACACAAAAAGCAAACCCTACGTCGACTATCAATCAATCAATCAATCCATCAATCACCAAGACATCCGATAGTACTACTGTAAGTATTATACTCAAGTACAGTTGACGCTAAACCCGATCCTACCGGCAGATAGGGTCTGGAGCAAGCCGCCCGAGAAAGTGACAAATCGGGTGGGTGGGTGGGTGGGTTGGTTGGATCTGGACGAATGGGGGTGGGTGGGATCACTCGATGCCGGCCGGGGTGGAGTTGCCCGGCGGGTACGTGGATTCCTGGTTTGGACTAGGCTGCATTCTTCGATGCCTGACTGACCCTGACGATTGTAAGGTTGACTAGATATCTACCATCTATCTATCTGTTTATCTATCTACTGCAGGTAGAGTGAGGGTGGGGGCGGGGTTTGTTGGTTGAGTGGATGGATGCGTTGGTCTTGTTTTTTTTTTTTTGTTCAGTAGGTATTAGAGTTGTTTAGTATTTCTCTTCTCATTCAGGAATACTGGGCTTTCGAGATGATTGTGTAACTCGCAGTAAGGTGTTGTGGATGGGTAACTCTACTTTGTATGTTGGTAAGGGAGTGCAAGTGTAAATGCAATTATTTATATGATTTTCCTTGATGTGAAGCAGCGCTAAGCATCATCCTTTAATTATCCCTGTTGTTTTGTATGAACTCCAGGTATTTGGCTATTTTTAGAACACCAGAAAGGGTCCAGTCCTGCTTATTTCGTAAAAATATTGGATCCTGATTTTGACCTGCAGTGCACTTGCAAGAGCAGCTAAAGAAGCTGAGCAACTGGCGTGCTTCGATAGACCATAAAGCTTGTTGTAGATGTTTAGCTGCGATAGCCCTTTATGAAATCTGCGAGAAACCGTTCTGTATCACTGTGGTGACAGTCTTATGTTATTGAACTCAGTCACTGCTGGGATCTCTTTAGCACGCCAAATGTCCATGTTCAGAGCTGAGGATAGACCCTCTGTGAAGGATCACTTTCATGTCTTTTCGCCTATTTATTTCGTCAAGATCTGCGCATGTCCAATATTGATTCTCCAGGGAGTAGCTGCCATGTGTTAAGACGAGTCAATTCCCTCAATTGATGGTGTTCAATAAAAGGTAAGAATCCAAATCAAACAGTCTTCTCAACTCAGAGGGTTGTTGGTGTATGTTGAGCTTTTCTCGCCACAATCGCGGTTTGTTGCCGGCCGAGAATGCCATAGTCATGCACACCGCAATCTTATCGAGCGATAGCGACACCCGTGTAGTCGGGAGGGGGTTAATAAGTATGGTTTCGCCGGATGCTGTATGGTTCTGTTCCAATTCAGCAATATTTCTATGGTTTCAAAGTCTTCCAGACTGGGTCTTGGGGGGATTGGTAGGTGACCAGCTACTTGAAAACCATCACAGGACAAATTCAGAGAAAGATAAGCCAGAGCAATACGAAAACCGAGAAACAGGAGACATAGAATCCCGCTCGAGAGGATAGGATGAGGGGGTATATCCTTCACCGACAGTGTCAGCAGCAGACCGCCGACGGCCAAGATGATTCTTTGATGGGCGGATATCACCAATCTGGTCGACTCCTCACGCCATTTCCCAGGACCGCAGCCGTGGACTATGCCCGAACTAGTTTGGGACTAAGCCGTAGTGGGAGGACTAGTGCTCCGTAGTTGTGAGGGACGAAGCCGAAGGGCCGGGGAAGGACCCCCTGGGCCTCCGAGAGGGAGGGGAGAGATGGAGGGGGGATGGAGGGATGGAGGAGGTGCCTGGATGCATGCAGGTTGGGAACGGGGGAAGGCAACGGGATCGGGGAGAGAAGGAGGGGGTGGTGTCGACGGAGGTTCCGAGTTCACCACCCACGGATGGGAAATTGATAAACAGTGGTAGGCCGGGCACACATCCAGTGTTGTGTATCCACGCTAGTAATGAGGAGAAGCCAAGCAGTTGCCCTGCTGAGGCTGGGGGGGAGGGGAGAGAGGGAGGGGGAGGATCGTCACGAAGGAGGAAGGAGGAAGGGGAAAGGGGAGAAGGGGAGAGGGAAGTTGGGAATGCGTTGGGTTGGAGGGACACGTAGGGAACAGACAGCGTGATGAAGTGTCTGTATCTAACAAGTAACTGTACAATTTTCGAATTTATTTGGTATTGGTTTTAAACTTTGCCTTGGGTCTGCCTGGCGATTCTTCTGGTATCTGGAACCTCGTGCGCATCCGGCCAGACCAGACCAGTTGACTCGGCCGTAGTCATCCACCCGTCCAGTGACGCCAACGGTGCTACAGGATAGCCTCTCCCGAGGTCAGTAGTAGTAGTAGTAGAAGGAAGGTTGAGGGGGGAAGAAGAAGAAGAAGAAGAAGAAGAAGAAGAGGTGAGGAGAAAGAGTAGTCCGTAGATAGTAGGACAGGATAATTGCAAAGAATGGAAGCTTCTGGCTCCACCCGGCCGATGGCCGATTTGCCTCCACCGGGCGTCGTCGTCTTCTTCTCCTCAGGCTGGATCGGCGCGGTGCAGGCGCCGTTCTTTCGTTCTTTGAGTCAGCCCGGATGCCTCTCTCTCTACTGCTAGTACTTACTGTATAAATTGACTTTGCATGGCCCTTTTGCCGCTGCCACCTATTTATTCCTGCCCTCCTCCGCTCTTTGTCTGGTCTGATCTTTCTTCCTCCTCTTCCCCCCTCTCAGTCTCAACACTCTCGCTCTTGCGCCATCGCTCTCTCCGATCCTCCGATCCTCGTCCTCCCTCCCCTTCCGTATATATAGCCAACCGTCCGCCTTATCTGCGGCCTCCTTATCATCATCTGCTGCTGCTTCGCCTTTCCTCGGGACTCCTCCCTTTATCTACCACCGACTCCTCACCACCTTCACCACCTTCACCACCTTCATCTCCCCACCGCTCCGACTGCCTCCTCCACGTCACTTTCCCAAACCCCTCAAACCAAAACCCACACCACTCTCAACTTTCATTCCCAACCAGACCTCTCGGAAAAGACCGACACCTCCCTGGGTCTCCCACCATCGTTACCGGTTCTCTTTCTTGCAACGAGCACCCAACCGCTTATCGCCATTCCTGCGCCGGCGACTGTGACTCCGCCCGCCCGCCCGCCCACCTTTCTTGCCACCACTTCCATCATGGCGCCCCGCAAGCCTCGCTGCAACTTCAAGGAGTGCAAGGAAGCCGCCCAGCGGATCGTCGGAGACTGCAGCTTCTGCAGCGGCCACTACTGCTCCAAGCATCGCATGCTGGAGGCCCACGCCTGCACCGGCCTGGAAGACTGCAAGAAGGAGTCCCACGCCCGCAATGCCGATAAGCTGAATAGCGAGCGCACCCACGTCATCAAGGGAATATGACCAGCCGCAGTTGCAGCCATCCCCTCAACTTTGTCCTTTCGACGATCTTCTGCGACAATCGCCATACATACATATATTAGCGCGGTGTTCGACTTTTGTCCATTTAAATCTACTTATTCATATTCGTCGGTCTTCAGCACGCACTGCATGGTCAGTCATGCGTTCGCTCGACTTATCTGCCACCATCGGGGTTGGGGGGAGTTTTGTGTCTTTTTTTGTTTGAAATATGTTGATATCTCTCTCCGCCATTTCTTGAAATATCTTGTATGCACGGCGTTCCGAAACACCTCTGGAGTATATTTTGACGATTTACTTTTTTTTTCCCTCACTTCTCTCTCTGTTTCTTTTGCTTTTCCACCCAAGTATCTATCTGTCGCATGATTGGGCGATCGCGTTCATCCCATAGACCTCCAGAGCGTGGTTGTTGGCAATCGAGGCGATGTTAGACACCATTTTTCCCCTTTTTCCTTTCCCAGTCCCGTGCCAGTCATGTTGGATAGAATTGACGGGTTTTCCCCGAACTGTGAATGGTTGCTATTTCCATTGGCGTGTCACCTAGCCAAGTGGTTATAGGTATATATGCATATATTTGTTCACCCAGCAGCAATTGACCATTGAGTAGCCACGGATTAGCGTCGCAGCGTGGCCGCAGTCTATCTAGTAGTAGTCGTGTGCCCCCGGCGTACTTAGCTCAGGTAGCTGTCCCGTCCCGTCTGGCCACTGAGCGTGCAGAACGTAGCAAGTGTCATATGATAGCGTCGCAAACCAGGTCGCAACAAGTAGCAGGTAGCAGGTAGCAGGCAGCAGGTAGCAGCAGGTAGCAGCAACTTCCGCTTCACTATCACCTACCCATGGGTTTGAAACCCAAACCGCCCTGACACCTTTTGCATCCTGGTCGTTAAAAACCCACCACCACCACCACCACAACCACAGCCAATCGCCGCACTAAAAGAGCCTGAAACAACGTGATACGATTGCAAACGCGTACATAGCAGACCCTCCTCCCTCCCCCCGTTCCCCCAAATCCCTCCCCCCCCACAAAACCAGGACCTTAGCCCGGTCCAATCTTCGGCCTACCACGCCCAACGTTAGTTCCAACCAGCCAGCCAGCGAGCCAGGCAGTCAACAGAAAAATGACGAGAACATACATATCGTGGTGTTCGCTTAGTCGACTCAGATACTTGTTCAGCTCCTCCACTCGCTCCTTGTGAGTTTTGACCCCTTCCCGTTTCAGGCGTTCTTGCAGCTGTGGTGGGACGTTAGCTTTCTGGGACGTGGTACAGGGCTAGCTGGGTGGTGGGAGGTAGAGTCTGAGTCCGAGTCCGAGTTCAGAGCGTAGGTGAAACAGACACAGACACACACACACACACACACACACAGGTACAGGTACAGGGCCGTTGGGTTTGTATTCATGCAGCACTCCATCCAAAAAATTCATCCAGCCTAAGGGTTTAACGTGTATGTATGTATGCATGCATGCATACATACATACATGCATACTGATGATGATGATGATACTGCGGAAAGGGAGTATGGAAAAGAAAAGGAAAGAAAAGTAAAGGGAAATCAAGGATCGAGGTAGAAAGGAACGTAGAACATACCCTCCTCCGCTTCATATCCTCATACTTCCTCTCCGCCTCCGTCTTGCCCGCGCCAGCACTCCCACCACCAGAAACCCCTGGGGACGAATCATCGCGATCGTCGCCACTTGGCCGCTCGTCCTGCCGCTGTTGCTGTTGCTCTTGCTGTTGCTGTTCCTGTTCCTGGTCCTGTTCTTGCGTCGTCGTCGTCTGCTGCTGCTGCTGTGCATGCTCCGGATCCTCCGCCGCGGCGTTTTTCTTGCTGCTCTTCTTCTTCTTCTTCTTTTCTACTCGGCCGTCGTTGACTTTGCTGCCTTTGAGTTTGAGTTTGCCTCCCCCTCCGCCGGAGGTGGAGTATTCGCTGAGTGGCATGGAGGGAAAGGAGAGTTTTTTGGTGGTGGTGGTGGTAGGGAGTAGGGGGTATATGTGTAGGATGTGGGTGTAGGGGTCTATTGTTCGGGAGTAGATAGTACTAAGTATGGTAGATATGTGATGATCATGGGAGTTGTGATGGAGGTGGAGTTGGAAGCTGGAATCTGATCTGGATGGGTGGATGGTTGGTTCAGGTTGATTGGTTTGGTGATTTTAGTGGCTGCTTTAAGCGTGCCGGTCAGGTGATTTGTGGTTTCAGCTGCCTGTGCTCCGTCCGTACTTTGACTCGATCGGACTGGATAGAACTAGAAGGAAGGACCTGAACTTTGAAGAAGGAACTTAAATGAGGTGGGGAGATGTATGGATGGGTCTAGGGTTTAGCTTCTGTAGACTATCTAGTAGGAACGTTTTGTTCTATTTTCGTTCCTGGGTGGTTTCTTTTTTTAGGCGCTTTTGGTTGGTTACGTTTCGGTATTGGATCGGGATCGGGAGGATGGGGCGTGGACTCGGCGTTGGTTTATCCAGAACATTGGTTTTGTTGGGGTTCTGGGATCTAGGGGGGTGGGATTGTTGTTATGAAAGGGGTAGTTTAACAATATGAATGGGTTTATTCACTAATTATCATGTCCGATTGGCCTTGCTGTTGCTCATCCCATCCCAAGAACTCCGTCATCATATGTAGATGTGCATTAATCAAAAGGAATCGGGCGGAGCCCTGATCCTCCGCCGCGCTTTCGCATTTCAGCTCCCGCGGCGATGGTACTCGGCACCTTGATCCCGCAGCAATCCCCAAAGTAGTCTGTGTGGCTGCTGTGGTCGTGGGCATTCCCATGGTCATGCTCGTGGTCGTGTTCGTCTTCCATGTCGTCCGTGATTTCCCTCATCCCGGGGGCCGCCGGCAGCAAGCTCCCAAACAGAAAATGCTGCATGATGGGCAGCTTGCCCAGGACCTCCTTGACGAACATCTTCTTCATTCCCCCCTCGATCTTGCTCCAGTTCTTGGCCCCCGAGATATCGTCCAGCATTGGACTGTGCCACCGCAGTCCCTTGACCGTCTTCACGCTGTCCACCCACCGCACCTGGTCCAGATAGATGAACTTGTCCCCTTCTTCCTCCAATACCGCCATGTTATGGATCGACAGCGGCGTGATGTAGGGGTGTGCCACCAGCTGTGAGGCGCCGAACAGAAACGGGAGGAAATGGTAGTCGTCAAGGCCCCAGACTCCGTGCGAGCCCGCGGGTTCGAGGTAGTAGGTGGTCTGGATGTCGCGCATAAGGTGCATGTAGCCGACGTAGACGTGGAAGACGACCGCAGGGAAGTCCACGGTCGAGAACATGTGCACCTGACGCAGACACAGCAGCCACATCGTGAAGTTCAGTTCGTGACCGGAGCCGTAGTCGAGCCGGTCACGCGATCCGAGGGAGTGGATCAGGTACGTCGAAGCTTCCTCGATGAGGGCTTCATCTGTGAATCCAAGTATGTCCCTGTGCCATGCCGCGCTCTGTGCCGCCACGTCATCGAATAGGTCACGAAACGCCGGGTTACCGAACCGCGAGCCACCTTGGTCGAGAGAAGGATGTTGGTCGAGGAGGGACCGGAGTTTGTGCACAACAGACTGGATCTTGGAGATCGTGGGGGACGGAGTGCCGACATCTGTGGTTGCCCATCCGCGCACGGAATCGGTGAGGCCGAAGATGAAGCCGAGAATTAACGTGTATGTCGATGAGGAGAGGAAGAGCTCGTGGTCTTGCTGTGATAATATACGACGCACTGGTCGGGAATATTGGTGGGAGGAGAGATCTGGAGGACTGGGGAGAGGCGGGGTGACGGGTGCAGGTTCTCTGGAGGAGCCTGTGTGAGGTTTGCCTCTGCTAGCTCGGAGTTCTGAAAGCTTTTTGGACAGGTCGATTTTCGGTTTCGGCGCCAGACTAGGCGCCGCGATTTGTGAAGCCATTTTGGGGGCTGGTCTGATAGGATTCAATGCAAGTCGGGCATTGAGCTGGCTTGTAATGGTAATTGCTTCAGATGGAGGGGACATCTGCCACCGCCCGCGATGACATAAGGCGGCTCGGACTGGGCCGGCAGAACCAGACCGCCACCGCCAGGCCTCATTTGTCAGGATGCCATTCCCATAAACGGCATAGCGCCAGGCCGCGGGACCCCATGTGATCTACGAGCGAGCTAGCCGCGTACGGCTAGCGCAGACTATGCCCGATCAGGACTGGAGCGCGTGATGAGCGCTTGTTGAAGGAGCGAACGACTAAACGAGATTGATTCTGATCCGAGAGACCGAAACTGCTCGAGGCCTCGCCAAGTGAGGGGAGCTCAAGGCAGACTTGCCGTTCCAGAGCCCGCCGACTGCTTGTTCCTTCCGATATATCTGAATCGCTTGGTTTCAACGGTGGATGCCCTCCTCCGTATTTAACGGTCCATCAGATCGAGCATAGAATCCATCCCCACCGCTCCGGAGCTGGGGAAATCGGATATCCACCGGATCCTTTCCAGGCTGGCGATAAACCCTGCGATCCCGCGAGCACGCCATCATGGAATCCTCTGATTTGACCGCACCACACGCCAGGGAGACCGGCGCTTCATCTCCCACGCATCGATCTTCATCTCCTCATTCGTCTCACAATGTGCCACGCCGCATGTCTCCCCTCAGTGCAAAGCGTCAATCGGTCACCGTGCCGGCCCACGGCCAATCCCCGTCGGTCGACGAAGTCACCCCGATCGTGAGCAACTCCGACACCTCTCGCCGAAATTATCACTCGACCGATGGTTTGAGGAATAGGGACTCGGCCTCCGGGAATGGTCGTCCCGAAAACGCTTCCCAACAAGCCTCAGATCCCCAGGCGGGCGCGGAGGACCCCCGCGACTCGTGGTACAGCCGCATTGCCGATAGGTACGGCAGTCTAGAACTGGAGAATAAGGGCAGTGTTGCCCGAGATCACCTCGCTCTGGGTACGTTTGATCCCCATCTTCGCGCATCCTGCTTCAAGGCTAACATGGTTCTAGAACGGACGTTTTTGGCATGGCTGAGGACTTCGCTGGCCTTTGCATCCATTGGCATCGCGGTGACCCAGCTGTTCCGCCTCAACAGCGCTTCAGCCGACGCAAATACGGCAGATTATTCGTCGCTGTCGTCCCCAGTATACGATCCCGCGGCCATCAGGTTGGCATCCACTTCGTCTCGCCTCCGCAGTATCGGCAAGCCGTTGGGCACCACCTTCATCGGGGTTGCCGTTGTGATCTTGCTCGTTGGATTCCACCGTTACTTTGAGAGTCAGTACTGGATCATCAGGGGCAAGTTCCCAGCCAGCCGTGGCAGTGTTGCGTTGGTTGCGTTTGTCGCTTGCGCCTTGATCGTAACCGCTTTTGTTGTTATTCTCGCGATCTCACCGGGCGCTGCCGAGTTATAGGGTGAGTGGGATTCAACGTTTCATCTCCAGAGGAGATTGTTTCGGGGCATGAAACCGGAGAGGGGTTGCCTTTTCTCTGCTTACCCCTTGGGATTCTCGGTTTTTTCTACGTTAAAGCGCGCGTCTGCAGAAATTGGGGGTCCAGGGTAGATGCCGTGCCCTCGTGTTACCTCGGAGCTTTTTTTTCTTGTATATATCTAGAGTGATTTAAAGGAGATGGTTTCATAGGACCATAGCTATCAACCGGGAATGTGCAATGCAAGGTATTTAGCCGACCTGAGAGCCAATGGACCGGCACGTTTCCATGTACTTAAATGTAATGCAGGCAGCATCATCAGTACACTGCAGCCGCTCGTCACCCATGTTCGCAAGGATCCGTGATCCCACGTCTGACAGACCATCAGGAAGGAGGTTGCCACAGAGGGTCACTGCGTCATCCCATCGCTGGTTCTCTTTCCAGGCACATTACCCGACGCACCGTTGAAGCTGTGCGACACCCACAATATGTAATAGCGCCCCGACGCCCATTCATGCCGTGTCCGCTCCAGTCAACCCTCCTTGGACGATGGATTGGATGCAGTGGTCAAAGCAACACCATCCGATCCAATCAATGCCAGTCGACCCCTCGGAGCTTCCAGTCAGCAAACCACCCCACCCGCATCAACAATGACTGAGTTCCATGGACCGTCTAGACCCCTCAGCCAATGTCCCGAGTATAACATCGACCCGGTAAGTGCGCCATCGGCTTTCACACCCCGATTTGGGTGGGCCGTGTCATTCATTCCCTGGTACATCTGCAGCCGGCCTGCTTGTCACAACGGAAATCGGGGCTCGTCAAAGCCAGACTGAGAGACGGGCTGAATCAATAATGAACTACCTGTCTTGAATTCTCAATACGGTATGAACCGGTAGAGTGTATGTAGATTCAGGTATCCGCTCCACTGTGGTCCTTTCAAAATGCAATGTGCCGGTCGATTGCCTTTCCTGGCTTGGCTGTGTCCGTTTGCCTGTCTGCCTGCCTGTCTGTCTGCCTGTCTGCCCAAGACCCGAGTTCTTGGGACAAAGTGGCGTTGACTTGAATCCCGCGAGCGATGCGATGTCAGATACTATTCGCACCGGATGCGCGCTGGATATATCCGTATGATCTCATTCGACATTATTGATTGTCCAATGTCCTCAGCTGGGCCCAGCTAAGCCTCAGCGTCTTGTATGCAATGCGGGTTCGTCTCGGAAGACTACTCCGTAACTACGGGGTAGTAGTTAGGGAAAGTACATATGGAACGCGCCAGGGAACATCACATCGACGGATGCCGATGGAAGGGAGGGCGCGGCGGCGGCGGCGGTGCACAAGGTTTCGCGATTCCACGGCAGCCGTACGAAGTGGACCACCGATCGATTTCCAATGTGGCTGCTTACTTTGTACTCTACCGTTTGTAAGTACTTAGTTTCCGAGGGGTGATTTTCTGGAACAAGAGAAGGGTTCCCGTTGTGAACCATGGATCGGATACGGAAGCTGCTCTGGATTTAGGATTTAGGGGGGGGGAGGGTCTCAGAGTTAGGTAGGCCGGGGATTATTTTACATTTTTCTCGGGTGTGAGAGCCTGGGGAAGGTTCATGGTTCACGGTTCAAGGTTCACGGTTCCCGAGACTGGATCGGTAGATCTCGGGGGGTTTGGTTGAGGAAAGACAATGGGGAGGGAGGGGGATGATGAAGGATGAACCCTTGCATGGGACTTGGCTACTATTGATGAGGTTGTCTATCCCTTATTGTATGTATGTAATTGTAGGGTAAGCAACAGGACAGGGAGGCGCTGGCGGTAAGGCGCGTAGAATACTACTGTCTACTAGCAATCTCGATACACATCGGGTGTTTCACTTGCAGTGCGAGTAGGCTTCTGGTACGTCTGATGTGCCTGACCCAAGTCTTGCCTGCTCCGGATTTGCTTCCTTAATCCTTAATTACACGGACAATTGGGATGGTATAGATACTAGATAGACAGACGGGTCGCTGTGTGTCAGGTGCCCGTTCTCCCGTCCACGGATCACCTGCATAAATCAGTACTTTTTTTACTAGCACAGCCAGTGTGTCTAACTAAGTACTGTTTAGTGACGGTCTACTGGGTCTTCAAGACCCTGCCCGTAGATTCCTGTCTTCCGGATAAGGCCGCATCGCATGTACGTCGACTATTCGGGACTATCAGCCCTCGTCCTTCAGCCAATGGATGACAATGGTCTCTAGCTGCAGATCATCCAAGGCTGCGATAGCCAACTGTTACCTCGGGCAACGCCACAGGCAGTCCGGACCATGCCTTGACAACTGACAGAGGCGCCCAGCTGGGGAGCGCACCCTGACTCCGTTGTCGTCAGCCAACAAGCTGATTGGCGATCACTCAGGTCTTCTCCCAGCGCGCGGGAATGACTATCTGCCGGAGGTCGACGTGACGAAGCTGAAACTCTTATCGGGGGGTCACAATGGCCGCGGGAACGGAATGGGACAGAGAGATTATCACTACCATTGAAGAGCTGAATACAGGATGGGATAGGATGGGATGGGAGGCATCAGATAGGATAGTACCAAGGGATTAGCGCCGTCCAGGACGGACTATCTCTCCCCTGATCCTGATGACGCTCCATCCGATCTGGAATAATCCGGCGTACGCGGGATGCAAAAAGCCGTTCCTGAAATAGACAAGCAACGATGGATGGGATTGGGAGAGTGTCGTCCATGATCGGCCAGCATGGCTCAGATGCAGGTTGGAACATCTGGCATAAAATCTGGAGCGTAACATTATGTATGTCGTAACCTTGCAAGTGAAACACTTCGGGGACGAAGAGCAACAAGAGGGAGCGAGAGTCTCCATAACTCGTCGGAGGGGGTAACAGTCGCCGACGGCCAATGGGAAGGCTGACGTGTGCCGCCAGACCCCCCGGGTCTATTCCGTAGTGGTACTCCGACTGTCGCAAAGGATTTGGGGGGAGAGGGGGGGATGGTGTCTATCACTTACCAAGAGGGCTTTTGCCATTGCTCATCACTCCGCAGGTTAGCAACACCTCAGGATGATGGTGCGATCGGGAGATGTCACAGACAATGGGGAGGATCTCCAGGGGAAGGAGGGAGAGACGAAGGAGGGACGGGAGAAGCACCACCATTATTGAGGGGGAGATCTATTCTTGGTGATGTCTCTGGTGTGTCTGGTGTCTCTGGCTCCCATGCGGCCTGTTTCATCCCTCCTTCCCTCCCCCTCCTCCTCCTGGTGGTCAGGACGTGTCAACGATTGCAGGGATCGCCTGCTGGCTCTGGCACACTGCACACTGCACAGTGGCACTCGCATTGGCATGGACGAGTGAGGTGTGACCCCCGACCCCCCCCCCTCGGGGCTGCTGCGGGCAAGGAGTCGCTGGCGTTAATTAAACTAGCGCCAATGCAGTTAGCCCAAAGCGTCTAGTGGGTGGCGTTCGGGCTCCCCCACCGAGACAAGCGAGATTTCGATGGCCCCGTCCTGCCTGCGGATTGGCCGCCCGTTCAGGTACGGGCAATTTAGTCTATTGATGCCTGGGGGTTTTCTCCGGAACAGGCCCAATAGCAACCGCCCGCCTCATGGCCGAGGAGTCCACGGCAATCTGTACAATCTGTATCTAACGGACTGCGCAGGACTTCGCAGGCGATGCTAGACCATTCACGGACCATCAATTACAGCATGGAGCAGATTCGTTATTATCGCCTTTTATTATGCTCCATCCTGACTAAATTGCCGCTCTGTCCCAGTCTCCAGAACCCTGATTTGGACCATCTACCGTACCTAGCTTACCGTACGGCATGAACAGGTGGCAGTGGGGACCACCGCCGCCTGCCTCGCTGCTCCCTTCTCCTCCTCCGTCCTCCGTCCTTAGTCCGTTTGGCTTGCTCAAGTTCTCAACCAGGGATGGTCATCGTATTCGGATGTCCGCAAAACGGTTGTGACGTTGGGTCGTGCCCACTTGGTACGGAGGATGGATCGTGAGAAAGTCGCTGGTCCCCTAACCCGAGCCTACCTCGGGTTCCTAAGACCTGCTTAAAGTCTATCCGTATCGATATACAGATGCCTACGCCGCTCCGACACCAGCCACGTACCTTACTATGTACCTAGTAGTTAGTCCCTCGTCAGGATCGTACCGAAGCCGAGAGAATAAGGAAGCCTGCAGATTCGGAGTATTGCAAGTTGGTGGACGAGAGAGGAATCGGTACTCCGTAACAGGGTACGCATTCATCCGTGACCTCCGCAAGACTAGAGCAAGCAATTTCCCCATTATTGATGTTACCTTTCAGCGATGGAGTCGGACTAGTTATCATCTTAAATTAGTAGTGTCGACCACTTTGCGGGTGCCAGGCTCTACTAAAAACAGGCTAGTGAGACCTGATACCGTCCATGGATGACGGGCTCGATACGGCGCTGTACTTTACCGCCGATGGTTCATGGCTCGCCTTTTGCCATCCCTCCGGCCTCCGCAGGGCCGTTGCTTGACTGGTCTCGCTGAGCCCTGGTATTACGCCATACAGGACGATACGGGCGCGGCCCCTCCGAGTGAGCGCCCCAGCCAATCCCCCTGCCGCCCTCCATACGTCGCCGTCTCCTCCTCCTCTCTCCACCACCACCAAGCCTTTTGCTGCAGCTCAGCCTTTCCTCTCCTTCCTTCAACTTCATTTTCCTTTTTCCAGGTTGATCCTCTCTCTCTCCCTCTCTTCCTCTCTCCCTCCTCTCTCTCTCTCTCTCTCTCTTTCCCTCTTTCCTCCTCTCTCTCTCCTCCCTCCTCTTTCTCTCCTCTCCTCTCTCTCCTTCACTATACCTCTTATTCACTACCGCCAAATTCACTCACTCCCGACACTTCCGCCCACCCTCTCCGTGGCCCGTTCCCGTGGCCGTCCGCTCCTTACAACAGCAGTTTCCTTCGTCTTCTGCACGACACTCCAACTTCGATCCATTTCGACACGTTCTCTCGCTTTGTTCTCTTCCTGAAGGATTGCTTAATTACGAAATACTCAAAAAAACACTGGAGGGTTCCTTTGCCTTTTGTGCAGCCCGCTTTTGCAACCTTATCTTCCGACCTTATTCTTCTCATCTCGTGAAACTCGACCCTCGGGACAACAACATCACCATCCTCCTCATCACCCTTCCTCAAACGTGTGTGGCCTCGACTTGAGATTTCAATGGTCTCGTTGCGAAACTAGCGACCTCCAGACACTGTCGGCCTTTCCCAATCATCGTGGAGAAGTCATAAGTCTGGAGGTCCCCGTGTGTCGTCTGGGTCACATCAACTGTGTACGCTGTCCACCACGGGGCCAGTCCGGTAGTCATTGATTTTAAGGTTGGTTCTGCTCGGATCTCTTGAGACAGTCCGCAGCCCGTCATGGCTTCAATTTCTCTACCTCCACAGCCTCACGCTACTCCAGCGTTCTCTCAATACCTTCCCTCGCCAGATCGGTCCCCTCGCGGTCACAGCCGCCGCAATCTGACCATGTCTGCTCCGCTCCCAAACCCACACTTCATCTTTCCGGCCAGAGACCCTGGTGATGCGACGACTCCTCGGCCTTCGGATGCTGGACCTCGGACAGCGGCACCGCTTCCGGCCTTCTCTTTCAATCCGGGTTCTCAGCACTCAACACAACCATCGATGCCGACCTTCCCTTCCAATAGACCTGGTGGACACCGTCGGCGATGCAGCGAGTTTGTCGGTGGAGAACGCCCCGTCATTCCCTCTGCGCCTGCGGAGCCCCGCCAGAGCACCGAAGAAAGTCTGGCGCCATCCCCTGGCAAACTTCCTGCTCCGGGTCCTGGCTTCGGTGCAAGCAGCCAAGGAAAGCGTCGCCATGCCCACCGGCGCTCTGCCGCTATATCCAGTGTTGATCTCACGGCTATCACGAATGCGCTAGATCTGAAGCCTGCCATTGAGAGCGCTCCGTTATTGCAGGGGGATGCAACGCGCGATTACCATGCTTACGATGAGCCTCCTCGACCAGCCTCTCAATCCGCGGCCATCCTGAATCAACAATCTCCCCCAGTATCGCCCAAGATTGTAATTGAGACAGATGACTCCCAATATAATGGACCTGGCACTCCAAACAACGTTCTCGCGTCTGAACGCTCCTCTGCCGAAGTATTCTCTAAAGACTTTGCATCGACGCCTGCATCGCAACCTGATGTTGCCGCTAGAAATAGTGGTTTTACCAGTTTTGCTCCTGCGGTCGAATCACCAACCAAGGCGGAGAAGTCAAGGCCTAGGCCCCGCACTGCAGATGCATCTTTCATGCTGGGTCAAGGCGGAACCGTTGGAACGGATGCCACGAAACGGCCGCTATCTGCTGCGGGACATTCACGCAACAGGAAAAGCTTTTCTTCCGGCATTCTTGAACACTTCGCAAGCTCGTCTAGACGCTCTTCCTCCTCGTCAAACAACTCGGATGACAGCTCAGACACTTCGATCAGCGAAACTAATGACGTCTCCGAGTCTCCAATTGAAGGCAAGAAGAAGTCGAAGTCCAAGAAGAGGCAGAAGAAAGTGCGGTCGTGGGCGGGCGCTATCCTAACGAGGGGCAAGGGCAAACGCCATTCGAAGAAGGATAGATGCGAAACCAAGTCCGGCATCCCTCCTCCTGTGTTAACAAGAACAAACTCGGATCTTGGCTCGGGCTTGGAAGTGGACTTTGACGATGATAACATCGTCGTCATACGGACACCCACCAATCCTACTTCGCCAGGATCTCATCGTTTTCCCACGGAGGCAGACGAACAACCTACCCTGGAGACCTCCTGGAAGCCCCGGAGCTTCTATGAACAGAATACACACAGTGATGCTCTCAGCCCGTTGATCGACCTGGATGCAGCTCTGGGCCCCTTCAATACTCCTGACATGCGGTCCGGTAATAATTCCGAGACTGGCTTTTCAGCAGCAACCAAGCGGATGTATAGCGGTGGCCGACGCGGTGAATTTATTGGTCCGGAAATGCGCTACCATCGTCGTGCTGAGAGTGCTCCTGAAATGCCTCCGTTTGATCGCAGCGCTCTTGGTACTAACCACCGGTTTGCCACCAGTTCGACACTGGAAAATCCGGACGTTTTGTACGAAGAGGAAGAGGATGCGTTTTTGGCCGCTTCGGGCGAGTCCCAGCATAGTTCCGAAGACTCGGTAGCGTTGCCCAGCGAGAATGATGCAGATAGTCTGTCGGAGAACAGCAAAGACAGCTCCGACACCCTGACCCATCAGCCAGTTGCTCTTGAGGCCGGCGAAGCCGACTTGCCTCAGCTCCACGCTGGTCTCGGCATACGGAAGGATGATTCTATCGACATACCGGAGTCTGCTGCTCCTGATTTCGGCCAGGAGAAGCGCCAGTCCACCGAACAACGGACGTCCTTCTCTCAGCTGCAGAATACATCCAATCCTTTCTCTGCCCCGTCGGACAGTCCCGCAGAGTTAATCGAACCGGAATGGCAACACCGAGTGCCTGTGCCTTCAAGTCCTGATATCTCGCCTCGATTTATGCCTGCCGACCACCGACCTGTCACCGCATCTCTAGAACTTACACGAAACATTCCTCCATTGTCCCTCCACTGCAATGGGTCTGTTCCTAACTCTGCCTTCCCGTCCCCCGACTTCACCATCTCATCCGACATGCCCCGATCCATCACGACCTCATCCACGACCGACCGTAACTTCTCGAACCCCTCCTACAACCCGTCCATGGAGCTTCCTCAGGGATCAGTTGAAGATGTACCTTCGCTGACCAGCAGTGCCTCGACGACGAATACTTTAAACCGGATTTCGGGCACTTTCTTCACCCGACCTCGGCTGTCCACTGACCGCTCTGCGTCTTTCTCTGCGGCTGTCCGTCGTCGTACCAGCCAGGCCAACAGCTCCAAGAGATCCAGCCTTGCGAGCCTCTCGAAACTGGTTGTTGGCCCACACGCGGAGAGAAGCAAGCTCAGCTACGAGGAGAAGCCACCTGAGGACGAGCCGGACAGGAGCAAGAAGAAGGGCCGTCGGCTTAGTCGCCTGATGCACTTCTGGAGAACCAAGGATAAAGACAAATCTCATGAACATGGTGTTCGGGACCAGCGGCCTTCATGAACCACGCTACCTTGAGAGGACATCCCTTGTACATACACAACCTGATTTACGATTCTCTTCGACATGGTCTTTGCAAGATCTTTTTGACCCTTTGTTCTTTTCACCCTTTTTTTTTTTTGCTTCTTTTTTCGGACCGGTCTACCTTTCCATGGTTGGGGGGCTGACGAGTTTCTTTTTCATCGGTATGTGATTCAGCGTAAGAGTACGAAGCTCTGTTTTGTTTATATTTCTCTCGTTCATTGATGGCTGGTTGCAACTTGGTAGACCCTGCCTTACCTGATGTTCGCACTTCCACGTTTCAAGCCTTGTGTTTCTTCTTCACTTCTTTCACCCATTTCACTTCTTGCATTCATTATGCCCTCTGCCTTCTGATCTCTCCTTCATGGGACTTGTATGGGTTCATTACTTTTTTTGTCGGCCGCTCTGAACTGGGGGCTTTTTTTTTCACCAATTCCCTGGGAGGCGCCTGTCATTTTACGATGAAGTGCACACCTTCCGATCAGCATGAGCGTGTGGGATCTCCATGCATACTGTATGAGTTGCTCACAGACTATCAAATCTACACTCTGCGTCATCGCTTGATGGCGCGTCTACTCGATACTTTTTGGAGGTTTATAATCCTTCGTACGTACTTAGTAGACATCATAATGTGCAAGTTTAATTCCCAACTACTAGCAGCCATCTGAAGAAAATCAATGATGGTCGCATCGATCCCCAGCATAAGGTAGACCTGATGCTCTGGCCCGAACAAGATATATATCGCGGGCCCGGCGCCCCACCCCCAAACTAATTTATTCCAGAAAAAAAAAATCCACGGCATCACCACTCCATCAATTATCATTCACCCCACTCCATAGACCCCTCTCCCCCCTCCCCCCATCCATCACCCCTTGTAAAAAGAAAAGAAAAAAAAAAAAACCGCTTCACAATGGGCCCTCCCAACCCCAAGCTCTCGAAAAAGGCCATCAAGGAGCGCGACGCCAAAAAAGAAAAAGCGAAAGGAAAAGGACAAGAAAAGAAGAAACTCGCCCCGACGCAGGCCAAACCACGACCCTCCACCGACCCGATCATCAACCTCTCCACCACCCTTCCGCTTACTCTGCAACAACTGCTGCTGAATGTCTTCAAGTCGGCTCTGCTTACGAACGGGCGCAGTTATTTGATTGATCATAGTAGAGGGTCTGGGGGGAAGACTGTCGGGGGTGAAGCTGCGGATAGTGTCGATCATCAGGATGAGAAGGAGCAGGAGCAGCAAAATGATGACAATGACAATGATGATGATGATGATGATGATGATGAAGGACAACTAGACACCAAAACCCTCATCCAAACCATCAAATCCCATCTCTACAACCGGGACTTCGACTCCGCGTTCACCGATGCCAGTGAGGATCTACTCCGCGCGTATGCCCTCCGGTGGAGCGCATCTCGTGCGCTGGGCTACGCGGGCATCTTCCGCGCTTTGCTGAAGCTTTTACCTAGGAAGGATGCCGGAGCTGCTGCTGCTTCTGCTGGCTCTGCTAGTGCTTCGAGCCATGTCGTTTGTATTGGGGGCGGTGCTGGCGCGGAGATTGTTGCGTTGGCGGCCGCGTGGAGGGATTGGGTGGGGAGGAAGAAGACGGGGGGAGTAGCATCTGCAGCTGCTGGAGATGGAGTGACGGGGCTGGAGGATGGGGTTGCGGCGGGGCGGTTGAGTGAGGGTGGTGGTGGTGTTGGTGGTCGTTCTGGAGAAGAGCAAAAGCAGTCCGTTGACACGATTCATCGTCCCGATCTCTCCGTCACGGCGGTGGATATCGCAGACTGGTCGAGCGTGGTGGAACGACTGGCGGGCGCGACTGCGTCGTCCGCCGTGCCGGCGCCGATGGCGCATCCGGCGCCGTTGTATCGCGACAGCGAGGCGGGCTTCCGGGTCGATTTCAAGCGGTTGGATGTTCTGTCTGCGGCGGAGAAAGAGATGGAGGAGTTGTTTGTGTCGTCGGCAGAGATATCCACCAATACTGCCCTGGTGACTCTCATGTTCACGTTGAATGAGCTCTTCTCGACGTCCATGGCGAAGACGACGGGGTTCCTGCTGCGGATGACGGATCTGCTGCAGCCCGGGACGGTGCTTTTGGTGGTGGATAGTCCGGGCAGTTATTCGACGCTGAAGCTGGGGAAGAGTGGCGATGAGGAGGGCGTCAAGGAGAGGCAGTATCCCATGAAGTTCCTGCTCGATCATACCCTGTTGTCCGTGGCGGCGGGGAAGTGGGAGAGGTTGCTGTCGGAGGATTCGAGGTGGTGGAGACGCGATGCCGCGAGGTTGAAGTATGAGGTTGGGGAGGGGGCCGGGTTGGAGGATATGAGGTTTCAGGTTCATATCTATCGGAGGTTGGGGAATTAGAGGCGGGTTATATAGAAGTATATTGATCGTCTACAATGATACCATGATTGATTTGATCTGTTATTGCATAGTCTGCATGCCTCCATTCCTGTCTGGATACTGGACTCGGACATCGGAAAGGGCTGGGTGAGAGAGGAATGGGTATGATATTGCTACAGTCGGTGATGAGGGTGTATGTTAAAAGAGAAAACGAAACGACATTAATTCGCCAGGGAGATCATGCACGCCCAAGATCCACGTCCAGTTGAGAGAAAAGAGAAAATACAGAATACACGTCAATTCCATTCATTCGACGAGGAACCCCCTCCCTCGTTTAGTTCCTCAGGCCCAGGAGAAGGCTCGTGCTCTTGCCGCCTTCCTTGCCGTCGTTGCCAGGCAGGTAAGTGATGTTGGGGTTGTTGGCGAGCGTGGAGGCAATCTCCTTGCTGGCCTCGATACGACGAATCTCGATGAGGCCGCTGCCGGCCTTGGCCACAGCCTTGCTGATGATGTCGGCACTCTCGGCTTCACCCTCGGCGCGGATGACATTGGCCTGGCGTTCCTGCTCGGCGCGCTCGACGATGAACCGGGCCCGCTCGGCGTCCTGCTGCGCGATCTGCTTCTGCTCGACGGCACGCGTGAACTCCTTTCCGAAGGTCATGTGGGTGATGGAGACGTCCTCCAGGGCGATGTTGAACTGGGAGGCACGCTTCATGAGGTCGGTACGGATGCGGTTGGAGACGGCTTCACGCTGGGTGATGAGCTCGGCGGCGTCGAACTGGGCGACGATGGACTTGAGGACTTCGTTTCCGATGGAGGGCAGCACACGTTCGTCGTAGTCGGTACCGTAGGACTAAGGCGGTAAGGTCAACATTAGAGATGATGGGAGGCCGTGGCGGCGAGAGCTTTCTTTCATACCTGGTAGATGACCGGCAGCTTCGGGACATCAGGACGGTGCAGGACACGCAGCGTCAAGCTGACCATCTGCAAGTCCTTACTGCCGGTGGTTGTGGAGATATTGCGAGGCGTGGTGCGGACATCGTAGATGATGGCCTTCTGCAGCCAGGGGATTAGGAAGTGTGTGCCCTCGCTCACGACCTTCTCCTGGACACCGGACAAGCGGTCGAAGATGACGGCGCGGCTACCACCCCGGACATCGTAGAGGGCGTCGTTGGCGAGCCACGCGCCGGCGGCGACGGGAATGGCCAGGCGCTGGAGGTTGTAGAGGAGGTTGGTAGCCATGGTGGAGGATGTGGGAGGAGGGAGGAGAGGAGGGAGGATAGATGGAGGGGGGGTAACTTGGGACGGGAGGAGAGGGACTTGAGCTGGACTGGACGAGATGATGTCGAGGCTTTTCGCATGCTCGCCCAATGCGGCCTAGCGCCGGGCGGGCTCGCAACTTCGACTTCGACTTTCGCCCCGTTTTGGTCCGACAGCCAACGACCTTCTCTCTCTCTCTCCCCTCTCATCTCCTCCCCATCGTTTCCCCTCTCGCGTTTCCTGTCGCTCAACCTCCTCATATACTTTCACAATGGGTGGCCACCTCGATCCTAAGAATGGAGTGTGAGTTTATTTCGCCCCGTCGCCCCGTCCTGGCCGCTCCCTCGCTTTTCCGGGGTCGGTGACCGTGCGACCTCGTCTATGAGACCTGCCGTCATGCCCTGGGATGGAGTGGCTCTGGATCTTATAGCCTAGCGGCTGGCCTTTCAATTGCAATTGCTGACTTCTGAATTATCTAGCTACCTCGGCTGGTGGGGTGACCTCGGTATGTCTACAACCTCGACCTGCATCGGACGTTTGGAAGAGTGATCGAATGGCAATAATCACGGGTTTACAAGGACCGTCGCTAGTATATGGCGCTGTGCTGCCGACCAAATGTGTCTTCAATGGCTCAGACAGGCGATTGTGCCCCGGAAGTCTCGCTGACCCTGATGTCACTTTCTCTCTAGGCTCTGCTCCCCAGCGCATCACCACCTACTCCATGTCCCCCAACCGTCAGCGCCCTCTCGCCGGTACTGCCCACGCCGCCGTCTTCAACGTCTTCCGCAGATTCCGTCACCAGGTCCTCTACGTCGCCCCCCCCTTCATCGCGGCCTACGCCATCATGAACTGGGCCATTGAGAAGTAGGCACCCCGGTCCCCGGGCGCCCAGGCTCTAGAATCCGCGCCGTGGCAGTGGTCGGTCACCAGTGGGCTAACCTTTGATTTTCTCTCCAGGAACGAGTACGTCAACTCCAAGCCCGGCCGCGCCGAGGCTGGTGATGAAGAGTAAATGTAACGTCGTGCGATGCAAGGGATCCATGACGGGGACGGGATGGAGAAATACCAGGGGACAGGCTGAATGTGTGTGATTGCACTGTACAGTAACTAGAAGCAATCGAAAGTGTTGCTATGTTTTTCGTTGCCTTGTCTTGCCTTGTCCGGGCGTGGGGTACATTGGTAATGGGCGCCATCGTATAGGTCGGGATGGCATCCACACCCGGTTGGTGTCAACCCGTAGTGCTATCTGCCAATCAATGGCCCCCCATATGCTTTCTTTCTTTTAACCTTTGTATCCCACGCTTCCTTGAGAGGGTTAATTGGCTGCTGGGAGCCTTTTGGTGTCTCAGTTGCTGGATGACGCTGCCCGAGTGCCCGAATGTGTTTGATTTTGTGGTACAAGATGGGGTGATGGCCTTAGGCTGCCAGCTGTGCGAGTGGGGAGCCTCTCTCTGGCCATTTGATGTCGACACTCCGTCCTCCACGGTGTGATAGTTATGGACATGACCAGTTGAGTCACCAAACGGTTCTAGTATCTCCAGTGCCCAGTCCATGATAAGGTCAGAGGTCTAGGGCCAGCAGAAGTCATCGAATACAGTGTCATACACCCCCATACGCCGTCAAACCGGCTTGCGGCCGGACCGCGAGGAAAATACCGAAACGGGTCACAAAAGAGAGAAATCGGGCCGTGTGACGGGCGCCTGACGGGCGGTTGACTGTTACGGCGGGTAAGGAGGCGTACGGGACGAACGGGACGAACATGATTTTTGCATACCTGCAATTTTTCCCTCTTCTGGTCGTTCCCAGACGGATTTCCCCCACTCCGCATGCGTTCGTCTTTCTTCTTCTCGCCTGTCCGTCTTTCCTCTTCTTCCTCTTCTTCCTCTTCCTCTCTCCTCCACCGTCTCTCCCCCTCCTCTTCTTCTGCTCTCCGTTCGATCTCTCTGCCTCGCCCGCTTCCCCTCCACCCCTTCCACTCCACCACCATGAGCGACATCACCCACCCCACCATCAAGGGTATGTGCATTTCCCTCTCCGCTGCTCCCTCAGCCCACCAAACCCCTCCATCAGGCCCTAAACTACCCCGCCCCGTGTACCCTCAGCCCATAAACTCACCGTGCAAATCCCTTCAATGGGTTGTTCGCGCCCTCGGGGGTCTCAATGGGCTCATCTCTCACTCAATTCCACCTCATCTTCCCCCGCCATCTCGCTAGAATCTACCCCTCCTTGCTAACATGCATTTTTGCTGCCTGCAGATGGCTGGTTCTCCGAGCAGTCCGGCATGTGGCCCGGCCAGGCCATGAACCTCAAGGTTAACCAGATCCTGCACCACGAGAAGTCCAAGTACCAGGACGTCCTCGTCTTCGAGAGCAGCGACTACGGTACCGTCCTCGTCCTCGACAACGTCATCCAGTGCACCGAGCGCGATGAGTTCTCGTATGTTGCATCTCTCTCCATGCCCGGATCCAGAAGGGAAAAAAAAAGGAAGTGTGCGCTGATCTTTGATTGATTGCTTGCTACAGCTACCAGGAGATGATCACCCACCTGGCCATGAACGCCCACCCCAACCCCAAGAAGGTCCTTGTCATCGGTGGTGGTGACGGTGGTGTCCTTCGTGAGGTCGTCAAGCACGAGACCGTCGAGGAGGCCATCCTGTGCGACATTGATGAGGTAAAAAGAACAAACCAAGAGAAATTTCCCGTCGTCAGAGGACATTTTGGCTCATGGTTCTAGGCCGTCATCCGTGTCTCCAAGAAGTACCTCCCCGGCATGAGCATCGGTTTCCAGCACCCCAACGTCAAGGTCCACGTTGGCGATGGTTTCGCCTTCCTCAAGGAGCGCCAGAACGAGTTCGATGTCATCATCACTGACAGCTCCGACCCCGAGGGTCCCGCCGAGAGCCTCTTCCAGAAGCCCTACTTCGAGCTCCTCCGCGATGCGCTGCGTGAGGGCGGTGTCATCACCACACAAGGTTGTTCGTCGCCTTTCCTTTGTCCCATCCTTTTTTTTTTCTGTTTGCCCTCGCTGTATCTCCATCTTCCCCCCTCTCCTCTCTCTCTCTCTCTCTCTCTCTCTCTCTCTCTCTCTCTCTCTCTCTCTCTCTCTCTCTCTCTCCTCCTCTCCTCTCTATTCCATCTCTCTCTAATCCACCCCCACTATTCTTGATTCTCTTCATGAATGCGAAGCTGACTGGGTTGCGCCCCAAACCACCCACCCGGGATCGGTTTGGGTTCGCGTATTTACGCACACAGCCGAGAACCAATGGCTTCACCTGTCCCTGATCACCGACCTCAAGAAGTCCTGCAAGGAGGTCTTCCCCGTCGCTGAATACGCCTACACCACCATCCCCACCTACCCCTCCGGCCAGATCGGCTTCATGGTCTGCTGCAAGGACGCCACCCGCAACGTCAAGGAGCCTCTCCGCAGCTGGTCCCGCGAGGAGGAGGAGCGTCTCTGCCGCTACTACAACCAGGACATCCACCGCGCCAGCTTCGTTCTCCCCAACTTCGCCCGCAAGGCCCTGGACGCCTAGATTAATAAGATGCCTTTCTCTCGTTCGGCTCTCTTCTTCGGGGTGCGGCCTTCCCCCGCTTCGAGGCCCCCGCGAACCCTCCTCCGGCCGGTAATCGAATCGATGATGATCTGACGATGATGAATATAAAAAGGGGCTTCTTTCATTTCGCTCACTCACAGTGCACTATCTTATCTGTCTGGTCTGATTGATAATGAATGGGAGTCCCGCCCGTGACGCACCCCAAAAAAAGGTTCGGAAAAAATAGTTTCTCTATAATACCACCTGTCATCCACTTCGCAAGACGTTGGATACCCACCCTCTCATTCTTCTTCCTCTTTCTTCCCTTGTCCAATCATTGTAGGTATACTACGTAGCATACATGGTAGTGTGATTATCGTTCGTGGCAGGTATGCCGAGATAACTACGTAAGTAGGGTAGTCAAGCTATATTTATACGAAGACAGACGTAGAAGAAAAAAAACAGGTAAACGGTGGTATTCAATTTTAAAAAACTCACCCCTCTAATTTTTAATTCTACCAAAGGGAGGAAGGAATCGATTAATCATAGATAGATCAAGAGGGTGGAACAAACAACGAAGACGTGTGTATTTTATCCTCAAATCAAAAAATTCGTTAAATTAGGACTTCTCCCCGGGTGGTATTTTCCTTGCCCGCAGGGATCAACATCGTCCCGGATACTCATTAACAACATGAATTCAGTACATAGCCATCACGGATGCGCAGCGCAAGACGTCTACAGAATCTGCTGGAAAGCACGGTTGATGGGAGAGCGCACGGTGTGGCCCTTGTAGAAGTCGATGGTGGCGATAGCGCGCTTGCTGATGCCCTCGGGGGTGAAGTCGAACTTCTGTAAGGGGGAAAGAATATTAGCATATGTACCCATACCGCACGGGTCGCGGGAAACTGGGGGATGAGGAGAATCGGGCAATCTTACCTTGTAGACGTCCTTGTAGGGGCCGGAGGCACCGAAGCGGTTGAGACCGAACTGCTCGTGAGCGTAACGCTCCCAGCCCATGGTGGAGAGGGCCTCCACGGAGAGGACGGGGATACCGTCGGGGAGGACCTGCAGCTTGTAGCTCTTGTCCTGAGCATCGAAGACCTCGAAGCAAGGGACGGAGACGACACGGGCAACGACGCCGTGCTTCTCCTTGAGGTAGGCGGCAGCATCAACACAGATGCTGACCTCAGAACCGGTGGAGATGAGGGTGACAGCGGCGTTGGGGGCGTCGACGGCGACGTAGGCACCCTTGAGGGCACGCTCGATGGTGGAGAGCTCGAGCTGGGGCAGGTTCTGGCGAGTCAGGGCCAGGATACTGGGGGTGTGCTTGGAGGTCAGGGCCGAGTAGTAGGCGGCGCTGGTCTCGTTACCGTCAGCCGGGCGCCAGACCATGCAGTTGGGGAGAGCACGGAAGTGGGCCAGGGTCTCGATAGGCTGGTGAGTGGGACCGTCCTCACCCAGACCGATGGAGTCGTGGGTGGCCACGTAGATGGCGCGGACCTGGGAGAGGGCCGACAGACGGACGGCACCGGCAGCGTAGGAAACGAAGTTCAGGAAGGTACCACCGGCGGGGATGACAGTGCCGTAGGCGGCGAGACCGTTCATGACAGCAGCCATGGCGTGCTCACGGACACCGTAGCGGATGTAGCGACCGGACCAGTCACCGATGTTGTACTCGGGGGGCTGGAAGTCGACGGCGTTCTTCCAGCGGGTGTTGTTAGAGCCAGTCAAATCGGCAGAACCGGACAGAAGCTCAGGAACCACGTCGTGGATCTTCTCGAGAACGGTCTCGGAGAGCTTACGGGTAGCGTTGGCAGGGTCGCTGGGCTTGTAGGTGGGCAGGTGCTTCTCCCAGCCCTCAGCAAGCTTGCCGGAGAGACGGCGGGTGAGCTCGGCGTGCTCGGAAGCGTGCTCGGTGGCGTACTTCTCGAAGAGCTGGTTCCACTCCTGCTCCTTGGCAGCACCCTCGGCGGAGTGCTTGTGGTACAGGTCGTAGACCTCCTGGGGAACAACGAAGCTCTGCTTGGGGTCGAAGCCGAAGGCCTGCTTGACACCCTCGCAGTCATCGGCCTTCAGGGGGTTACCGTGGACACCACCGGTACCCTGGAGCTTGGAACCGAAACCAATGGTGGTGGTGAGACGGATCATGGAGGGCTTGTCAGTGACGGCCTGGCACTTCTTGATAGCGGCCTCAATGCCGGCAAGGTCGTTGTCACCGTCCTTGACCCACTCAACGTGCCAGCCGTAGGACTCGAAACGCTTGGTAACATCCTCAGTGAAAGCGCACTTGGTGTCACCGTCTGTACGACTCATGGTCAGTAAAGCCGTCGAGAACAAATGGCGAGTAGTGGGTGACTCTTACCAATGGAGATACCGTTGTCGTCGTAGATGGCAATCAGGTTGCCGAGCTTCAGGTGACCAGCCATCGAGGCAGCCTCGCTGGCAATACCCTCCATGGCGCAGCCATCACCGAAGAACATGTATGTGTAGTTGTTGAAGAGCTCGTAGCCGGGCTTGTTGAAGACGGCAGCGGAGTGACGCTGAGCGATGGCCAGACCAACGGCGTTGGCGAAACCCTGACCCAGAGGGCCGGTGGTGACCTCGACACCGGGGGTGTCGTGGGACTCGGGGTGACCAGGGGTGATGCTGTCCAGTTGCTATAGGGAGGGTGGTTAGATGGCTGCAATGGCTGCGCCGGGGGACCGAGGGAACACATACTCTGAAGCTCTTCAGGTCATCGAGGGTGACCTTGTAGCCGAAGAGGTGGAGGAGAGCATATTGGAGCATGCAGCCGTGGCCGTTGCTGGAGTTGCAGTCAGTCAACTGCTGGAGCACAGTTCCAGTTCCAGTTCGGGGTCGGGGTCAGGCTTACGAGAGGACAAAGCGATCGCGGTTAGCCCAGCTGGGATTTTGGGGGTTGAAGTTCATGAACTTGTTGAAGAGAACGTGGGACACGGGGGCCATGCCCATAGGGGCACCGGGGTGACCGGAGTTGGCCTTGAAGGTGGCATCGACCTGGAGGATGATTAGCGGGAAGCCGGCGAGAAAGCATGGCGGGGGTCACCCCGCCATCCGCGGGTGGGTTGAGGCCATGGGGATCCCAGTCAAAAGGTCACAAAGACACGAGGCTCGTGTTTTGTAGCCCTGAGGGCTAGTCATCCCCAGGCGCGGACGGCAGTGCTCCGCGGAGTGCCCGGATCCTGGGATGGAGCAGCCGGGACCGGCATACTCAACCACCTCTGGATGGGGTGGGGGAAGTAGAATGCAGAGGGGGACAGCAAGCACAGGAAGAAATAGAGAGGGAGAGGCATACCGCGAGAACACGGATGGTGTTCACGGCCAATGTATCCAAGTCAGTGTAACCCATGGTTGCGGTATCTGTCGAGGCCGGAGCAAAGTGGTTAGAGAGAAACGTTGAGTTGTTGGGGAAGGGAGAGCTGGACATACTAATCTAGACTGAATGTAAAAGGACTTTTGATGTTTTCAGTAGAGAAGGGAGGTGATTCAACCAGCAATCACGCACCACGAGAGGATGAACAGGGGGGAATACTGAAGAGAGAAGGAGGGGAGAGGAGGGGAGAGAAGAGGGAGAGGGGCCGAATAAAAAGGGAAGAAGAGAAGAAGAGATTGAGGCAAGCGGGCGGAGTGGGATGGATGGAGAGAGAAGGAGGGAGGGAGAGAGGTGGGGGGGGAAGGGGGGCAATGATGTCTGTGGTGGGGCCCAACTTTTCACCGGCTGCTCGGAGGGGGTGCGAAGAAGAGTCCCCCTCACCACTCCCTCACCATTATTTACCTACCACCTACCACTCTCCAGAATACTGGCACTCGATTGATGTTATTATTGTAGAACCTCTATCCGATCAAGTCTCTCCCAGTCATCGAGGCATTGAAGCCAATCACTCCCCCAGTCGGGTCCAATTGAATTGATCTTGATTGATTCTCAGTAGACAGCCTGAGGATGACGTCCGAACCGGTTGAGAAACAATCGATGATGTTATGCCGCGGTCTGGCGGCCTCAGGCTGCCCTGCCCCTCCCAGCGGTCCCCAGCAACCAGCAACCAGCAACCAACTCCCCGTCCACGGTTAAGCACCAAAAGAACGCATTCAGGATAGATAGATGATATCGGAGCAGAGAACCCCTTCAGATGCTGACATTCTTCTCACTCTACTTACATCCAGACGAACACGATGCATCCGAGAAACCCCTCAACGCCACCAGTACAAAGCACGAAGCCCTCCCTCCCCTCCTCCCCCTCATGATTACATTACTATGTAAGGAGTAGTTATGTAGTTATGTTGTATGTACTCCAGACCGTCCAGTCCAGTCCATCAGTTTGCATCTGCTGCTGCTACTCCTCCTCCACGTCTAACCTGTCATATCATATCAACCAACCACGCGCAGATCATGCTGCGTTGGCAGTCCAAACACCACCACCATCAAATACGGAGTAGAGTAGTTACTCCGTAGTATATTCCCCACAGCATCACATCGCATCCTCACTCTCCAACCCCCTCCAACCCTCATCGATACCAAGATCCTAAGTAGTGTATAGTAGCAACTATCTAACTCTCCGGAGTATATCCAGCAAGAATTAACCGACCGTGCCGAGTTTCATCCCCATCTCGTCTTCTTGTCTCGAGTCGGGTCTCGACCCAGCCTTCTTAGTCAGGTAATCAACTTCCTTTGCCCGACTAACAAAACTCCGCTCCCCGCTGGGTCCGGAGGACCCTGCTCCGCCAACGAACACCGTCCGCACTCGCAAGTTGACGGCATCCGGGTTCCATCGTCTTTCTTTCGGACCGTTCTATTCCTTCCCATCCCATCCCATCGCATCACATCACATCTCGGTTATTATTAATCCTTACTGTGTAGTTAGCCTTAGCCTGTCACTATCTATCAAATGACTAACTCATTAACATTTTTTTTTTATGATTTCTCAATCACGGCGGACGCTAATTACTTCACTATTAGTATGGAGTATAGACAGCCGATACTGACACTTACAATGAACATGTGAAAACAAGACTCGGGTGAAAGAAGGGAGGGAGGGAGGGAAGATCCCGGAATCTACCCACCTACTTACGAGAGTACACTGTAGAAGAGAACCCCTCCATGCAGGCAGCTAGTGTAGTATGGGGGGAGTCGTCAGGGTTCGACGGGCTAGGTGCTTATAGTTATAGCCTTATGTGCCTGATGAGCCCTGAGCCCTGAGCCCCGGCTCGACCCAATCCCGCAGCCACAGTGACTGGGGGGGATGCGCTTCAGGTGGGGGTTCTAGGGGGGTTCTTATCGATGTCGGATTTAATATTGGGTAGCCATCTCATGCAGTCTTGGCCTGTTGTTAGTAGTCACTCAATCACGGGTGCCTGGCTACAGACTACAGCTGACAGACTCTAGGGATATAAGATACCACCATCCTACTGGAGACGAAGGAGACAGACAGACATTAACACAGTAGCTAGTGGCAGACATATATTCAGATTCATTATGCAGCAGCATATACTCCGACAAAGACCAATCCAGACCCAGACTCCCTGTACAGACCAGGTATCACAAAAGAGACAGAAATTGCACAGGCCCGAGGCAGCTGAAACTCCGCGACACCAAAACATATCATCGATTCATAAAAAAAAAATAAATAAAAAAAGCGTGGGCCCTCAGACGGCCAGCCGTCGGTGCCACCCATTGAGCAGGCCGAACTCGTCCACGTCCACCTCCTCGTCCACGGCCGGGATCATCACGTTGCGGAACGGATCCAGAATGTTGGCCTGTTCTTCGGGGGAGACGCGCATGTCGGTATAGTGCACCCCGTCTTCGGCGCTCCCCTCGTCGGAGTAGCTGAGAACACTCTGCGGCGGGAGCTCCTGGTTGAGGGGCATGTCGCTGTTGCTGCTGGCCGACCACGCTTCGGGCGACAGGCCTTGTAGCTCCGACGGCGCCGACAGCGGTGCCACCATCGGGTCCGCTTTCTGAGAGAATTCGGCGGTCAGGGACGCGAAGGGTCCGCCGTCCTCGCCGCACTCCCGGCCGCCATAGATCCCCGTGAAGATGTTCGAGTAGCCTCGGTCCATGTCACTCAGCACAAACTCCCAATCGGACACCGTGATCGGGCCCCCGCTCGCATTCGACGGCGCGGAGCTGGAAAGCACATGTCCGTTGTCAAACCCTCCCGACGACGAATGAAAGACCGACTTGATGTCCGCAGACATAGTTGGCGCATGGAATTGATCAGGCGGCAGACTGGCAAAGCTGGAGGACCGGATGTGACGTTGACCAGGGTGAGAACTGGCGCCGGAGATCGTAGCTCTCCGAGAGAGGGAGTCTGATTTTTCCGGTTGGCTAGGTCCTGACGCGCTACCTACGCGCGCTTTCCAGGGCTGAGCCTGCCTCTTCGGTGACTTGGAGGGCTTCTGCGCAGGTGGCGACATGTCCTGGGGCCGACTAATTGACCCGTACTTGCTGCCATTCAGCGAAACCAGGACACTAGCCAAAGCGCTGAACTCATAGGCAGCTCCCGACGATTCGGATTCAAGCTGAACGATGACGCTGGTAAGCAGCTTCTGGCTCTCCTTGACAAGCTTGCTGTCACGCTTCAAACCGATGTTCTGCCATAGAAAACCAAGACCCGTAGCGAAGACGAACTCCTTTCGGTTGATACTTAGGGAGAGGCAAAGACGTCTCTCATTGAGCAACTCGAGGATCTGGACCATGTGTTTGGCGGAGTCGGAGACAGCAAGAATAGAAGGCGAGCGGACGTGCTCCTCGCCGAAGCAGACCGCAGGGCGATGGATCAAGGAGCGAATGAAGTAGTAAACAAGAGACTACAAAATCAGTGAATGATAGCGATATAAGGGGCGGAGTGCTTACCAGAAGTGGCGACCGGCTGCTTGTCACGTTGGTACTAGGCTTGTCTTGCGAGAACTCGAGGCGAAGGTGAGCGGGCAAACTCTTCTCCCACTCATCCAGTTTCTCGGCGACCGAGTGCATCTTCGCAAGAGAAATATCGTACTCCTCATCAGAAGGGTAAATGTCCTCCAAGACTTTGCTCAGCACCCTCGAGGCGCCGAAGAACGCAATTGCGCTAGAGATGCGAGTGGACTCGCCGGGAAGAGTGGGCAAGAAGCCTGTCTCCGTGACATTCTCATCATCAACGTCTTCAGGGTACTCAGTCTTGACATCAGATTCGCGGAGAATGACGGGCAATCCCGTCAAAACAGCGGTGAAACTGTCGACATGTCAGAAAAGACCCTTCTTGGAGAGACCGAGAAGACTTACCGATCAAGCGCATATTGGCACCAGAACACCTTCTTGCGTGTTTCAGCCACCAGGGCGTTCGACGAGAAGCGTTTTTGGCTCTGGTGGAGTCGTAGTTGTTGACAGAGGCCGACAGCAAGGCTCCGGTAGCGTAGAAGGCTCGCATAGTCGCCCTTCGTCATACAGTACATCTGAGCAAGTACATAGCATTGCAATGTCGACACGGAGATATTGCCGGAAATAGATTCAAGGATGGGCGACCAATTGTCCTCGAAAAAGGTTGGGTCCTGGTTGGTTCGCGACTAGAAAACCATCATTAGCTTTCTGTTCATTAAAGGACTCGACCAAGTCGGGTTCAATGCCTACCACAGATGCAAGAGCAGCGATTCCGAAGATAAGATTCAGCTGCGCCAAATCATGCTTGTTGTCGTCCAAAGATTCCGTGCTCGAAAGATACTGTCCGTAAGCCTTGAGAATGGTGGGCCGGTGCACAACCGGGTACAATGGCGCCCATTCCTGGAAAAAGATATTAATGAGCTGGTCGGAGACCAGTCGAGGCGCCGTTTTGATGGCTTGGTCGACGGGGGAATGAGAGATGGCCGGAGGAGGGGTGGTTAAAGTTTTGATTGAGACACCAGGCGGTAGTCGTTTTTGGTCCACGAGCCTGTTTGTGAAAGTATCTAAGCAAGGTTAGCCGCGGTTTTTCCAAGGAACGCTTTCAGGCTGTCTTGTCCACAATCAAGACTGGCCTCTACTTAAGGAGCCGTAGGGAAGGGAAAACGTACCAACGAAGGCACGGGTAGTCGATACCCCTGCAACCTCGGCATCCGCCACACCATCAGGCTGCAATGGTTGGCGCACCTGGATGACGCTTTCAACCGCATCAGGTGCGTTGGTTTTCTGACGTGAGGCAGGTGAGAAGGAATGTATCCGGGACAGTACATCGATCTTCTCGTCCTTTTCGTCCAGCAAGTTCTTGAGGTCTCTGACTTCGGACTCCAGGGCCCGCACCCGCTCCTCCAGCGACTCCGTGTACCCACGAGGGAAGGCACGGCGACTCAGCTTGTCGCTGGTCTTGCATTCGAATCCGACATTGGCGCATTGGGAGCAGCATGGGCGGACGCCGTCGCAGCGAATCTTCTTGCTTCTGCATCGATCACAGGCCTGGGCAATACGGCTTTGCGAGTTGCCCCCGACCTTGATCACTTTCATCGGGAGAATTCCAGGCATGTTGGCTGGATGCTGTGGCGCATCTGCCTCGCAAACAAATTGATCGGGCGCCGGTCTTGCGAGTGAGTCTCGATGACACCTGGGAGACTCAGGAATAGGGATAGGTGACGCGAACCAGTTTTCGAGTCACTTAGCGATGGCGGCGGGCGACCTAAAGGAAGTCGAGGAGTCTAGCCGGATCAGGGTGGGAAGGTAGATAGATGGTGTTGTCGAAGGGCCACAGAGAGTTGGACGGTGGAAGGGGAGTAGAATGGTCAAAAGAAGGAGAGAGCGGTGGCGATGGAGAGGGAGGGTGAAGATGTGGCAGTTGGAGAGTTAGGACCGATGGGGCCGACGGAGGGCAGCAACTTTTGGATGTATAGTACAATGTAAACTGCGCACTGCGTAAGGTCAGGTACACTCGCGGTATCGGCTCAAAAGGGGGGCAGGTGGGGCTCTCCATGTGGGTCATGCGCTGGAGCGGGAGCCAATCCCGGCGCGTGGGAAATGGCGTTCATTCGCTCAGGCGACCGTGGACAGCCAGCCAGTGCGAGCCAGTGGCAGAGGTCGCCCCGTAATGATACCCGTACGGTCACGCTATTGCTGGAGCCGCTGAGGTTATTCAGATGGGTTGTACCGTTGTGGGCAGGCGCTGGCCCCGTTTCCTCGGCAGTTCTTGACAGCAGCTGATACTGGGGACATCTGCCCAACCACTACCGAAGTCTTCTTTCGGAGACAACAGGTCGTGAGACGATCTTACGGCGCACTTCATCGATATCACAAGTACTGCAGTACTACGTACTACCTAGTAGTTACCTTATCAGACTGCCGTCAGCGGCAGGCACAACTTCCCTCCCAAGACAAGTCCGCAGCATAGTCCGCGGCCACTAATGTATGATACAGGGCATCGGTGCATCAAGACCTCCCTTCACCGGCAGATCCTACCTGGCCCCTCCCGATTAACCTTCCTTCCGATAGACGAGAGAGGAGGCAAGCAGCTAGATAGGTCTCGGGGTGTAAGACACTGGTTTGGTTTGATCAGTCGCCCCATGCTCGTCGGGCACCCAGTACGGACGGAGTACGAGGGAGAGAAAAGCCTCCATAGCTATACGGCGGAGGGTCAAATCGAGTATCGACATATCTGATCAAATCGTCATGATCGCGCCAAGATCCATGGTTGGAAGCTACCCCTCGAGCACGGATGATCATGGCGACATGCTTCATCTGGGCAATGAACTATCAGCAAGGCCGGCGTTTCTGGTATCGCTATCTACCTACATACGTACGACTATCGGGGTGACTGTAGATGGACCATACAAAACCGAGGCTAGCAGGCCGCAGGTGCGGTCCGGGGTCTTGAAGATCACCAGCACTCCGAGCCAGAAAGCTTTTCGGATGCCACCGGACTCACGGTCCGATCAGTACTGTGGGAGTGGATAAAACCGGCGATGATCAGCCAGTCTTGCCAATTGTCCAGACTTGATTCCACCATGGTTGGCGCCTGCTCCCCGCAATTCTGAACCCAATCCAAACCGTGAGTCTGGCGATGAAAAGGTACGCAAAGCGTACGGTATGGAACGTCGGAAGTATCGAGGCGACATCTATCTCCGACCCTCGAACTATTATTGTCGCAATCAGCGATGTGATATTGAACCAGGTCGAATAATCCCTGTTCATTTACCGACAGACGTGGTGCGTCCGATGCATCGCCGTCCAAATCCCGCCCGCAAAACCCACCCGGCGGAGACTCCGAATGTTCTCCGAGCCATTCCCGTTAGGGTCCTTTCTCCTGGCCCTCCCCGACAGAGTGTCCGATTCCCCTGGTTCTGGAAATGATAATGCGCTCGCTCCTCCAGGTTGCCACTTTCCCCCGGCGCTGGACGGCTGGTAGATCGTGGAGTGTGAACTCTCCCCGATTGCCTGCTTCTCGGTAAGCCCTGCTTACTTTCCTCGTATCCCCATTGACTGGAACAGCTCAGGACTCGAGCCTGAGGATTCTGGTGGGGAAAGCCGGAAGATCTACGAGTAGATAGATAGTCCACAATCAATAATCATATCAACAGCTCTCCAGCTGCGCTTGTTTGATGAAACTATTTCTTTTTTTGTGAATTTCTTTATCTCGGCAGGGTGGGACAGACCAAGTGAAGTTTCTGCGCCCTATCGATTTCTATTGTCAATAACAATCTATCATGTCCTGATTGCTCCGAGGGAAGACTGGCCGTTGCTCGGTGTAGGATGGTCCTTGGCCGAGTGTTGGCCGAGAAATCGCAGAAGTGGAGGCCAGAACCTTCGGGTCCTCTGGAGCTGCCTGAGGCTGGTTCACCAACCATGACAGAGCGTGGTGTCTGGGGGAGATGATCAGAGTCCCATCTCCTGTCGCTGTTCCGTGGGTTAACGTGCCATATTATTCCGGAGCTGCTCTCTGAGCTGAGTCTGCGCATCCCCGTTCCGAGGACGGAAGTACAATACCGTGGAGCTGTACGAGTGCACAACGCCGCGGGATGCATGCCCGGGCGCTGCATTTCGATTTCTAGAGCATCGGAACCAGCCTCTAGACCCCTCTCGTGGCCAGGATCGTACCTAGCCGGGCCAGGGTCCTTCCTGCTCGCTTCCATCTGGGGGTCGATCATGACGCCCCGGAGACGTAGCGCCTCAGACCCTGAATCATCGAAAGGCAGGGCGTGTGTTTCATTCATGATTTAACATTCAAGGGTTTGTTTTATGCACGGCATAGCCTCATACACTATACTATATCCCTCACAAAGCAAAAAGCAAGTATCTAGCTCCTCTACTTTTGTCTCGACACGATACACCAGCGGAGTTTTCGGGGCGCATCAACATGCGACATCGGCCTGGGCCTGAACTTTGTAAACTCGAATAAAGCGTTGCGACTTGCGTCACCAAAACGGTTTGCACTGAACTCTTGAACTCTGAAGCCTGAATCACTGGCTCTCGCCCGAATAAGGCCAAGAAACTAAGAAATCCCCCCCCCCCCCCGGCCCAGAAGGTCCTGGGGGGGCGCCCCCAAGTTTACGGGACATCCCCCAACCGGGGTAGTCGCAGCCCGGATCTGATTGAAGGATCACTACCCCGCGGTGGGTAAGTCGCAAACTCAGATCGGCCTCCACGTTTTGGCGCCCTTGGCTTGAGCCTTGGTGATGGATCATGCGTCCTCTCGAAACAACTAGCCTGTTACGCTCGGGGTAATTTCAATACACTATTGCCTCCTTCTGGCCTGGATGACCCCGTACTTAGGTCGCATGAGCCCCGGATTTGTGGCAGTTACGAGAAATCGTCCTCCTCCTCGACATCACCGGACTGCTGAGTAAGATAGCGGCTGACCGCCGGGCTGGCCATTAGATTCTCTCGCTGGGGCGGCCCATCGTTAGCATGTACCTCCACGGCACGGCAGGGCAAGTGGATGGGTCACGGCGAGCACTCACCTCTCTCACGAGGTCCTCGATGCCTTTCTCCAGCAGGCTGGACTCCAGATCCCGCAGCTTCAGGACGGTGTCGAACACCTCCGTTCTGAAGATGGCACGCATGTCCTCGTTCTCGTGGATCTCCAGAACCATCGGGTCGGTCTGTCGCAGCACAAAGAACTGCGTCTCCAGTCGCTCGAGGATGAGCACCACAGCCCTGAGCTGGTAAATGTCCCACTGAGGATCTGCGGCTAGGAGTTCTCTGAGGCAACCCGGATCTTTCACATCGTCTCCTTTCCAGGTAGCTCGGAGCTCCCGCCCCCCGTCAGTTGTCTGGAGCACATTGAAGTCAAGCCCATCCTCCTCGTTTACACATGCCCACCAGATGATCGGACTATCCCAACTCGTAGTGGCGCCTGTCTCCGAGTCTATGGCGGTGCTGGATAATTTCACCCCGGGTGCATCCTTGCAGAATGCCTTCTTCGCAATCTTCAACGGATCGTCGTCCGGGATATCCAAATCTAGGAAGATCTGGTTCGCCGTCGCTTTCTCTCCATCAAGGAACCCATAAGAAAAGATCATCTCCGAAGCAGGTTTATCGTCGCCGTACCTTCATCCCATCATCACCATCAGCACCGCCCAATACCCCGCGCATGAAATGAATTCAATACTCACGAAATCGTGACCTCCTCACCCTCGCGCAAGCTCTTCCCATCCCGCATCTGGAGCACCGCATTCCCATCCTCATCCTCATTATATAAAGCCTTCACCGTGCCCTCCGCCGCATGGTTCGCCATATCAATGCACGGGACCATGGCATGTCCATGCCGCGGCAGGTCCACCATCCGCGACCGATACAACGCATCGACATGCTTCCAATCGTCAAACGTAAGCTTCCCCGTATCCTCACTCCACCAGTACTTCTCACACCAGGCGTGACCTTCCGTGGACCGGCGCAGATGCTCGAATTCCTTCTCCAGGGACGCGATTTTCGCATGCACGGCCAGCCTCAACGACGTTCCCCGTAACAGCTCCTGCTCCTCGTCGGTGTAGAAGGTAGGCAATAGCACGAAAGCCGGCATGTATTTCACATACTCGGTCCACGGACTCGACAGCCCGATTGCGTGGCGCTCGTGCGCGTAGTCCGGGCTCGAATGCGTAAGTTGCACCAGGAGGAAGATCAGTATCGCGCCTCGGGCTGTCTGTATTTATCTATTAGCTTAGTTCAGGAATAGATATATAATACCATCACTCTATCCATCATCATCATATCCGAGAAAAATCAAGCCATAAACATAAACATAAACATGTACATACTCGTCCAACCCCCCCCACAGCCTCCAATACCTCCCGAAGCTGCCTATCCGACTTGGCATAGTCCTCAACGAAGCCCAGCGAGAGGACCAAATCGGAAGGCACCCGCAAAAGCACCGTGACCCCTGGAGCCACGACCCCACTCTCCTCAGACTCTGGCCTTTCACCATTCCCACCACCATTCTGGCTCCCCGTCGCCACGATCGCAGACCCCTTGTCTGTTCCATCGTCCGCCCGCAGCTTCCGGAACGCGACGCCCTCGACCGCGATCCCGTTGAGCCTTGTCCAGGCGGACAGGGTCTCGATGGGGAGGTAGTCGCGCTTCATCCTGTTGGGGTTTGGTTCTGTTTTAGCAGCAATGGGGGGAGATTGTTTGCATGGGGTGTTGTACTTGGGAGGGGAAGGGAGGATGCTAGGCCGTACAGTGTCGATGTCGATGTTCTTGTTATCGATAAGAAGGCGGGGAAGAGACAGCCCTAAGCCCTACCGTGTATCCCGAAGCAGTTGCTGGGATGGATTGGATTGGATTGGATTGGACCCATGGCCGCATCGAGACGTCATCGCATGACACTCGGAACCAGAATTCATTGATACTAAATATTAACATTGGATACAGCATTGCATTCGGACGTTCTGGTTCTGTTGCGAAATCAACTACTTCTGATAAATTGAAGTCTCAAATACTGCAATCTTCGAGAGCTATAATTATATACAAGCCACTCCAGACAAGGTAGCACATACAGATCAACATGTCCACCACTCGCATTTTGCATCCAGTCTCAAGGCTCACGTCCGCTGCTCGTGGGCTTTTATCTCGGTCGGTCCGCCAGCCAGCTGTTATTTCGGGCGTGCAGAGTCGATTAAACAGCGGCCTGGCCAAGGAATGGCAGGGGAGAGGGTCAGAAGAACACCCGGTCAATCGGACAAAGAAGCGCGATGTTACGGACCCCGTGACTGATGCGTCGGCGTCGGCGATGAAGGATCGCGAGGAGAGTGAGGGCGTTGCGGATGCCGCTAGACCTCAGGGCACTACGGGGAGGGGAGGACAGGAGCATGGGAAGAAGGCCAAGGAGGAGCATCCTAAGGCTCCGGAGCCGGTTATTGGCATGAATGATGAACGGGGTCAGGTGAGTGATTATTCATTTGTTATGAGTTATAAGGGGTGTGTTGTGTGTGGTCTAGTATAGCTGCAAGTGTGCGGGCGGTTCATGAGTTCAGAAGGGATGAGTGATTTTGGAATTGAAAATGGCTGACTGATTGGTAATTAGAAGGGTCACTGAATCGAGGGAGATGTGGATGCTATTTCGTTTGGTATAACGGCGGTTCTTGTATGCTTTCAAGATGCTCCAGATTGAAGATGCTCTTGTTCGGGATTTATTAGGATTTATCACATTGAGAATGTTTTATATTTTGTAATCATACTGGTAGTATATAAACACGCTATAGTGCATGTCAAGAATGGATAGCCGGTCGCAAATAGTACCAATTGGGTTTAAAGACAATGACACTGACGATATTGTTTCAATTGAGTCTGAATCAGCAAGGCTTCATTCATTCTTGAAGAGCTGCAGTATCCAATATGGACCGTCAGATTGCTCTTGTTCCAGCAGTAGCACCAAAGATCCAAGATACAGAAAGATACAACATTAGTGTCGCTGCACGATGATGTCCTTGAGTACTACTACACGGTATTGAATCGCCGCCACGGATCTGGCATGGCATCATTGATATGACGGAGTCTTGCACTCCAGTCTTGGCTCAGGTTGTGTTCTTCACCGACGTAAAAATAAGGCATTTAGAAGAAATACTCTTTTGAAATAGGAAAAGAACCAGAAACAAAAGGAAAAGGCTATAATGATCTCAGGAACGAAGACCCTGCCATTGCCAACACACCCCACACCAGCCTCCAAGACGAGTTCACGACTGACTGGAATGAGTGACTTGCTGCTCATGACGTCTGATTCGTTCAACTTTCTCCATTTTTTTTTTTCATGGAACATCAGTACTGTGTAGTCATCGGGCTCCATTGCGTGAGGCGAACCAAGGCGAGGCCGAGTTGGATGACGTCGCCGCAGTCAACGTCACCACCGTCCATTTCACACCCACACCCACTCCCACTCCCCAGGACATATTAAACAGCGAGGAATCCTGCAAAGGGTTTTCTTTTGCTTTTCATCTATCTATCCAATCCAAACCACTCCCTCACAAGAAACAAAGCAACCTACTCTACAAACCACACGTCCACACTCCAACGTCTAACCTACCTAATCCCAACTACACATCCAAAATGTCCGACCAGACCTTCCACACCACCACCCAAGACCTCCGCAAGGCCGAATCGCACGCCTCCCACGCCGGAGCCGGCAACACCCCCAAGAACTCCAACATCTCCGCCATGAAGGTATGCACCACTCACCCACCATCCCAACCACACACACCACCACACACTAACAAAAAAACCCAGTCCGTCGTCGACCAGAACAACGCCAGCAAGGCCAGCCAGATCGAACACACCAAGTCCAACCTGCCTCTGCCCGACCAGCCGCCCCGGGCCAGCGACTGGAACTCGGCCGACCAGCGGACCGTCAACGTCGGCTCGGGCGGCATCGAGGCCCCCGTCTCGGGAGAGAACAACAGTGCCCTGCGCGAGCCGGCGACGGCCAGCAGCAGTGTCCGGGAGTCTGGGGAGGAATTGCACAAGAACACGCAACCGCTGAGCGGGGTGGGTCGGCAGGGCAAGGATAACCTGGATGGGTTGCCGAGGGATGCTCTGTACCGGTGATTGGGTTTTGATTACTTTTGAATTTAATGTATGGTGTGTATAGAAGGGAAGGGAAGAGTGGTATTTTTTTTTGAGTATCGCTCTGGTTGGGTTGGAATGGGATTGGGTTATGGGCTGTATTATTATGATTCAGTGATTTAATGATGATAAAACGGATCTTTTGATTATTATCTCTTAGTATTTATTACTTATGTCTTGACTACTTCGCTTGATTACTACTTTGTTGAGATATAGATTTGTGGTAATTTGTATATCTACAGCATACATACCATCTACTCTATATTGAAAATATCAAAAATCAAGTCTTCATCTCAAAATATTATCATAGATAGTTCAAAGTGCATTTAAGGTGTGCAAATATAGAGTGCAACCGGAACCAATCAGCACGGATCTCTCGCGCCGCGATCCTGAATCGGGACCCTGGCGACCATGGGCCCATGCAACCGCCGACAATCTCCATTGACAAGCTTCTTGATCATAAAGAAAGACAGAAAAAAAAAAAACATCGTCTGCTATTATTCTCTGAAGCTTGGAATAGAATGCAAAAACAGTCTGCAATCGACCAGCAACCATCCCTTCCTATGACGTCATGAATTTAGACCCCCTCTACCCTGATAAGCGCCGCAACATACAAAGTATCATCAAGTAGGTACACATAGATAGTAGATAACTACAACTATAGAGAAGATACCAGTACCATCCACCCACTACCATATACTACTAGTACTATAAACTATGCACTATGTACTATGTAACAGAACCCCCCCCCCCAACTCCCCAACTCCTCAACCGCGACCCGGAACCCCTCCCAACCAACCACTGCACGCATGCATCACATCCATCGTAGCCCAACCGGAAAAGGCAACCAGACAAGTTAAAGTGGGCCCGTCTCTGCCCGGTTACGGATCTAGACCTTCCCACTTCCCACTAATAGTACCTGCCGACCGATGCGCGTTCCCTGTCTGCGACCGCACATTGACGCCACTGGTGAAATCACCGTCTGTAAGTACTAACTATGTAGCTGGCACTGTTCGTTGACGTACCGGTTGCAACACATTCCATCCATCTTACTCCTTACATTGCGCTGGATGAGATAATGAGAGATGATGGGATGGAATGAATGGATGAGATGATGGGATGGGGGGTGGGTTTGTAATGTCAGGATGACATCATGCGATCTGAGGGTTTCGTTTCGACTTTGTCAAAGTAACCTGAGGTTGACGCCATCTGGATTCTGGCTGTGGTGGTGGTGGTGGAGGTGGTGGGATATATAGATGGCTGATGTTGGGCTGGAATAGAGGGAGAAATGATTATTCTAAATCATTGAAGAAGCTACGATTGTTCAAACAATACTTTCTACAGCACATCAACACTACACCAGTCCATATCAAATCACACACCTACCTACCAACCTAGTACCTACCTACCAACCTACCTACCTACACACCCATATACAATACATACATAAACAACTATGGATCTCCAAGGCCAGCCCATCCCCTCCGGCCAGCGCAGCACCAAGGTATGTCCAATCCTCCCCATCCCCATCCCCATCCCCATCCCTTCATCCCTCCACCCACTAACCACCACCACCATCACTACCTCCAGGTAACAACCGACCCAACCCGCCACACCAACCCCATCCACGAACCCGCCGGCCCCGTCCTGAACGACTCTCTGGCCGCCGAATCCGCCACGCACGGCGGCACATTCGCCCAAAACCGGGGTTCCGAGCCCATGGGCGTGTCCTCGGGCCAATCGACCACCCGGACCACCAACACCTCCGGCGCAACCAAGCTGGACTCCAACGCCGATTTCGCCGACAAGTACCCCGAGGGACTGGGCGGACAGGGCAATTACCCTGGCGCGCATGGAAGCGGCTACGTCGGTGGACCGACGGGCGCGAAGAAGGAGTTGGGGATTCACGCGGGGGAGTATCCTGCTTCGCAGAAGTTGAGCCAAAGTCAAAGTCAGGGTCAGGGTCAGGGTCGACAGGCTCCGGCTAGTGCTGCTAGTGGGAGTGGATATAGCAGTCTGAGCCAGAGTCAGGGTTATGGTTCGGCCCAGCCAAAGGGCAGGGGCTTGAAGGAGGGGGATGTCCCCGATGATGCGCCTAACGCGAGCTACACGACTGATATTGGCGGGGAGAATGACCCCGGTCGGGTTGCGCAGGGCGGGTTCCAGCGCAGGAATGTCGAGAGTGGTCCTGCTGGCACGGCGGCTGGGCGCCAGAAGGGCGTTGATGATCAGCAGTGGTACCAGCATCTGCAGTCTGACCAGCGGGCCTAAGTGGTCGGTCATGGGCTACGCTATGATAGTATGATGGATGAGATGAGGTTATGAAAAACAAAGCGGTGTGTATTTTTTTTAATCCTGTATAATGATTGGTGGCCTTGAAGAATGGTCTCTGGCATTGTGTTGTATGGGAGGACTGTGTCCTTCTGGGTTGTATTAGTGAATTTATATAGATGATATGAATGACTTAAAAGATTGCTCCGTATGATTCTTGACTTGTGATTGAGTTAATAGTATCCAGGGTGAGATGACATGCTTCTTAATTAGAGAGCGTCTGCAAACTTCCCGTATATAGGATTTGTATTGATCGAGAGTTCCACCTCATGGCCATCATCACCTTGCTGAGAATGATGGCCGATAAATGCACTCTAAGCCGGGACCGGAACGGACTTCCAACCACCCTCTCCGCTCTCCTCCCGACTCGTGAGAACCTGGAGATCCCATCGACCGCAGAATCCATCGTAGCTGGCAGTTCGGTTGACCATCAGAAATGTGCCGCCGTAGCCCGACCCATCCGGCACCCAGACCCGTTCTTGCACTTCCTCGCCCGCAACCTCCGCCCGGCGCGGGTTGTATACTGGCAAGCCTGCAATCCGACTCGCGATCCCGTGCACCACAGAATATAACTTCTCGACCCGACGGGTGGTTCCCAGCCAGCTAAACGATCGAGGGTGATACGCGACGCGGATGAACGGGTTCATATAGATGCCTGTATCCTCCTGCTTGCTGATGGCAGGCGACGGTGGCCTTTGAATATCCGCATGGATCAGACAACATTCGGACGATTCCCAGAAAAGATCTTCCTCGGCGCGAAATCGTACCGGCACGTCGCGGTCCATGTACCCTTCTTGATCATAGTCGATGGCAGAAATCGAGGACTGAAGTGGATGCTGGAAGAATCGGGCATCAAACGCGACCATCCCGCCCCAGCAACTGCGCACCCTCACAGCATCTTTCCCATGCAGGACATCTTGTCGACTTTGGGCCTGACCGGCGGCGGCAAACCACGGATAAAATGGGAGCCCCGTCCCGTATCCCTCCAGATCGCGCGATGCGAATGTATCATAGAACTTGAATGGATTGATAAAGTCCACCGCACAGGCGGCTCGATAGTCCGGTACGCCGTTCTGAGTGTTCGTCGAAAAGAGGAGTTGCAAGGCGTCAAGTGCGTTGAAATAAACATCGTTCAGGAACAAAAGCCGGTCGAACTGGAGCTCGGGATGCTCTTCTAAAGGACGCAAGGCCCGGTTGCGCACTTCGGCCAGAAAGGCGACGCGTCGGACGTGTTCCGATCCATCTGGGAGAGTGACGGTGGGGAACCCTGTGAAGTTGAAGTGCTCCTCATACACAATGGATTTGTTGCAGGTGGCCCGATCGCTCAACTGCTGAAGAGCATGCTGTCCAGCCTGTCCGCTATCATTCTCGTAGATGCTGAGAAAGACCTTGTCTGGTCCTATCATATCAATCAAATTGAGAAGACTCTGACCCCACGGTCCGCTTGCCAGGGCCCCGTTCCTGTCATAGAGGCTGGCAGCGATGAAGACAGTCGAGTTGCGTAGGTTCCCTCGACCAGGCGCCGTGGACTGTTGCACGGCATCTCGAAGCGCAGTATAATGTGGGGGGAGATTGGTGTAAGATGGAACCAGGAGGAAAGTGAAGACAATGAGACCGACAAGAATACAAAAAATGGAGGATATCGTTCCACGAAGATTCAAGAGGGGAAAACAGTGCCTGGGCCGCCTTCTTCTTACCCTGGCAGCTTCGACAGGGGCAGGTCCACGGCGACTGGCTGATTCGAGGTCCTCGAGGCCGATTTCTTCTTCGACTCCATCTCGCGATGTGCGAGCAACGGGTTGATATCCATTTCGGGGACGACGTGCCATCGGATCGCGCCTTCCAACCCAGGGACTTCCTGAACGGTCTGCAGTAGTTTAAATGCAGGAGGAAGCCGCGAGGCGACGCCGCTTCCAAAGTTGGGTCCGTCGACTCCCCGACTTTGTGTAACCCTCCTTCGTCTTACTGGGATTGAGCCGAGACAACATGACCCGTTCCACAGAGATATATAGCCATCAGCGGTAAGAATCATCGCTCTTCGCTTGCAAGTGACATATTGTGGCATTAATCCAAGATTCCGGAGATAACTTTAGGACGGAGTACACTGGCTGGAAGTATTCGCTGAATTTATTATACCTATATTAGATCACTCGCCTGGTACAACACACATTCTCAGGCTGGTGGCAGGAAAGACGCAAAGAGCGCGCCCTGAACAATGCCATATATCACCATATACTGGACAATTGCATTTGCGTACCAGTCCTTACCCTTATCCCGGGTCTGCTCATCTCTCGAGGTCCCCACCGGGTACTTTCTGACCAGCAAAGCTGCAACCCAGATATACCACACGGGATAGCCTGAAGACAGGCGCGTGATGATCTGAACATGATTGCAGAGAAATACCTGAACGGTAAGGATGATCTGGGATGCTGCGAGACTACGCAGCAGGCGACCTGCCAGTTGCGGCCGGGATTCAACTTGCTCTTTTAGAGCCATTGACGTCCTATTCAAATCTGACTCGGCATCAAGAGACCAAAAAGCAGAATATGTTAAGATCACTAGCATGGGACTAGCCAATGCAAATAAGGGCACATTAGACAAAGTCCAATATCGAAGAAACCCGTTATTCCTACGAGGATTAGTATACCTCCACCAAGCACAGGGGAAAACATACCAATAATGATCTTGCACAAAGCTGTAGATACTGGGAAGAGCTCGATTGCACCAGACTCGTGGTGCACCTACATGAGTAGATGTGTAGTCGACGCAGAACTCCCGGTAAGCAAGGTATTGCGGGAGCACAAATCCAAGCCCCGTGCATATACCCCCAAGACTAACCGCAAATAGACGGCGAAACTTGTCGAACGTGAAACATTGTGTCAACGAATAAGAAATCCCAAAGGCTTCCTCAAGAAAGAGAAGGCCATTAAGAAGGCCATTACCGCGAACACTCGTCGCTAATCCACACACAATGCCAGCCAGCACCAGCAGACCATCTTGGGTACCTGTTGAACCGCCCGACGAACCGAAACTTTGGGCAAATAGAAGAGCGCCCGTGAAGCTCAGGAGAGAATATATGCTCTCTGCATTGGGAGCCGACATAAACAACCCGGCAGGCGAGATTATATGTAAGCATGCTGCAATGAAGGCCAGCCTGCGGCCCTGCATCCCGGGGAGTATGGTGCATGCCAGACGGTGGAGAAACAATACCGACATGGCATGAGCCCCATGAGATACAGCGATGCTGACCAGGCTTTCCCCGAATTCATAATCAAAAGCGCATATATGCTGCACGCCTGGCAGAAGTTTCAGTCGCAGAAGTATGAGACAACATGGATGCCGTTCTCACCATTGGTCACGAAATTGATGAGTCTGTTGACAGCATAGCTGAACGCCCATTCTTGCTCAAACAGATAGCCCCGTCTTGCGGCTTCGGTAAAGTATATGGCGTCCCATCGGGTCAACTTGATGGATATCCGTCTCAAAAGGGCGGGAATGGGTCCATCAGGACCACTGCTGCTCCATTGAGCCAAGGTCGTAGAGGTGTCATACCCGGGGCCGGGAGCGAGCACGGCCAGGAGAAGCAGGAAAGCTTTCCAAAGGACAAAGGTACCAAGGAGGGAGCAGTAAGGCCGATGGACGATGCGATGGGGTAGCCACGACATACTAACACTCTGGCTAGTACTAGCAAAGCCCGTTGATGCTATACATCGAAGGGGATGGGTTGGGTCCAGCCGGGGAAGGCCTGGGCGGAGCTGGTGGCTGCTGCGCGCTAAGCCGTCTCGGGCCGCCTTCCATGTCGGGTCAGATGCAGAAAGAGCAACCCAGCCTCGGGATGATGGATATAGATAGTGGATGGTGCCCTAGTAAGACTGCAGTCCCTGGCCCTTTTCTCTCTGCAACTCCCATCTACGCATCCCTTACGAGAAAAATCTTGTCATGTTTTGGATTTTATTGGATACTTCCTGCCTTTTTTTCATACACCATTTGAGAACGCCAAGTTTGCAACGGACACATCAGAAAAGAGCAACCCAATGAACACGTCCCAAAGGCCAGACCCCCGAAGACATGCACTGCCTTGTCAGACAAGAACAAAGTGGAACTGTACAGCCATAGCAGCAAAGTGACAAGACACATAAAGAAGCCGTAGAATTAAGAAACATCAGAACAATGGAAGGATGGATTCAGAAGTCCAGCTGAACCTTCACAGGTTCACCCGCTTGAGCTCCTTCTGGGCGAGCTTAGCCAGCTCCTCGAACACCTCGCTGAAGTCCTCATCATCCTCGCCCTTCTTGCCCTTCGACGCCGACTTGGGCACAACCATCACGACACTGGTGGGGCGTTTCGTGGCAGCCGAGTTGCCGAGCTCAGCTCGGGATGTGACGAAAACATATGGGATACCGTGGTCCTCGCACAGAACGGGAATGTGGGAGATGACGTCCATGGGGGAGATGTCGGCGGCAAGGATGACGACGGCGTTGGGGATGCCGATTTTGGCGTTGGCGGCGGGGACGGGCGACTTGCGGAGAGCCTTGACGACCTCCTTCACACCACGCTTGAGGCACTTGTTGACGGCGGCTGTTGTAACAAGTAGTCAGCATCTGCATTGCAGTGCAACGTGCAACACGGAAGAATGTCCCGCTTCAATATGGAGGAACATGGTGAGGGCAAGTCGCATTCAACTCGTTGAGACAAGCAAGGATCTGTGATGTGCCCGCAAAAAAAAAAAAAAGAAAAGAAAAGACATTATAGGGCACGCGAGGCATCTTACCCTTCTTGACACTCTTCAGGCACTTCTTAGCGGCCTTGTCCTCGACCAGAGGGCTGGCGAAAGGAACGAGCGCGCCAACGGGGGCGGCGTCAACCTCCATGTCCTCAGTGCCATTGACGACGGGGGTCTCAGAGACAGCCTCGTCAATGCCCTCCAGAACCTTGGTGGTGAGCTCCTTCTCGACGGCGTCGGCGAGAACGGTCTTGTCCTTCTTCTCCTTCTTGTCCTTCTTGCTGCTCTTGTGGACACCGTCCTTCTCCGAGCGCTTCTCCTTCTTCTCGCGCTTGTCCTTCTTCTCGGTCTTGTCCTTGCCCATTGTGAATAGTAGACCCACTCAGGGATTTGATCTGATGCGGAAGAGGGGGAAGGGTCGAGATAGACGGCGGTGGGCGTTGGGTGGAATAGTCGTCGGCCGCTGCGAAACCCGCAAAAATTCGAAATCCATTTTCAAAATTTCGGCGCTAGTCCGTTTCGGGCCCCGGAGCTTGCGCGGGCGGTGAGCGAACTGGCTGACTCAGCGCATGCCTATTCGGGATGCGCGGCCGTCCCTCCATCGAAAACAGTTGATGAAGCATCATTCGGATGAGTGACGTCCTTCTCGTCAGCCTACGCCGGGGTTTCTGGATGGCTCTGAATTTTTTGCATGGGACCCATTATCCATTGATGATATCGCGGGCAATTGCATATGCAGGTGCCCCATAGCCTGCCTTATTGATCCAACGTAAGTCCAGCAAGTGTTGCGGCACACTGCCAGGAGGCTGATGAGGTCAGATGAATTCGAGTGTGAATTCGCGCTCCTTCCGGGACACGCTTCGAGGGGAATCCCCCTTGTCGCTCCCCCCGGCACCAGATGCGATGCAACAATCAGTCCGCCCTGTCTACCCTCCGAAACCTGGTAAGCCCACGTCCCTCATGGCCAACGCAGCTCCCAGGACTGACGTTTCTGCCCGGTTTAGATACGGAGAAAGAGGAGCTCCTTGTGCAGGTCAACACTCTGAGATATGAGCTGGAAAACTTCAAGCAAGAAAGGGACTTGATGGTGCTGCACCATGAGAAGGACCTACGCGATTTGCAGCTGAAGGCGGATTCGGACTTTCGGAAAGCTCAGGTTCGCTCTCCCCTTTACACACTACATTGATTCCAGTCTAACTGTGGAGGTTTACTCCAGGTCGCCGAAACCAACAGTCATCGTGCCAGCCATAAGAGCGAGACCCTTGCGAAAGAATTAAAGGAGGCGCAGGACAATGCCCTCAACGAGAAGGTGGGCCTGGAGCGACGGATCAGAAGTCTACAGGATCAGAACCAAACTATGCAGGAAGATGCCGAGGACACCAAGGCACAGCTGCTTGACCAGGAACGGCAGTACAAATATCAGATCACAGAATTCGAGACCATTCGATCGTCCCTCCAGAAAACACTCGAAGAATTGCAGAATGAACTGCAAGCTGCTCGCGGTGATGTGCAGACCACGCAAGAAAAGTTGCGTGAGCGGGAAGCAGAAGTCGCTGATTTGGAAACGGAGAACCTCCGTTTGAAAGCCGAAGGGACTGATACAGAGACGCTGGCAGTCCTTAAGCGAGAGCTTTCGGAGCAAGTCAACCACATTAGGAACTTGGAAACGGCAAACCGTGAACAAAGTGCCGAATTGCGGCACCTTCGGAAAATCCAGAAGAATGTCGAGGTTGTGGAGGAGCAGAAAAGATCGTTGGAAACCCAGCTACATTTAATGAAGGGCGTTGAGTCTGAACTTGGAACGGTTCAAATTCAGAAGCAGATTCTTGAAGATGAGCGACGGTCTTGGACCAGTCTCCTACAAGACAATGATCAGCCAGCAGAGTTCGACTCACCGGAAACGGTAGTGAAGGCTTTGTTACAGGAGCGCATCGAAAAAGCCTCTCTTGTGGACAGGCTAGGCAGCATCGAGGCACAGTTTTTGGAGAAAGACGAGTCGATTAAGAGCCTAGAAGCCGAAAAAACCAACCTGCGACAGGAAATCGAGAAACTTCGCAGCGCTAGCTCTACTGCTGGAGGGGCCATGCCGGATAGCCGGCTCAAGTCCAGACTTGAGCGGCAACGCACCCTTGCTGTGAAAGAAGTGGAGTATCTTCGCGCTCAGCTCAAGACTTTTGAGACGGAAGAGGTGACGATGAACGCGGAACAAAGTCAGTTTGACGAGCAAAAGTCCGAGCAAATCGGCAACCTGGAAAAGCTCGTCGATGAGTATAGGGCCGAATTGGCCAAAGCCCACGAGGAGCTTGCCCAGCGTGAGACATCCCAGCAGGAGGAGTCCCAGCCTCGGGGACTCAAGCGACCGCTTTCTCCAGCTGAAAGCGAAGCGGATAGCGAACGTCTTGCCGTTTTGTCCCGCAAGACTAGAACTTTGCAGGAGTCGCTGACGAAGTCCGAGCAAGCCGCAACTCTGCTGCGCAAAGAGCTCCAGGCCAGCAAGTCGCAAGTCAAACACCTCAAGGCCAAGTCACGGACTCGCGTCCTCGAACTGCGCGACAATCCCACCGCGGAGGCAGAAAATCTTAAGCTCTCCACCATCAGAACCCTGAAGGCAGAAAACCAAGATCTCCTCGCACAACTGCGTGGCGACCGCATGGAATCGAGCGTCGTCCCCGTCACCACTCTAGAAAGCATGAAGCTGGAGATCCAAGACATGGAGCGAGTCGTTGCCGACAAGGAGAAGCGCATGCGCCGACTCAAGGAGATCTGGACGGCCAAGTCGTCGGAATTCCGCGAAGCAGTGGCCTCCCTCCTAGGCTACAAACTGGATTTCCTCCCCAATGGTCGCGTCCGGGTCACCTCCATGTTCCACCTTTCGCCCGCCTACCGACACGGCGACCAGGATGGGCCTTCCGACCCAAGCGGCCCAGGAAGCATGGGCAACGGCGAAGAGAACTCGATCATCTTCGATGGCGAAAACGGCACGATGAAGATCTCGGGCGGTCCCAACAGTCTTTTTGCTCTGGAGATCAAGCACCTGATCAAGTTCTGGGTCGAAGAGCGGAAAGATATCCCCTGTTTCCTTGCCGCCATGACGTTGGATTTCTTTGATAAGACCACGAGAGCTGCTCGTATGTAACTCTGCGTTTTTCTTTCCATTGGATTTGGATGGCGGGTAAGGGGTGGAGTCTTGGGTTGTTGGTGGTTCAAGTGATGTGATGTGATGTGATTCCCCGGCACAGGCAATATGGTGTCATGTTCTCTTTATTCCATTCCTACACAGCATAGCTAGCACATATAGCACAGCGGAATTATGAAGGATACTTCGATGTGCTTACCTGAATGAGTGATGACTACATCCCGTCATTATGGTCATTATCTACCACTTTTCAAAGTACAAAAATTTTAGCCATTGACCGACTTTCATCAACAAGCTAAGTAAGCCAAGCCAAAGGCAAGTGCAAGTGCAAGTGCAAGTACCGTACATGCTCCATCGGTTTCACCATTTGATGCCAAGCAGAGATGAACATGTAAGAGCCAGCTACCCATTCATTGCGAGAAGAAACTCATGAATGATAATAATGATAATAATATAACACGGGGAGACAAATTATTTACAGACCATAAAATTTCTCTCTCCCGAGCTTGTGTGCTGCAGGAGAGATCAGGCAGGCAGGCAGGCATGCAGACAGACAGATAGGGCACGATGATTACACCACCAGCAACCAGGAAGGAAGAGAAGGATATCGAGAATGAGACGATGACAAAAGAGAGGGCGAAGAAGCAGCAGTAGGGAAAGAAAGAAAAAAAAACAGCAAGAAAGGAAGGGGAAATAGAAAGGAAGCAAAAGCAGGAACAGAAAACGAAAGGCAGACTTGCTTTGTGCACGGAAGTAATTTAGGAGTGGTGAAAAGCAGGAAAAAAAGCAGGGGAAATTTCGATTTCGGAGCGCCGTACAGAATCATGGGGAATGTTTATGTACTGGGATGGCCGTTTTTGTGTGTTCTCACTCATCGTGACGAGAGCATTATTTGGTTCATACATAGGTGGGTGTGGGTGGAGGAGAAATACAACCGGGGGAGGGTTGTATTTTAGGCTTAGGACGAGACGTACTTGGCGCCGACCAGCTTTCGAGCTGTCGGGATGCCCTTCCATTCGAAAGTCGACTGCGCTGCAGAGGTTGGCGTGCCGGGCTCTTCGTCCGCAAAGGGGTCATAGCTCTTCTGGGGGGTAGACTCGGCAGGTAGAGCTGCGCTAATTCCAAGCCGAGATCCGTCGTCAATCGAATGGACCTCGAATTTGGCATCAACCTTGCCCTTCCGGGGCCAGCTGGTAGTTGTCGAGAACCGTGCCAGCAATTTGGCGTCGGAATTAACCTTGACCTCCAGCTCGGGGATCTTCCACGTCACTGCAGACTGCTTGCGACGGAATGCTGCCCCAGTGTTAGGATACATGACAGCAGCCGTGGCGTGAGCCACCTCGCGGTCTTCCACGGGGGACGTGTCCAGGTTCACGGTCAGGACCAGGTTTCTGAGGGTGATCGAACTGCCTGCAGCAGGAGACGTAAACGATGGGTTGATGGAGTAGAAGATGATTACGCTAGCCTGAAGTTCTTGGATATTCCACACGGGTTTGAAGATAACCGGGCAATAGGCTGCGGCATCGGACGGGTCAATGTGGACCTGGTATTTGAAGGCCACGGTTGGCGAGGGACGAGTAATGCTGGAGAGGTTGACGCTATATTCGCCCCTCTTCTCCTCCGACTGATCCTTGTCCTTCTCCTCGCTGATGAAGTGTGGGTTTGCGGCCACCTTTTCGAGGATCTGGAAGTTGTTCAGACGGACCCGGGTGCTCAATGGGGTCGAGTCAGGGGTGCCATTGTACGCCAGCGCCAGTTCCCCGACAACAAAAGATTTGGTTATTGCGCCCTCGGTGAACCACGCACTAACCGTGTCGATGATTGACGCATTCAGACCGGGCTCGTGTAATTCGGGATGTGAAACAACACCCGAGGCATTCTGTACGGTATGACCCGAGCGGATAGATGTGGTATCCGACATGGCGTGGTCATCAGTGCCAATGCTCGGGGAGGCGATGTGCCTCGTCTGCAAGGATGGGGAAGTAGGAGCAGAACTATCTACTGCTGGGGGCATGGCAGGGATGTCTCCTCCTGGAATAAAGACCGTATTGCGGACGTCGCGACGGCCGCGCAAGGTTCCAGCATTCCGCCTTACGCCACTGTGCTGGGCTCGCTGCATGAAAGGTCAGCGCTGCTTTTTGCAAGCCCATTCTCAATATTACTCACCAGTCGAAGCTGATTAGCCATGTCGTCCATCGCTTGCTTGGCTTGATCTTCGTCCTCGAAGATCGGCTGGTCTCTGATCGTCAAGTTCATGCCTGAATCTTCCAGACTATAAAAGCTGTTAGTTTCCACAGATTCTTGCGCTCGAGAATGTGCTTCTTACCCTGCTGCTTCCCTCTGTGCTCTTGTGATTTCGTCGATGGTATCGGGCCGTTCCGAGAAACCCTCCGAGTCGACTCGCGACTGATGAGTAGGTCAGCCAAGAAACGCTTAACTACAATTCGGTTATAACCTACCTCGTTCGGGTTGATGGTTGTGAGACCCGCTTCAGCATGCTGCTCATGAGACGCTGATCCGTTCGCAGTGGGTGGTGCGGACTGGGGCATCGAATTGGACACCACCCCAGCAAAGCCCTCGTTCTCGTTGGGCTCGCTCGGGATGCTGGGAACTTCGGTATGGCTGTCGTGGGCAGTCAAGGCGGTTCCGGGACGTTCCGACCCTTCTGGGGGGGTCTCAGGAATCTGCATATCGCGTGAATCTCCTCTCTTGAAGGAGGCGAATGGGCTGCGATGTTTCTTGTCGGACGAAAAGAAAGGGCCCGCGCCAGAGGGTTGAACAATGCTCCTACGCCGGTTCATGACCGTCCCTAGCCTCTTGAGACCACCAAGAGGAGTGCTGTGCCGAGGTTCTGGGACTGTAAACCAGGGATCAGTATCTCGGATGAAATAAAGAGTTCTTGATGTTTGGAAGACAGATATGCTTACCAGGAAGCGACCGGCCTGGGCCCGAATGCTCCGATAGTTGGCTGGCAGCATCGTCCTGCAAGCGGGGTGGAGGCGAAAGAGGTGCTACCGGGGGAGGCGAGGTTGGCCGTCTCCTCGGAACAACCGGCCGTCCTCCATTGATCTTCGCGGCAAATGTCTTGATCTCATCCGCGGTCTCCACGTTAAGAAGAACGTTCAGACAGCTTTCAGCAGCCTGACGGCAGCGCTCAACCTGGTCCGTCTCGTGGGTTTCCAATTGAGTAAGGATATCCCGAAGATGGTTGAGGCGGCCTTCATCTACCGCCTGAAGCTGCTCGAAGACAAAAGGTGCCCTTGAGTCCCATTGCTGGCTGATCTCTTCCGCCGCGGCCACGGCGCCAGCAAGTTTGTCTGCTCCTTTCGGGCCCTTCTCTCTGGCCTTTTCTACCTTCTTATGAGCTGCTTCGAAATTTTTCGCCAGTGCCGCCAGGTCACTCTGCACACCAGGCATTGACGATAGTTCCCGGTTCTTGCTGCCGAATTCACGCAAGGGACGCTCTACGTCCTCTTCGATCTTCTGCGCAAAGGTCTCGTGCGACGAGGCTATGGTTTCGGTGGCACCGACTATCCGCTGCCATGGGATTTGAAATATGCTGTTATCGATGTTACCATCCTCATTCGCATTGAACCTCCGACCAAAGACTCGGCAAGACCGGACTTACCCGAGTGCGGCTCCATTGTCGAGCTGCGGCCGATGAGACAGTTTCCGCAACCCTTGAACATATGCTTCTTCAATGCGACGACGTTCCTATTACAGCAAAGATACCAACGTAATTAGCCAGGGGGTTCTTTTATGTGTGAAGCACAGAAACCAGGGACTTACCTGGAGCCAGTCCGCGATGTCCGAATTGACTTTGTTGATGAGACGAATGCGATCATTGAGGACATTGGTGGCTTGGCCGGGCTGTAACGAGGCCTATGGTGGCATGGAATCGAGTCCTTTGGTTAGCCGTGTCCAGGTTGACAGGTCGGAAGGCAACAGAGATGCCGAGGTGGGGTGGTCTGGGGGGGGGGGGGGGACAAGAGCAAGTGTATCGTACCAGCAACGCCGGATACTCCTGCCGTGAGAGATCCATCACTTCTCATAGGTCACAACTGCAGAATTACGAGGGGTGAGGGCGCATAATAAGCAAGAATGAGGGTGGAATGTGGCCAGCATCGAATGGACAAGCGATTGGACGAGGCGCAAGCGAAGAAGCCGGGAGGCCCAAGAAGCGACAGCTGGTGCCGGAGTGGGAGTGGAAGGAGGATGTGATGACGATGGCCGCTTGCAACGCCGGAACATCGGGCGCGGCCGACCCGAGCCTGCCTGGCAGCCTTAGCCTGGCCTAAGGCGGTAAGGCGCCGCGCCAGTGTCACATGGTCCGTCGGACGGCCGTGACTCGGATTTCTATGTAGATTGATGCTCTACCGACTCATCTACACTTCTACACTGCTACACTTCTACACATCCATACCATGGCCATCCCCGGTTGGAAGATATCCATTGGCTTCACAGATCGATTGACAGCCATTCAATCGCTGTAAGTCTGCGACCATGGGTGATCTCTCTCCTCTCCCCCGAGAATGTGACTGTCACTATGAATGTCGGAACCTCTTCTCATGCCCGTCTCTTCCAGAACGACTGCCTATCAAAGAGCGTCATCCTCCGCGGCCTTCTCCGAGGCCCAGTCGCAAGCCAGGAAATTCGAGAGCGAAGCTTTCGACCAAGCTACCTCAAAGGTCTGTCGTACTCTCGTTTGCAAGACATATATGGGCCATGCTCATGAACGGGTAGGAGCAATATGACACACTATGTCAAGAGGCCATTGACGCGGCAGAGATCGCTGGGTCGACAGCTCCCATCATGGATAGTCTAGATCAGCCAAGTGCCAACTCCAACCCGGAGCACTGGGACGGAGGTGAGGCTATTGGCCCTTATCGGTCGTGCGTCCCTCATTTCGATGGCATCCATTCCATGATCTATAAGTCCAGACACGCCGACGGTAGCCTAGTAGCGGTCAAGGTGACCGTACCTCATTTAATGACCCCACCACACGACGCTAAACGTGAGGCCCTGCTCCTGCGGGAGGCGGCTAGTCCTCACGTTGTATCATTGCGGGAGACTCTCAGTCTGGACGGAGGACGATTCGTTCTCGTCTTTCCCTTCATGAGATACGATTTCGAACAACTCCTTCGCCGAGATGCACTAACCGCGACCCAGACCAAGTCTCATCTGCGGGATATGTTCAGCGCATTGGCATATGTCCACAAGCTAGGACTTGTGCATCGCGATATCAAACCATCCAATATATTGCTCGATTCTCCCGAGGGCCCCGCATACCTGGCGGACTTTGGAATCGCCTGGAAGGAGGGAAGCATGGGCTCCGAGCCCGCCGACGAGAAGATCATAGACGTGGGAACCACATGCTATCGTCCGCCCGAGATCCTGTTTGGTTCCAAGGGATATGGAGCCGCCCTCGACCTCTGGGCCGCGGGTTGTGTTATGGCTGAAGCTGTAACTGTTGGGCACAAGCAACTATTCGACTCCGGGCCTCTGGGAAGCGACTTATCACTCATTCAGTCTATATTCCAGACCCTTGGAACTCCAGACGAAGAAACTTGGCCGGTATGCACTTGATCTGGTCAAACTCCCCGTTTATTTGTCGACGCGCTGACGAGGACAACACAGGAGACTCAAAGTCTTCCGGACTGGGGGAAGTTTCAATTTTACGAGTACCCTCCCAAGCCATGGGATGACGTCCTTAAAGGAGCCTCTACCAAGAGCCGCGATCTGGTGAGCAAGCTGGTGGTTTACGAGAGCAGTCAACGCCTTTCTGCTGAAGAGGTACGTCGGAAAGAAGAGGGCAAGGGTTGTCGCTCATGGTTAACGTCATAACAGGCCTTGAAACATCCTTACTTCTCGGCCTTTTGATCATCGTACTGCTTTTGGTCCCTTCTGCGAAAGGGGGCGCTTCTTCACATGGCTCTGCCGCCGCGAAAATGCGATCTACGTAGGTGGTCGGCACGTCTTCACCGCTTGCAGGCAAGTCTATAAGAGCTCGCCCCGGCAGGCATTGGGCGTTTCAGCCCCTCGACGGTCTGAACTTCCGGACATCCTCGTATCCAAGGTCTGGGAGCCGCCGACGGTCCGTTACCGACCGACCGACAGGATGGACTGGGGTCTAGCCTCGGCAGCGCGTTTCATCATCACGAACCTATAGAAGATCCTCTGCGACTGGAGGATGACTGACACGTATAAATAGCAGCATGGATGTGGACTGATGTTCATAAGCTGGAACCAGACAGCTAGTTAGCGTTCTCTCTGGGCTGGACCTCTGGAGCCGAACGGAGGCCCCATGGTTCAAAAAATGAGACGGTCGTCAAAAATGCGGACCGAACGAATCCCGTAGTAGTGCTTGCTACTTGTCGCTAGGCGTGAACGCTGTCCTAGACTCCTAGGAGCTTAAGACGTAGTAAAAGCATCATCGTATCCTCGTTGTTTCATCATCGCAGGTCTCCATGCGCGCATGGGGTGGCTGCATGCATGGTGAGGCTAGGTGGATGGTGGTGGTGTTGCACGGGGGGGAGGACAGGCATCGGAAGGCGGAAGGCATTTCCATTTGTTGGGTGGCGCTAGGAAGGGCCGGAGGCCAGAGAGGGGCTTGGCTAATTAATGGGTGCTCGCTCCAGGACCACCCCATGGGCGAAGATCGCATTCAACCACCGGCGCACAACCCATGCGTATGCGTCCAGGAATCCCACCCGGAGGGAGTCTAATGCTTGGGTTGGACCACCCGCCGGTAGATATCTAGTCTGCGGCGCAAGTACCTCCCTTAGAAGGCGTAAGTATCTCGCCTTGGAGACACACTACTATGAAGGAGATGTCGCCAACTCCGGTAAGGTTTGCGTTTGGCGAGTCAAGCCTGCAAGTCCATTGGATTGAGGGGCATCGCAGAAAGATGCTTACCATACGCACCGGAGCAGGTGATGGAGGGGTTCCTGTCCATTCATCCAGCCTGGCCTGTGATCACTCTCCTCGTGTACGCGCTGACCGTCACAAAACCAGGCACCGTATCAGACCCCCACCAATCAGCCCGGAGTGGTCCCTGAGCTGGGTGGGGCTCCCCGAGTGATCCCCCCCTCAGTCGGTTAGTACGGTCCCGGCCATACCTGGCGATACCGGCGACTGATTGGCGGGACCCCGCTGATTTAGCCTTTGAACTCATTTCGTTTACCTGTGGTTCCTTCCACAGGGCCCGACGGTAATTACCCGTACGGGCAGCGATATACACCTGCGACTAACTGGTTAGGAGTTCCAACTTCTTGTCTTTTGGTCCCCTGGGTGGTACCAGCTGCTCTTCCTCCACAAGGAGTCACTGGGGCCTTTTCCTCCTCCTCCTCCTCCTCCTCTACTTCCTTCCATACGCTCTTTTCAACTTCGCGGCCCGGAAGCTCGCTGTCCTTCTTTTACTCATCTTCCTCGGGCGTGGCCCTGCTGTCTGACCATATCTGGGGTTACTCAGGTTTCCTTTCTTTCATCTCCCACTTTCTTTAACGCGCTCGCACTGCTAGGTTGACTCCAGTGCGCGCTTGCTTTGCTTCATTCCGGCTTCTTTTAGCAAACAAAGAAGAGAAATATCTCATCCACCGGCATTTGAAGACTTTGTTACGATAGGATCATCATATATTCTTATAAACTCTTTCATACTGTCTGGACTTCCATGCTTGTTTTTTTCCTTGTCTGCCTGAGCGTGCAGATCTGCGAGGTACTGTGGCGTTCATAATCTCAACTTCAAAGGTCACAGAAGGCTCGCCAGCCTCCCAACGACTTGCAAAATGGTGCACGCACATGCTCACCAAGACCATGGGGCTCACCTGGAGGCACGCGGTGATGGCGATGTGACGGTGGTTTATGTGACAATGACTCCGGATTTCGATGGGCCGATCGGAGGCTATGTAACCGGGGACCAGACATCCTCAACATCTTCAAGTACCAAGCGCAAGACAGCGGGTGTCGGCGCTGCAGTTCAACAGACACGGTCCTCGTCAGATGACACCGGAAGCGACAACAACCGCGGCAGCAGCGATAACTACCGCGGAGACAGATACCACTGCACTGGGGCTGCTGAGACGGAACAGACCACCCAGGCGTCAGAGACAGACCAAGAAACCGCATCGCCGGCGAGAACTACTTTCCTGACCAGCACCTCGTCCGCATCCTCTCTAGAAAACACCGACTTAGCAAATACCGCCGTCTCTGCATCCTCTGCCTCATCTTCCGCGTCGGCATCCCCAAGCGCGGTGGTTGGCTCCGAGGGGCTGTCTGGAGGCGCAAAGGCAGGAATTGCGATAGGCGTGCTCTTGGGACTTGGTGTGGTCGCCGGAGTGATTTTCCTCCTGATGCGCAAGAAGAAGCAGCAGCAGGAGAAAGAGACTTGCGGAGATTGAAGCCGAGAATGAGAAGTTCACCATCCCAGAGGACACCGCGCCACCACCGCCTCCTCCAAAGCCCATTCCAAAGGCTCCTTCTACTCCCCCTCAACTGAACATCCGCCCCGTCACTCAGTTTGCGCCTTTTGCGTCGGACTTTGGCT